AAAATGGTATTGAAACACTATAAGGCTTCTGGTTGTTGTTTTGAGAGGATTTCATCAAACTGATTTGTTTATTGAAGAAGGAGATTGGCCAATTCTACCATCATCAACAAAACACGATGTAAACACATACAAATTGTTGAAGAATTGAATTGGTCAAGAGTGAGAAGATTCAATTCAAGAGATCCTGGATAGAAATAGAGGTTCGGATTGTGAATGGTTGAGAATGTTTCTTTTGATGATGATGATGATGATGATGCCTCTGGGAACCACTACTACTGCTCTCATCTGAAACACCAACTGTCTCTCGAGAGTGTTGGTGAATGTGAGGAGCCATGGTTGGAGAACCAAGCGGTTCAAAAGGTGAGAATGAGGAGTTAGTTGAAGTTGTTTGGCATGAAGGGAAAATTGTTGCAGCTTGATGGATGAGAGCAGGATCTGATTCCCTACGAGTCGTACCCGATTTCTCCATATTATGAGATAAAGAGAGTAATGATGATGAACAACATGTTTGGAGTGATGAATTACTTGGAGGCAAATAATGTGGAGAAGAACCATCTCCTCCTCCTCCGTTGGAGGATCCCGGAGCTCGTACGAATTGTTGTCTTCTTTTGATCTGCTGCATGGATTGACTTCTCCTCTCACCAACCACTGAGACTTTCCATTCCAACAAACAACTTCCTGTCAGAACATCACATTTGGTAATGATGGGAGTGTTTTTAATGGAATTAATCTTTTCCATCTTTCGTTGTTTATCAATTCTTAATTGACGAACGGAATCTGGTGTTTGAGGAGAACAAAACTTCCAAAGTTTTGAACCACTCGATGAAGCAATTCCATTTGTTGTGGTTTGTGACGTTGAAAATGTTAATGATTCAGGTTGGTGTTGACATGAATTCACTGGAGAAGAGATGATCGTAGATGCATCATTCATGGAATCAGGTCTCAGAGGTGATAAAGGTCGAAGCTTTGGTGAAGAATGAATGAATTGTGACGTTGATGTGGGACTTGGTGTCATTCTTTCGACTTGAGAACAACTATCAGAATGGCTTTTCTTTTGCATATAAACAAGGTCGTTGTTGTGGGTGGCCAACTCAGACGACGAAAAAACGACGAGTGATGACTTTTTTGAACCATTCTGGATAGTGAAGTCACGAATGGCAATGTTTGAACGGTTGGAGTCATGAAGAGTCTTTTCGTCGTGAATCGTTGTCCCAAATGGGTGTTTGCGAACTTGTGCAAAAGTTCTGTGATACGCCTTTTTTCCCGATGACGAGGTTCCCGAATCACAAATGATTTGTGTTGGGGAGTTCTGTGATTCCTTGTTCAGCATTTCTCTTCTTGCTTTGATTTCTTGACTTTCTGATTGGGTGAGTGTCGGCATGGGAGAGCACAACAATGGTTGGTTGTTTGAGTGATGAGTAAGACGATTTGAGGAAGTGTTATTCATTGGAGAGGAAGATGCATATTTGGAATTTCCTTCTGAAGTAGTACACGAGGAAGTGTTGTTTTTGTTCAGGTGACGATAGAAACTCATTTCTTCGAGGTGTGTTGTGATGAGAAAGGAGGATGGTTGATTATTTTTGATCGATGATTCTTCATATTTCGAAACATGGTTAGTAATGTTGTTATTAATATTATTATGGAACCAGGAGCTGGCAGTATGTGGATGAGTGTTTGTATTTGTATTGATCATGGTGTGACCTCTTGTGGTTGAATTAAATGAGTTCGAAGGAAGTGGTTGTGTGGAGTGACTAATGATTCGCATGAGAGAAGGGCTTTGATCTGTTTTTTGAGAGGGGTTCATTGCTGGTGATGTTTCAAAATATTTCTTTTAAAACCTGTGGTGGGTGATAACGGGAATTAAAAGATCCATTTCAATTTCTAATTATCGAATTCTGTTTTTAGCTTCCTTCACAAAGAAGGCCTTTGAATGCCACATTCATCGAGACTAAAAGCTTATTTGGATCATGAGTGGTCTTCATTTAGTGTTGGAAGAATTTTGTGGTTATTTTGGAAGGCAAAAGAAGAATAGAATCGCTCACTTGTGTATTTGTAAAACAATGAAGAGACCCACTCTTGTTGATTGTCAAAGAAAACAAAGCAAAGACGATCCAATTTGCTTTTCCAGTAATAAATTAGGGTTTTTGGCATCGGTGTTTTGGAAGGAACAAAAATAATGGGATTGCGTGCTGTGAAAATTGCTTTCGTGAGATTTCAAGACTGAGAGGATCCGGCGCAAGGTGACAAGTTTGTAATATTGGCCTTGGAATTCACAAAGAAGGGAATGGAAATTCTTCCATGTGTAGACATTTGATTTACGGGAGTTCACTAATAATGCTGAAACAATGGCCTCAATCAAGAATTCTTTTACTGGTGAACCAAGTAATACGCGTGATCACCTTCATACAATGAAACCAAATAAATAATTATTGTTAATAAATACTCTATACTACTAAAATATTGCAATAGTTGTCTCAATTATTCACGTCTTAGGTTAATTGCCTTCAATTCTGACACTACATAGTCACCACACAAAATATCTGGATACTTCTCAGATTTCCATTCTTCTTTAAGTGGTCCAATATTTTCATCACTTGCAATGTGTGAGAATAAGGTTGACGAAACTCTCCAGAGAGGACGTCCTAATTCTTGTTGTCTCTTCATGGCATCAAGGGTATCTTGAATCACAACCACTTCATGCATTCCAGATTCAATGAGACCACCAGTCATCCATTCCAATTGTTTTCCCGCTTGAAGCAAGAGACATCCCTTAGGAACTTTCACTTGCAATTTCTTACCATTTCTCAACCAAATGAATAAACCAGGATATTTGCTTGCAGAGTGAATAGTAATGTAATTAAGATCAAAGTGGAAACCAGCAAGGACAGTTCCCAATTCTCCATACTTGGTGAGATCACTACCAGTGGGTGCGAGTAAGTGACGACCATATTCCAACTTTTTCGTGAAGGTATCTTTCTCGAGGCCAAGACCCATTGCCAACAATTCTGAGACTGTTCTCACTGCAGCAATCATGCATTCAGCCCATCCATCCTATATGATGAGAGAAGGGAGTTCATAGGTTCATCATTATTCACACAATGAATGTATTAAACACAATAGTGGCAATAGTAACAGTGTGTTGATATTCCAACCAAGAGATTACAGTGAATGATCAAATTAATGTATCCACACTTGACGTTTTACTTACCATCATGGAAATCCATCGGTCAGCAAAAGCCTCAGGAACGACATTGGGTTGATTGAGGGATGGAAATTTTGTGTTAGGATTGGTTTTGCCATATGGATGGAAGAATCTCCTAAAGAGTCGACGAACGAGGATCAAATATCACCCATTGATGTCACAAACAACAACGATCGAAGGGAAATTGAAAATAATGAGAAAATATTTTGAAATAACCAAATGATGAAACATACCATTTGGGGTCTTTGCCCTTGGTTGGACTAAAAGATTTTCACAATCAATAAATTGCAAGGAGCCAAAATAAGTGCCATGACACATCAGTAAAGCCAATCCGTAAATTTTGTGGAGATAGATATAGATTTCACGGTACAACAGCCACAAAATTTTGGAATAGCATTTCACAGCCATAAATTTTAAAGTGTCAAATAAGTACGTTTGTAGGATTTGTATGTCATCAGATAATGTCGTTTTGGAAAATTGGGAACATGATCCGCATGTGTCCACCGTTCCAACAGGGAGGAACCAAATTTAAAATCATCATGAGTAATGCATTGTATACAACCGTCAATTTACAGTGTTATTATTTGTTGTCCGAATCGTCCAATGAACATGTTTAGTTGAGAATGAATGGAAAACTGTACATACGTTGGTTGACTTTCCAAGTTATCTTTCAACTTGGTTACAATATACTCGGTATTGTCTCTTGGGCGTTCTGTCATCTCGGGAGTTGCTCCAATCTTTTGTAACAACATTTAGAAAGGCCATCATTTCACACACAAAAAATCATCATAGGTCAATAACACCATCATCACCATTCATGAGACAACGAGTTCACAAGCATGAAATTTTTCAATCATGATGAAAACATCAACATTATGATTTGAATGGTCATTATCGTCCGACCATCAATCACCTACCTGATAGGACCACTCTGGATGGACATCTTTCATTTTGACTTCAGTGGGTTGAGCATAGTAGTCTTCCATTAAATCCAAAAAATCAGAAGCCTTCTCAAAAGTAACTCTAGGGTCGCGGACTTGAGTTTCATCATCATTCCAATTATTTTCAACGGTCGTGTTGAAATGAGTTGAATTCATGAATTTTAAAAGCAAAGATTATATATCAACAACACGATGCAATCATGATGATAATGATGGATACCTACGAATCAAGCAAGATGTTTCAACAAATGATTTTCGGACCATATCAATATCTTCTTGTCTGACTGTTCCGTTCAAATATTCACTAATATCCACGATAGGGAGGGCTTCCATTTTCAAAGAGAGCTCGTTCTTAGGAGTGAGTGTGTGTGAGAGAGAGGACGAGAATGCAAAGATGACGTTTTTTTGAAAAACGATAAAAATCATTTCAGTTGCTGGGAGGTACTGAGTTTTTGACTTTTTCGGAACATGTAGTGGTCAACCAAAGGGATTTTGGTCAATTCGGAGCAGACAGGATAATGTTGGTCGTACTGCCAAGATTACAAGAATATATTTCCGAATGCAAACGTACGAAAGTCATCATCGCTCTCTCATGCCCACCTAAAGAGTTGCATTTCAAAAAATATATTTCTTGAGCTCCTTATGATAAGAGATGATGACAATGGAGCAGAAAACTGTTTGAATTAGAGTAAGTATAGTTGTTCATAAAATATCTCCATCATCACCATGCAACCTGGTTCATTCATTCCTTACAACATGAGGTTCATCCAATCTTCCCGACCCTGTGATGTTTATAAATCTCTCATCACGAGCCTCTCTTCTTTTTTTATTCAAAAAAAAAATTTACAGTGTTCTCTCAAGCCTTAAATCTTGATCCTTGTCTCTTTGTTGATACATCTTCCTCCATTTGTGTGTTCGTGACTTTTACAATGATTTCCAGTGCTGATCATCATCCTCGGTTTTTGAAAACAACAATTCCTCCTCCAAGCAATCATTCGGAATTGAGAGTTGCTCCTCCTGGTTCACGATTGCAATTAGAATTTATTCATGGTTGTAGTAAGAGAGGTTGTAGAGGTAACATTTTGCATATGAATAATAAGGGTCGTTTGGTGTATCCTGCTGCTGCATGTGGTACTGTTCTTGACATTGAGAATAATACGCAACAAATTTTCAATAAGCATACCGATGACGTTGTTTGTATTGCGAAGCAGTAAGTTTTTTCGGTATGCATGTTTTTTTCGATAATCAGATCCATTTCGAAATCTCTCATTTCTTTTGTTGGTTATTAATTTACATTTTGAACGATTGGTGCACAGCCCCAATGGCGATCTTTTTGCCACAGGTCAAATCGGAAGAAATAAGAATGATATTTTTGTTTGGAGTAGCTCTTCACCAAGTGAACCATTGGCTGTCTTGGAGACCTTCCATCATTTCAAGAACGCTGGTGTCATTGATTTATGTTTTTCTAAAGATGGCACCAAATTAGCAGCTGGTACGTGTTGTATTCGCATCTGACATTGTGTATTTATTACTGAGCTAACCTTAAGTTGGTGGAGATGTCATGAATTCAACTCTGGTTGTGTATGAGTGGCAGTCTCAAACATTGTTGGGCTCCTGTAAAGCACATTCAGGCGACGTTTATGATTTAAGCTTCAGTTCTGATGATTCTAAAATTTTGTTGTGTGGAAAAAACTCGGCAAAATTCTTTGAGTTGACCAATGGTCTTCAGGCACGTCAAGCTGTGTTCTCCCCAAGAGGTGTTGGTCAAACGGTGTATTGTACATGTTATGATCCCTCTGGAAATCCCATTTGTGGAGTCAAAGATGGTTCGTTGTATGCCTTTGTTGGAAATAAGCTTGTGTATAAGAAAGATGCTCACTCTGGAGCTTGTTATACATGTTACAGAACAGAGAATGGGTTTATCACTGGTGGAAGAGATGGAAAGGTTTGTACTTTTGAATAATTGTTGATTCAATACTGAATGATTGAACCCTTCGTAAAAGGTAATTTGGTGGGAGTTCACTTCCGAGCAAGTTGAAGGAATACACTTGTTTAGACAAGTAGCCTCCCTCAATTTAGTTGATCCAATCCAAAGTGTAGTTCCATCCAATGTTGAGCGCGATGTCGTTTATGCAACTAGAGGCAATGGAGATTTGGTTAAAATTACAAACAAGATGCAAGTTGACATCTTACTTGTTTCGCATGTGGCAGAGAAGGATGATGAATTATGGGGTTTGTGTACCATACCTGGTTCCAATTTATTCTTGAGTGCAGCCGATGACGGACGATTAATTATGTGGGATCTCTCAACCCACAAACATGTGCAACAACTAAAAGTGACAACCAAAGGTGAACTCAGAAGCGTTGCTTTCTCCCCTGAGTTGTCACACATAGCCACTGCCACCAAACATGGAACGCTATTTGTTTATAATTTTGATGGCTCAAGCATTTCTTCACAGCCTTTTGTCAATGAAAAGAAAGCTGCTGAGGAAGTTGCTGCATTGCAATACTCACCTGATGGCACTTTGCTTGCTCTAGGTTCACACGATAATTTCATCTATATTCTGAACACTTCTGACTACAGCTTAAAATTCAAACTTGTTGGACATTCAAGCTTTGTGACACACATTGACTTTAGCAGTGATGGAAAATGGCTAAGAAGCAACAGTGGCGACTATGAGGCTTTGCTTTGGGACATGACAACTGGTAAACAGGTTGTCAAACACGGTATAAACATGGAAGATATCGATTGGCACACAGTCACATGTTCCCTTGGATGGAAAGTTCGAGGTATTTGGAAAACCGAGATGGATGGAACTGACATTAATGCCGTAGATGTTTTCTATGGAAAGCAATTATTGGCTTCCGCAGATGATTTTGGTACTGTGACTTTGTTCCACTACCCTACTGCAAGCTTACGTCCTCCAAGCGAGCAATATATTGGACACTGTTCTCATGTGACAAATGTTCGATTCACATCCGATGGAAAATACTTACTAAGCGCCGGAGGTGCTGATATCACAATTTGTCAGTGGAGAATTTTGTAATCTTGAGAACTGCCTGTCTGTTTGTTTCTCATCAGAAAAAAATTCACAACAAAACTGAAGAGATGCTTTCGTAATTCGTGTTGATGATCATGCATTTACTTGTTGATTTTATCATGATAATAAAAGGAAATATCTTAAATTGCGTATGATGGAATGAGCAAGCTAAATATTGTTCCGTTGTTCGATGTTCAAACAACAATGCTTTTAAAGATATTTCCTTTTAAATCCGCCAACCACAACCAACAAAATAGCCAACAATAGCAGCATGTTCGAACAACAGGAATCCACTGATATCATCCATGAAGATACCATGCCCGATCGGCTTGTCCTCTTCTTCAAAGCCTTAAAGGTCACTCACTTGGTGGTTGAGAGAAATCTCTTCCGAAAGAGTTTACTCCCAGACAAACGCAGCAGTAGCAGCAGTATCAACCATATCATCCAAAAAACTACTCACGACAACAACAACAATACTACCACCACCACCACAGTATACACACCACCCTCTGAGTTTGAATCCGATTTTCATTTTCGTTATTTCACGAGTAATGAATCGTTTGTGGAGTGGACCAAAACTGCCGTTTTGAATCCCTTGTTACTGAAATGCTCAGATTCGGAGACTCATCGTCTAACATCCACTCAAACCCTCATGCAAGTGCTCAAAGGAAAAACTTTACCTAACCATTCACGAAAAGGAGAGCTCATTTCCGAAGTATTGTTCTGCCTCGAATTGCTGAGCTTGTTTTGGATTCGGAACACCAATGATGATACCAACGAGGATAAAGAGGATCATGATTTTGTTGCAATGATGATGCCACTGGCTAATCGAGCCTTATCCTTCTCGAGCGTGCCCTATTGCCGAGCTGCTCAAGAAATACAACAATCATTGCCCTCTCATATCGGAGAATTGTACAGATTTCTCTGCATCTTCTTTGAACCCTTAGAAGAGTTGATACCAAACACATGTAGTGATGGTGGTGTTTGTGAAACAGATGGAACGAACGAACGAATCCAACCACTTTTTTGTGAGATGATGATTTGGAGCTTTTTATATTCTCATCATGATGAATTTCAACGAATCGCGTTGCAACAAGAAGAAGAGACACCACTTTTGGAGAGACCACGCTACAAACAACATGTGGTCACCTCTTGTTCGAGTGAATTATTAAGGTGTTTCAATAAGATTATCGATTCTAGCGAAGAGAGAGCACACTTCTTCACTCTTCTTCTTTCCGTTCCGTTTCTTGCGGGTGAATATTTCGACAATAGCACCAGTAACCACAAGAACAACATGAACACCAACAATGAGCTGCATCAGGAAAAAGAGTCAACACATAAATCCAAACCACCACAAGAATGGAAAGAGATTCTTCAAGAGTTGTTGCACATTCCAATGCAAGAATTGGACCTTCACGAAAAGAAAACCATTTTGAAAAGCATGGTGAATCATTTGTATCGTGAATTATTTCAATGGTTTCAAATGAAAGTGAATGACCATCTTGTGCGAGTGTTGCAGTCTGTGAGAGGCGGATACGATGAAACTCAAGGAATTCCTCCCGAATTGTTATTAGAAAATCAATATCTACTCATTGAACTGGCCCATAGTGAACAAGCACATGATCATCCATCTGATAGAACTCCCTCCTTAACGACATTGCAATGCCCTAAAGGCACTAACACTTCCTGCATTCATGTGAATCATCTTGAAAAGTTTCAAAAATTTAGAGAAAAACGAAAACGACCACTCAGATCCATGACGAGCCACCATCTCAAGAATCTCACAGACACGAGCTCAACCAATAACAAATTGGATATCATTACTATACGCATGTATGAAAAGATTAAGCAGTGGTTGGAATCAAAATTTGGTAACTATTCCACATTCATTAACGATTCTGCGTACATGACACTCTTTGAGAAACCTGCTCTATCCTATGCTTTTTGTCTCAACTCGAGCACTCCCAACGATAAAGAATTTGAGAGGAGAATTGTAAAATATTTACCTGAGATTATGGAATTTAAGAAACAAATTCTATCAGTCATGTCAGATGTAAAATTGGACGTTCATGTTCTTGATAAGACCATGATGAGTGAGAGCATGGATCACACCACCAACGATGATGTTTTAAATGATGCTGGTACTTCACATCAAAAAATACATGAACTCTCAAATGTAAACACTACTCTAGAGATGACAACATCACCAGAAATTGTTATTACAAATATTCCCATTCCAGATCCAGTCTCTCCTCCTGAAAGCAAAAAGAAAATTTTTAAAATTAAAAAGACAAAACAAAGAGAACAGAAGGAACTTGAGCTCCTAAGGGAAGAAGTCGAGGAGTTGGAAAAGGAACTATTCGAAAGAAAAGAAATCATGAAAAAAATTGAAAAATTGAAACGTGAGAAGAGTATGGATGACAGAAATACGTTGACACAACAAGTCAAATTGAAAGATTTGTCAGTACTCGAGAAGACCATCGTAAAGGCAAGATCTTGCCTTGCACTATGCAATATATACCATTGTGATTGGTATCGAGATAAAATTGTGGAATACCTAGATCAATTGAGAACAATAGTCGAAACATGTGAAAATCCTTCTTCTTTGAAAGGAGATAATATCGTATTGAAGCAATTACAGGAACATCTTGATGAGCAGTAAGTACATGCTCTTTATGAAACCTTTTTTGATCATTTTGTTTCTCTCCATACAGTTCCTACTATATTGGATTTCAATTGCCATCATTATTTTCCTCTTTGCAAGAAAATGACTCTCTGAATGGGTCTTCAATCAATTGTTCTAACTTTAAGGGATTTCAAAGATTATACAAATATATGGATATAATCGAAAGGCATGTGGATATGATTCCATTGTCTCCTCTCAATGTAGCAGAGTGTTTAAAGCTTTGCACACGGAAGCTCCAATCGGATTTGGAAATTCTGACACAAGTGAGACATTTTCGTTCAATTACCTTGTATAACAATCATGAAATTGGATGTCGTGTTGTGAAGTGCATTGAACTTTTGAGCCTGAAATCTCCATATGGAACTCTTGTGTCAGTATTATTGAACGAATTTCATACGATTCATGTTGCAAGTGAATTGTTGAGATTGTCTTTGAAACATTTTCAAGCGTTTAAAGATTATGTATATGCTTTACTTCGTATGATTCATTTACTTGTGGAGAAATGTAGTGACAAACCATTGGATGGAAACGAAAATAATTCCATGTCAGCACAAAATGATAACAATTTTGCGAAATTAGACTTTAATCAAGAATCTCAAGACAGGACAGAACTGGACTTGATTACCTCTTCTCTTTCCAATGCATCATTCACCTTTAGCTTAATATTTGCATTTAACATGTCCTATTCTGAACTCAATTGGAACGAGAGTACAGTGTTTGATATTCTGAACATGACACGTGACTGTCATGCGGATTCAGTGGAGAATGCTCATGTGGCTCTCAATATTCCTATTGCTCGTACTTCCCTTCGTTTATTGAGACTTCTGCTTCACAACAATTATATCTCGCATATTTTGAATTCTTGCAATAGAATTGAACGATTATTACCAGAAAATTTAATACAAGCTCTCAGAACATGTAATGACATTGAATTGCAAAATGAAGTAATTCAGTTGATAGATTTAGGAGCTCGAAGAATCGCCTACAAGAACAGCGTATCACAAGACATGACCATGTGCGACTTGCCAATTGCTGAAGACGCTTCCCAATTCAATGAGCAAGTACTTGGTGAAATTGTCAATCAAAAGAATTGCTTCACCTTGTTCAATTATAGAGATATGTTTTTGGATGGCAATACACCACAAATTCTCCTTCTCATTCTTCATAACCATATCATGCATTACGTGGATGGAAATTTTGGAGATGATTTTGCACACAAGACAATGGTTTGCCTGCTGACACGATCGATTGGTAAAGCTTTATATGCTTTGTTGACAGAACATTCGTGTGATGCCACTACCATATTAAGCCTGATTGAGAATGGAGGACTTCATGAGAACAACCACAACAACAGCAGCAGTACATGCTGTTTGAGCACTGCGTCCACGTCGTTTAAGCAACGACCAAGTGTAGACCGAATGTCACTCAACCAATCCTTTGCATCGAGTTTATCAGAAAATGGTATGAAGAGAGAAATTTATAGCTGTTTGTTTTACATACTACTTGAGGCATTATTAATGGAGAGAAAATTATCATTTGATGACGGCAATGATCCTACCGAAACAAGCGATGAAAATCAACAAAAACTTTTAACCGAATCTCCACCATTGTGCGAGTGTGAATTATTCAAAGCGGCATGGGAGACACTGATGAATTTAATGAGAATATCTGGAGATTTCAGAAGATGTGTTGATCGACAATTTGCATCCATTGCATATCTACGAGATTTATCGTTTTTACAGCTCTTATTGGGAACCTTTAATCGTTCACAAATTCGATTCTGCATGACAACGGAGGGTGTGACAGCAACAAGTAGTTGTAGCAGTAATGATGAATCGTTGGTAAACAACTTTGAAAAGCAAGATCAACTTCTAAAAAGAGAATTGGAGAAATATGGACCAGATGTCTTGCGTGACTTACATTTGCGTAGCCGTAATTCCGACGACGGCAAGCCATTGACTCGTATTTTAGAATGTACTCCGTATGAGTTGGCAAAAGAGATTTTACTTTGTAAGAGAATCCACACACGATATGAATTTGATACAAGTACCAACATCTCCAAGATTAATCATGATTCCACTCAATCTTGTGGACCCTCTCTGATTGAAGCACTCTGTGAAAAGTATACAAGTGTTTTCTTTTCACACTACGCTGAACAGGGTGTCTTTGAATGGAATGAAGTATTTTCAAGTGTATTGGAACATTCTCAACAACACGATGAAGAGTTGATGCATTTGCAACATTCACCACGCATGATGAGTCCAAAAAGATCCAATGAGAACTTGTTTGTAGCGCAATCACCCACACGCACAACGTCTTTATTCAAAACAAGCCCTCAATCACCACCTCTGTCACCACAACAACAGCAGCCATCCAAACAACTCTCACACAGTCCATCCATGCCTTCATTGCCAGGTATTTCTCCAATCAAGAAGACTAGGATGATGTCAACTCAATTTCCTTCCTCTCCCTCCCTTAGCAACAACCCCCCAACGTCTTTGCCTGATCAGCCACACTCTCACATGAAACCCAAAAAGTTATTCCTTTGAATGCATTGATGATGAGGTACTAAAGCATTATATTGTTGTTGTTGTGTCCACAACTATTTTATTAGAATGTAATTAGAGTGCTTGTGTTGGTTCCACATCCCACTCCCTCAAAAAAATGAGAGCCTTACATGGAAATAAGGCTATGGATGGCTTAACAAGAAGAAGAACAACAAGATTATCAACAGAACGAGGCAGGGACATTCCGTCCAGTAGAGATGGATGCTCTTCAAGGAATCTTATGAGATATACGATCATGATCGTAATCATCATGAGTGCCGTATTTTACGACCACACAAATAATCAGCATTATCAGCAACATCATCGTTACGGAGGTGTTATGGCCCATGAAATATTTACGAGGGATGGACCAACTCCTCATCAATTTCATCATCAAAGTGCTAGTAATACTCATGAACCCGAGGTTGGTTCCAAAGTGATCAATGAACAAGAGCCTTATCATAAATGTATTCATGATGATATTTTGCAATATGAACGATCAATTAGACATCTTCCTGGAAGCATCTTTTATCAGATGGAGGCAAGCTTTCTTCATCAGGAGCAGGAATTAAAGAAGCGAAAGCGGTCCATCTCCACCTCGCAAGAGGTCTGGTCGAATTTGAGAATTGTATTTCGATTGGACTACTTGGGAGCAACCGACGTGGAAACCCGAACATGCATTGTGAAGGATCAATGGTACTGGGATGGAATCAACACACCCACGGGACAATTTCCTGGAACACCTGCTTGCGATTCGAATACCTTAACAACGAATTGCTGGAGAAAGTGTACCGATGAGCAAGTCATCTCGGATGCCCTCATTTCGAATATTAGAGATGTGTTGTTGCCATCCCTCAAGCAAGAGCTATCCCTCACGGTACAAACGCGATCCGTACGAGATGGAGATTTGACTTCGTTTTTCAGTGGCATGTCTCGTTGTGGATCTCGAGGAGGTGTGCCCATTCCTTCCGACTTGAAGGCAAAAGGATTTGATGGACTCAATGCTGACATTATCATATTCGTCACGACACGACCAACAGACAAGGGAGTGTTAGGTTGGGCTGTCAGTTGTGCCTCCGATGCCATTACGAAACGACCTCTCGCTGGACAATTGAACGTATCGCCATCCATTCTGAGTTATTCACTCAAAGAAAGAATGAGTGTGCTCATTCACGAGTCGTTTCATGCACTGGGATTTTCTCAGGCAGCAATGAACACGTTTTACAACAGTACATTGTCACGGACCATGTCATTCAACGAAGTTGGAGTAGCTGCAAAGAAAAACCTTTGTGGACAATTATGGAACGACACAATCGGTCGATGTGAACATTCTTAAAACACCAAAGGTTGTAGAGGTGGGACGAAGTCATTATAATTGTCCAACACTAACAGGTATTGAAATGGAGGAAGGTGGTGGCCAAGGAACTGCATTCTCTCATTGGGAAAAGAGAATCATGAGAAACGAAATCATGGTAGGAAGCTTGGGAAAGGAGCAATTGATTTTGAGCCCTTTCACTCTTGCCTACTTTGAAGATTCTGGTTGGTACAAGGCCAACTTTTCTCGTGCCACTCGATTATTGTGGGGACGGGATATGGGATGCAAAATGGCTTCAGGACGATGCGAACAGTGGTCTCAAGACACGCCCACTCGAACAGGCTATTATTGTAGAGATTCAAGTGTCTCTACATGTTCCTACGATTTGAAAAGTAAGGGCGGATGTTCCATCACAACACACACGCAAGCTTTGGGATATTATGAACATGTAGCTGGTAGTCCTAGATTGGGAGGTCAGGACGATTTAATGGACTATTGTCCTTTGGTAGAACCTGTGACTTCATGTTCTGACATTGGCGCCTCCAAGGTGAGTGTGAGCGAATATTTTGGGCCAGATTCTGCTTGCTTTGAGAGCAATATCGCTGGTTTGTTGATAGGCCAAAAAGATGTCGATACTCGATGTTTCAAATATGCATGTGAAGATGGTTTACTCGTGTTCTACATTCAGGATCGTAGATATACGTGTTCAGCCACTCAAGAATATGAAAGAAAGGAGAGCATGCCCATTGGCTTTAAAGGTTATGTTGCATGCCCAAAGAATGGTTATGATATTTTGTGTGGTCAACAAACAGCAAAGAAGGTTCCACACACGTCGAAAGGACCTTGTTTATTTGGTGTCTTTTTTTGCAACTCTGCCACCAATGTTTTTGAAAATGCGTTCATGACCTCACTGAAAGTGATGTTAGCGTTCTTTGGAGCATTTATGTTGCTTCTGGAATAAAGTATACTGATGACAAATATGACCAATTACACAACTTTTCAATTTCACCGTCATCAACTTCAAACTTACCAAAAAATATAAAAGAACATGCCTTTCGATCCAAACATCACTCTTGAGCAATTACGTCAAGTCCATGTGGATTTTGTGTCCCAACGAGATTGGCACAAGTATCATACACCTCGGAATTTAGCACTTGCTCTTGTCGGTGAAGTAGGAGAGTTGGCAGAACTTTTTCAATGGAAATCCGATCGAGTGTGTGAAAATTTGGAAGAAAACTTTTCCGAGAGGGAGAAGGAAAACTTGAGAGATGAACTCTCCGATTGTTTACTCAAAATATTTTGAGATTATCGGATGTGTGTGGAGTGGATTTACCAACAGCTGCTCTTGAGAAGATGAAAAAGAATGAATTGAAATATCCTGTCGGGAAGTCCTTTGGAAGAGCTGATAAATATATTTATCTGGAACAACAAGAATTACATCAGGGGTCTGAGAATGCTAGTTCATCGAAAAGAAAGTTAAAGGAAGAAGAGGAAGAAGAAATTAAATCATCATCTTGTTCCGACAATGACGAAACAGAAGGAAGTGAAGAAAATTTAAATGAAAAGAATCAACAGAACCAAGAGGCATCCGAAGCAAACCCTCCTCCACATCAAACAAGAATTGAAAACAATTCCTCTCTTGAACCTTCCAATGGAGGGCGTCTTGTGTTCAATAATTGCTCACATTTTACCATAAACCTCAATTAAATCTTTAAAAACATTCCCGCCATTTGAAGGCTCAGTTTTACATTTTTTTTATTTTCAAAAAAATACATTCCAAGCAACGATCACCATCATGCACGAACGAATTTTTGCAAATATTGAGCTGTCGGGTAGGTGGAATGATGATGATGAATGGGTGATAAATGGAATGCATGATCCATGTTGTATTATATTTTGATTACAATTAAATGATGAATTTATTTAACTTTAATCGGAACATGAAGTAATGGAACAGCAAATGAAGAATTTAATTGCCAAACAAAAGGAAATGAAGCTGTATGTCAAGGAAGAGTTTAAAAAGATACAATTGAGAATGGAAAAGGAGGTCATGGATGCTCAACAAGATGGGAATTCAATGATTGTTCAAACGTAAGTGGGAAAACGAAATTTATGATTGGTTGACCAATTTTGAATCTTATTCAAACTCATCATTATAGAATCGAGAAAATTTTTGATCTAACAAATATGCATATGAAATTAATTGAAGATGGTATTGAAAAAGATATCAACATGCTCTCAGAAGAGGTCAAGCTGTTAAAAGTTCTCAAATACGAAAAGGATTACTGGAAGGAGTTGGAATTGAAAATGGTTGTTGGAGATACTGAAATCGTGGATATTGATGTGTTCAACCAAGATTTGGAAAGCAATTTCGAAAAATCTAAGGAAGATTTTGATAATTTTATGAAGGAAATAAGGAAAATGATTGACCGTCTTGCATTCCAAGAAATCACTGAACTTTTATCGAGTTGTGTGTATTAAGAAATATTGAGAGAAATATTGTTTGAAAAGAGCAGAGATAAAGAGAGAAAAAGAGCACTGTTTTGAAAATCTTAGAGAAATTGTATTTCGAAATTTTTGATTACAATATTTAAATACTGTGGTTCTTTATGAGACTAGATAACTCTGAACCTTGAGAGCTTGATAAAAATCCTTGATAGAGTGTCAAGAGATGAGTTTGACTAATGGCAGCACCCTCTGTGAAGAGAATATTTGGTGGATTAATTACATTTTCCTTATACTTGGTTAAAATCTTTTGTTTCTCCTCAGGTGACAGCACTGTAAAGGTTTCATCATTAATGTACTGCTGAATAATTCTCTTGGCATAGACACTTCTCTGAATGGAATCTGTAGCTTTTTCATATTTCATGGCTTGTACACAGAAATCAATCACATCCGTTGGAATTGACAGTGACTGGGCATAGTCCTTGAAATAAATTGCATAATTCTCATTATACAATAATTGTGATAAATCAGGCAAATAAACATCACCACTAGTAATTAGAGGTGATGAAGATGCTGATGCTGCTGATGGATTGGCTGTTGTAGTGGGCTTGATGTTAGGTGAATTCGAAAATGCAGATATTTCAAATTGTTGTTGTGGAATCATATCTGGAACGACCACACTACTTGTACTGCTGACGCCACCACCATTCATCTTATTCATGAGAGAAAATGTGGTTGGTGTGGGTGTGGCAGAACTTGCCTTTGTAACAGTAGCATTGAAAGTAATTGGAGGGACTGAAGTGGAAGAGGATGTCTTTCGAAGAGTTGAAATTCCATAATTGCCATTCACAGTTTGTGACTGCACGGAACTGTTCGTTGCAGAATTCAATTTTCCACTTCTCATCTTATAATTGTAGGTTGAACTTTCACAAGAGGTAATATTGAAAGGTGCAAGATTGTCACCTCCGCGACCACATACTGAAAATGCTTCTTCCACTAAGAATTTCAATCGAGTACACATAATTTTCGATTGATTTGGATCGACAGCTAATTTTGGTGTATACTTGGAAATATCATTCAATCTCTGAATATCCTCTGTTGTATATTTCAACAATTGCTTAAAGTCTCTAATTGCAGGATTAAGTACTTCACACAAGAATGAACTTGCCACTTCACTCTCTGAAGTGATGGCCAACTTGTACAATAAAGCAAAGGCGTTAGCATCTTTGGCAGAAAATCTCACAAATGATGAAACAACTAACAAAATGGCATCTCGTAAACGGGCAGCACTTGTCAAGTACATGTTGGTTAAAATTTCCGCTGCATGAATCACATATTCTGTATTGGAAAAGAATGCATTCACTAATTCTAAACAAACTCGATTAGAAAAGTCGACAGGAGTGATGGTTGTAGTGTTGTTAAAACATGCAGCAAGTGGTCCATTCAATTCTTCTCGAACAGTTTTCATTAAATTTTGACACTCTGGTGTATCCATATCACACACAAAATAGGGCATTAAAATGACAAGTGACGTGAAGAGTTTTCGTTCTGGAACTTCATCCAAAAAGTAACTGTTGTTAGCTCTCAAATAAATGGTCAACAGGTCCAAAATCTTTGGTTGAATATTCCTATTAGCAATAAACTCTGCCAATATGTATAACATTCCTCTCCAACCTCTCTCTGCAATATATCTCTCTAATTCATTCTTGACAATCTTTTCATTTTCAATAAGGAAATATTTCGAGAAACATTGTTCATTATTTCTCAATTCATATAAACAATCCACAATGGCTTCAATATATAAATTTAAAGATCCAGAAACAGCACTTGCAGAGACAGCTGGAATGGATGACAATATGGAAATCAATGTCCAAAAGACATGTTTGTAATCAAGTGTTGCATTTCGTGTGATCATTAAATGTAAAACATCCACAGCCAATACTTTTGAATCAATGAGAATATCCTGAGCATTCAATGTCACGGGAGCAGTTCGATTTACGAGTGCCAAAGATTGTTGTGCATTGAAAAAGTTCAATTCATTCGCATCGGCAAAGGTATAGACGCAATGAAGCACTCGATAGAGAACTGTTCTTGAAAGTGTAATATTTTTTGAATTTCTTAAAATGTAATAGAAAATACTGAGATAGTTGTGAACGAGAATTAAGTTTTTGGTGTCACGAGTGGCCATTTCTAATGCATGTTGAGCGAAATAATCGAGAAGAAGTGGATTCACCGATTGTTCAATACATTCGACAAGAGTCTTGATTAAATAACCAGCACTGATTGAACCTTGATCGGTTGTGAAGGGAACAAGAGATTCCAATTCGAGTTGTGTCAACTTGTCAGAGTTGTGTTCAAGAAGACAATCGACCCAATTGATGGTCACCACCTTTTCTTTCAATAATTTCACAAGGAGTAACCAGTTCTTCTTTTCATGAATTTGAGAAGCAGTATGTGAAATGATACTCAATAATAAACTTGTAAAGAGAGTGTGAGCATTCTCATTGGATCCATCCATTCGGATCAATACATAGGAAAGAATGATATGAGCTTTTTCGAGAATGTGAATTTTGTGTTCGTTGTGACACACAATGTCATTCAATAAGCACATCACAGCATCTCCATAATTGTCGTCACAAGTGCTCAAGTCACTAATCAGCAATTGGAGAGTCAATTTTGGTTGAGAGGCATACAGAGCTAATGCAATTCCTCTACAGATTGTTTCAATATTATACTTTTCAAGTTTGTCCTTTTCGTGAATGTAAGCATTCGATAAAAGTACCTTAATGTAATCCACAATCATGATCAAATTTCTTGGGAAGGTCAATTCATGTGAATAATCTAATCCAAGAACAGGAGATGAGGTTGAACTCAATGGATTCATTAACAATCCACCTTGCAAAGCCAAATCTCTCCAAAGTGTGTGTAATTCTTTGATAAAACCAATAGATCTCTGCAAATGAATGGATAATTTGATGACAATGTGAATCACTTCGTTGACATCCACAGGTGGAGGAACTGGACACAACTCCAAATATTTGCTCCATGGATTTAACACTTGAATCATAAATGCCTTTCTAGAGTTGATGGCCAAAGTGGTGCAGAATTTAAGAGCTTCAGCAAACAAAGCATTACTCCAAAAACTCACTAATCCTGCGACAGCATCAGAAATTTGAAGTGCATAATCGGTTGTGACACAATTTGTTCTCATGGCAACATCTAAAATTTCCAAACGACACATGGTGGCATCTTTCAATTTCAAATCAATTCTTGGTTCCAAATCATCCAAAGTAAAGTTATTTTGAACAAGTGCCATAATTATTTCACTTGCTTTTGAGTGAACTGAATCATAGGGATGATGAAGAAGATACAACATGAGCAACACAATTGGAAGAATATTCTTTTCAATGGTGGTTGAAACAATGTCATCTTCAGAAAGGAATGAAGGTGCTCCTTCAAATAATTCTTGACCTTTTAACATGAGCATCCATTCCAAGCGGTCATCATTGGTGCAATAATGAGGAGAGAATGCAGTTGGACTTGGTAATAAATTGTCATAAATGGCATTCATATAAACTTCAGCAATCGAATCATCGGGAGTTGTGTAATTAACAGAAATAAATTCTGGCAGTAAATGTTCAAAGTGATGACAAAGCAATGCATCCAACATTCGATATCCAGCAAGTTCAGCAGAAACAAAGAAACTTTGGAAATCAAAGTTTGTGTTTGCAAAGAGTGTCGTGATTGGATCCACTTTGAGAATACTTGAAATTGCTCTAAAACAAATATGTTTGAGTTTCACAGTCAAAATATTGGCATATTCTCCTCGCCAATATTCTTTCGCTTTTTCATCTTTCATTCGTTCAACAGTGACTTCTGCAATTTGTTGCATTTGTGGAATTTTGTCTAAACATTCTCTCAAATTATTGATTGCATTGACACGTGCATCTTCATGCCAAACATTTCCATTTCTCAAATAGAGAGCATTGGTCATTTTGAGTGCTTTTTGTCGAGTCGTGGTGTTTTTCATCATGTACAATGATTTTGCAACATTATTTAAAGATGCAGCATTATTGGCATAGGTGTGAAAAACACAATACAATTGGAATGGATCCTTAATCTTGAGATCTTTTTCAGTGGAAAGAATAGAATAAGACTTTTGAAGGAGTTCTGAAATCAATCGAATGGTGTGTGAGAAAATGTTTGGATATTTGAAAAGTTTGGTGAAACTTTGAGTTTGTGTGAAACTGTTCACAATTCTTGCAACATCTTTGAGAGCAATAATAACATTGGCAGTGACCTTCTTTTCCTTCTTGGAATCAAGATAGCTTGTTAACATATCGAGCAATGTAGGAAGAGCTTGATAGTTGAAACATGAACAAATGTTGACAATGGATCGGTGATGCCACACTTCATCGGAACACATGAACTTGTCAAAAATGTCAATTTGCTTGAGAGAACCTCTGACAAGTGTCTTGTAATTCTCCAAAGCTGCATACATGTTTTGATCTTCTGGATTTGGTACACCACACAGGGATACGAGCTATATTATTGATGGCATGTTCATTTGTGAAGGAAAAAATTGTCAATGAAAATGTTAATATATGGAGGCAATGCGTGTGAATTTGAATTTTTGAAATTGTTGCTAACAAATAAAACTTACCAAGCACAAAGAATCAGTCCACAATGGAGCAAATCTTTCATCATCATACGCAACGGTGGACACTTCACAACAGAAATCTTTCAAAATTGAAATCAATTCTGTATACATTTTACAATTTTGTTCTGCCAATGTTTCTCCAATAAAAGCTAGAATAAATGTATACAAGACAGTTGTGGCAGTCTCACTTTGTGAAACAGAAACAAGAGTTTCTTTTTCCAACTTCAATAACAAGTCATCATTCAAAATAAACTCATCGACGCCCATGGCATCTCGAACCTCAATCTTTCGAATCGCTCGTTGAATGATGGAAGATTGTTTTTCCACAATGGTTCGATAACAAAGTCCTGAAACATGTTCATAAAACAAGTTCGATAAAAATTCGAGACATTCCAAAGCACTTAGTCGAAGTTGACGATCCACAAAACACATACTAATCATGCAACATGCTTCGAGTTTGAAAATCCAAGTGTCAATGCTTCGATCAATACCATTCTTATCTTCGGACCAAATCTTTAAGAATTGAATAATATTCTTCATCAAGAATTTGATACTTTTCACTTCGCTAAATTGTTTCAAATGGAATGCAAATAAATCAGTGGTCTTTCTCAGAATGGATGATCTCAAATTTGCATGTTCACTCATCGTCTCTTGGAATGCTGAAGAAATTGAGAGAGCAATGTTTCGATCACCACACATGAGATAATTTCCAACAAAACTCTCCAATCGTTCGAACATTAACAAATCTTCACATGCAAAGAGTGGAATGGTTGAAAGTCCATAAATGAGTAATTTCACCAAGCCATATCTTTCCTTCTTGAGTTTGTCTTCCTTTTTGGATTTCTTTTTCTCGTGATGATGATGATGATGAGAAGAAGATTCTTGTTGAGGACTTGTTGGAAGTGTTGGATATCGATTCAAAGTTGCAGAAAAGTCTATCACAGTTGCTGTCTTTCTTCTCATAAGTGGTTTAAAGACATCGGTTTCAGAAGCTCCTTTTTTAGTCATCTTTCGAACACGTGGTGAAACAGGAGCAGAGAGGTTTGCTGAGGATAAATTGAGATGGTGATCGGCGTCACTAATCAAACTCAAATCGCGATCAGTCACAGCACCTGAGGATCCAAAACTATAATTATCTCCAGTTTCTGATGGTTTTTCTGAAGGTGGTTTGAGCATGACAATTTCAGAATCACCATCGCTTTCCTCTTGAACAAAGATCATGGTTTTTTCTGGTCGAATGACATTATATTCGACATCGGTATATTGCAAAATGGAAATATCCATTCGTTCTGAACAATGTTCAATAATTTTCTTCAAATAGGAATACTCGATTCGAATCGAGTTCAATAAATTTGCATAGGTAGGTTGTCTCTTGATAGAATCCATCTCTGATTCACAAGCCAAAACGTCAATATTGAAACTATCTTTGGTGTTGTTATGCATGATTTTGAGAACTCTCATGGCAACCACAGAGAATAAACTATTCTTTTGAAATTCACGCTGCAGGAATTTTCTAATAATTCCTTCCTTTCCTAGAACAATATCAACATCATAGGAAGCCAATCTCATGACAAGAAGTGTCAATAGAAATGAAGTATCATCGAAATCTTCTGCTTCTACTGTCACATTCATCTTTGTTAAGAATGTGATCACAGCGGATGCAACCTGAGCCATCACTTCTCGGTACTTATTCTTTGACGTTTGATCTTCAGTAAAGTAAGCAAGATTCTTATCTGCCTCTGAATAGACCACATCGACGAATGGTTTGTATTTGATCAATAGATTTTGATAGGGACCTCTGACAAAACTATAGGGCGTCATATTTCGGTCGACATTATACTTGTCTTTCATTAAGACACACAATGCATAGAGAGATTGATTGAATATCTCAATTTGATCCTTCTTCTTTTGTGCAAATTCAACAACTTCTCCAACAACTTTTGCAGCATGTCCATTATGGAAAGCAAATCCTGAATGTTTGACAATGAGTGACTTTAAAATCATGCTTTCACCTTTTGAAGATCCTTTTTGACCAATTTTTGACTTTTCATACATATTTGCAATCTCATAGGTTTTCAAATTGAACTCTTCCAATAAATTACAATTTTCTTCCAATTCAAAGTCCAATTGTAAATAAATGGTTTGTAACACTCGTAATAGTGCATTTCTTAGAGAGATGGATGACTTGACAGTCTTGTCCTTCTCTGCCAAGCTCACTAATGATTCAAGCAAGTCACGTGTTGGAATTACATTCTCCGACAAGTCAATATCCACAAATCTCATAATATTCATGTAGCATTTGGCAAGTCCTTTGTCAGTCTTGGAGTTCATTTTGACCATAAAGAAGGAACACACTTCTGAAAGGTTCTTTCGACTCAATCTTCGAATCACGAAAGCCCATTGATCTATGATGTAATCTTGCATTTGTTTCCAAATGGAATACAATTTGGCATTGGAATATGTGTCATAAATGACAACTGTGAAACAGTACCGCAACACGCTTTCTGTCACATGAGTATCCACAACTTGTGGATTATAATTCTTTAAAATCACACACAGAATGTCACTAGCAGTGAGCCAAATCAAGATATCAAGTGATTGCAACAATACATTTGATTTCTCGTCACCTGTCAAATTAAATTGTTGCATTAAACGAGCTCTAAATTTAACATAGGACCATTCAGGAATACCCACTTCGTTTGTACTTGAGGGTTGTTGTAACCAATCAAGAACAAGTTGACAATACAATTGACAATTCTTTTCAAAAGTAGTATCTTTGAATAGTTTCAAATGTTTCAAATAATTCTCACTCGTTCTAAATTGAAATAAGGATGCAAAATTAACATCATCTCTCTTCTTCTCCTTTGCATCATTCAAAATCTGTGGTGGAATTGTTTTCACACTCTCCACAAATTCTTTCTCCACAAATTGTTGAAATTCCATCAAAATACTTGCAGCCACTGAGACGACAAATCCCTTCTCATTCACTTGAAACAAGTATTTACTTTGTTGTTCCAATTCATCGCCCAATCTCAATGAACGTTTTGCCAAATTCATTCCGCCACTACTACTTGAAAGTTCTCCATTGCTTCGTCCCGATTGATTTCCGTAAACCGGAGTGAGAGCACTTCCCGAACGTGAAGAATTGCTATTGATCGAATGGTGTGGAGGAGTGGAAGGTTGTTTCTCCGGAGAGGTTGTTGTTGCTGCTGGACTGACTGTAATTCCATAAGACAGGGAAGGAAGAGGAGGAGGAATCATGGAATTTGTGGAACTTGTTGTTTGTGAAGGAAGATCAAGTTTTGGTACAACGAAGGGAATGGGAGGAACCAATGGAATGGGAATGTTTGATGTGTTAGTAGTGGCGACGACAGGAGTAGAATGTTCGGTCATTCGATTCGAGCTTGGAGTGGACATCTGAAAGGTTGTTGTTGAAAATGTTGTTGTTGTTTGATCAATCATGAGAAGAATGTGCATGTTGTTGTTCGATCAAGCACAGTCATGAAAAGAATTTCAAATATATCATCATCGTATTGTCATCATCATCAGGATTGTACCATTTGGATGAAAAAAATCAAAATTCAAAATCAAAATTCATCATGGATGGTTAAAGTGTAATTCAAATTTCATTTTCCTACAAACCTCACTTCCACTATAACTATATTCTTCACCACCTGAATCAGAACAGGCGTGATTGGCTTGGAGTGGTGGTGGTGATGTCGTTGTTGTTGTTGTCGTGATGGTAGTCGTTTGAATCAGCGGAACTCCTTTTGACGAATTTGTAATTGTTGTTCGATGATCATCTTCTTCTTCGATCATGGAGGTGTGAACGGGACCTGGTGGAAGAGGAATGGAATCTTCCTCGTTGTCGACGGATGAGGATTCGGAAAAAGGAGAGTGAATGGGTGGTGGAGGTGGATGAGAGGTCATTGTGTTTTTTGTTTATTCCTTTTTGATTGTTCTTTTTGGAAGAAGAGAAAAAGGAGAATGTTTAATAGAGGTGGTGGTGGTTGTTTTTTGGGAGTGTTTCTGTTGTGTTTGGTTCGACGTAGCGACAATTCAGGTTACCGTTACAAGAAAAGAGTTTGACAAGTGACAGATGGTACCGTCAAACGCTGCAAAGGAAGGTTTTGAATAAACCTTAAATGAATTTAACAGAGAGATTGTTATTATTCATCCAAAACCCATTCACTCGTCAACCTTCTTCCCAGTAATGATGCATCAACAATTTTGAAACTAAAAGACAAAAATTCTTTAATTGAAGTTTGAGTGTTCCATTAATTAAATCATTCCTCCACACACCAATAATAATAATAATGAATGATTTGTAAAAGAGTCAATGTGAATGTGTGTCTGTTTTGAACACACACTCGAACTGAAATATAATGATCCCTCTTAACCTCAAAATACCCTGAATAGTTATGAAAATGATTCATTGACTCTCTAGCAGTAGTGGGAGGAAGCTTATGACATTCAACAGTTCTTTAAAATATAGATAGAAATACATGTAAATGATATGATACAGAAATACAAAATAACTTGAGCCCTGAAAATGCTTTCGCTCATGTACAATATATTTACAAAAAAGGAATAGAGAAGATCGGAATGGATCTGTCGGTTGATTGATTGGTTGAAATGAATAGTTCCTTTCTACTCTTTCAAAGCCAATACTTGTCCTCCATAGATCATTTCATCATGGTGATGAACAGATCCATTTCTAATAGTAATACCACTCTTTGAAGTGTTGGAATTGTTGGTTGTGTTGTTGAGGTTGTTGTTGTTGGATCCTCCTCCATCGGCCATCACCTCCTCCGAGTACAAATCCAACCACAACGAGTGTTCATATTGACCGTCCTGATGTCCACGCATCGTCCACAAGGAAGAAGAAGAAGAAGGAGGTGGTTGTTGATAGAGACGGAAGGTGGAAGAGAGTGAATCGGAGCGCATTCGAGAGCCAGCTGATGGTTGTTGTTGTTGCTGTTTGAATTTGTTGTTAGAGGTATGATAGAGAATTAAGACCTTTTCGTACATGATGATCGTGAAATACTTTGTCGGTTATAATTGGAGAGTATACGTTTACAAGGAATGGGCACTTGTGAAAGTAGTGCGCACAGTGAGAGAAATGCGTTATCACACTGTGTGATCGTACAGATAGGGTGGAATGCAACGGTAGTAGTAGTGGTTATAACGAACGTCTGAGAATCTGCTGTCTCTCGTGATCAGATGAAACTGTAATATTTGTTTGATTTTGTTGTTATTGTAAAAACGCCGTTGAATCGAATTTAAAAGTTGAAAGCAACTTCATGTCGTTTATTTTTAGAGCACATCCATCAACTTTCTGTCGATCGACACTTGTGCAAGGGTGGCCCACTCGTTCAATTTACCTTTTGCCACCTTAATATATTTTGCATACACATACACCTCACTTGAAGCAGAGTCTGTACCCTTATCTCTCTTGATGAATCATCGATTGGGGAATGGAACTACAACAACAATTTACAAAATTTGCGTTTGCCTACTCGCCTGCTCCTCCTGATTTTCCAGTGCTTGTAGTGGTTCTTCCCGAATTCAATTCGTTCATTTGGAAAAGATTGACACTGCTTGCCTTTGCACCTGCTGCTTTGAATTTCACAGCTGCCGTAGTGGCTTGACGAGCCAATTTGAGAAGTTCAACTCCTGATCGATGTGAATCCAAGGCATTCAGTTTCTTTGGTTCCTGTCGGTTGTTGCTGGAAGCTGATGTTTTTTCTTTGGTTTGAATTTTGAGTCTCGTCCTCTTGAAACAATCTTCGAAGAGAGACTGCAATTCATTCCTGGAGAGAAGAGGTGAAAGTTTGGGTTTAAAATCTTGGAACATGGCGGTGGTGGATTTGCTGTTGTCTCTTTTCATGAGTTGTGTTTCCTTCTCAAAGAGTCGCATCTTTCGGATGTGCTCAATTCTGCGTTCATCATAATATTGGTTGACAACTTCTTCTTTCAATTCTCTGTTTTTAAAATTGTATGGTTTGTGTAGTTCATCAAACAATGGTCATTCAGCATACACAATTCAATAGTGAAATAACTTACTGGGAGATCTTTTTGATTTCCTCCTTTTGAGCGACAAGATCGAACAATACTTTAGAATTTTGCATGCCCAAAGTTGCGGACGACATCATCCTGTTCAGGGCATGGCTCGAAGGGTCACCTCTAGCATTGGATCCTTTCTTTCCATACTTGTTAATCTCCTTCTCAAGATTTGCAACTTTCTTTTCAATGTATTTATCAAGTTGAGCTACATGAAGTATTTTCTGGCACTTCTTCATGACTAGATAGCTCCTCCATGTTCGTTGAACCTTAATAACTGCATTCTTAAACTTTGATACGGCTAGAGGAATTCTATATGTTTCTGCTAAATCTGTGAGAAATTTTGAAATGAGACGAATGGATTCATACTTCTTTTGCTCTCTCCATCTCCGCACGCCTCTTCCAATAAGCGCTTTAATTTTCTCCAAATGAGTTGCGTATCTCTCTTTGAAAAGTACATTAAATACCTTCATTTTCTTTTCATATTCGGCATCTTGTGCGTCAACTTCAACAGGTTTACTGGCTTCCTCTAATTCTTTCCTTTCATTGGCTTCTTTCTCTTCACAGGCTTTCTTTATGGTTTCTTTGATTATGAACAGCGAACGAATGATGGTTACAATGGTTTTCCAAGAGGTATAGAGGGACATGTTTTTTCTTTGCTGATTTCGAATTTCTTCTCTCTGATTGAGATGAAAATGTTGTAGATTAATGAACTGGATATCTCTACTTACAATTTCTCGTTCACGCAGCAATTCTTCTGTTTTATGTTTCTTCTCTAAAATATTGTGGATATTAATTTCTCGAGCAATTTTGATCTTTTCTTCTCGAAGCATGGAGGCCTCTGCTCTCTTCTCATCGAGTACTTCTCTTGTCATTTTGCTTGCCATTTCCCTGTTGAGCTCAATGACATCCTTGCCGTATGCCTTCTTCATGTCTTCCATCTTTTTTCGTTTCAATAATTTAATTTCTTCAATGTGATTTTGAAGGTTTTTCTTGTTTGCATTTTCCTTAAAGAGATGAATTTTTCGTTCGAGGTCGTCCTCAATTTCTCTCTTGGAACTCTTTTTCACATCAATGGTTGATATTTTTTCAATGAAAGATGATGTAGAAGTCATACCAAATTCTTTCCAGCTATTGTCCAACGTGTCATACTTTTCCTCAGCATCAAGTAATTGTTTTTTGTACAGTTCAAAAGAGGTACTAGGCCTTTGATTTTTTGATTCGGCTAAACTTGAACGATTCGTTAACATGTACCTATTTCTGGAATGTTTCTTTCGAATGATGCTTTCGGCGCTGTCCTCTTCGATTGCATGGGAAACATTGTTTCTTGCAAGAACGTTTCTAGAGCTATTTGAAGAACCAATTGGCGCTAAATCTGTTATGAACGCTTTCGACTTGCGGGGTTGAAGGAGATTATATACATTGGGAGGGTTGGTCATTTGATTTTGCTCCAAAGTTTTGTTCCATCTTTGAAATTTAAAGTTTTCATATTTTGTCAAATCGCTTAGAGAGTTGTCGATTCGCTCTTCGAAACAATCTACTTGGTTGCAGCCCTCGAAAACAGAGCTCGTAGGTGATGACGGTGGCTTGGATGATTGTCTAGGGGAAAAAATCGGAGGGGTGGATAAGGCATTTAAATTACTTGTTGAATTGAGGGAAATAAAAGTGTCGGATTTAAGGCTGACCGTCTTTCGCGTTCGGGTCGAAGAAAGTTTGGGAAAATTGAGATCAATCTTTTCAACAGGTCTTCCAATTGTTGCTGTTGGTGTTTTAATTCTCATTACTGTAAAATCTGGAGTTTCAGGAGGTGGTGTGGGCCCGACATACCGCGGACTCATGGAGGGTTGTTTGTTGATCAAATTAAGGTTGATGTTTTGAAAAGGAGGTCGTTTTGACTTGTGTAAATCCTCCAAAGGAGAAGATGGGATGGATGCAGCAATGCTTGAGCTTTCACTACTATCATTCGATCCCAAATCTATGGATGGTTTTTTTGTTGGTTTCCTATTCATGCTGCTCCATGAGTGATTGACTATCTTTTTTGTATGATTATTTATTGAGATTGCAAGATTGTTCCGAATTATTGATGAGGATTTTCAATGAATTAAACAATAATATTTTGAATTCCGATCAGAAAGAATATATCCACTAATTATGATAGCTGTTGAATAGCAATTGAATGGATGTTGTTGTTTGTGGTGTTCTTGAGGTGTGGTTTAAATAATCGTTGAGGCAATTTTTTTTGAAGAAAATATATCCATTTGGTTTGACGGTTAGAGAAATGGCGCGAAAAATATCTCGTAATTTGTAATGCTAATTTTCAGTTTTGAACTTTGACTCCAATCCTGTTTCGTCATCATAATTCCTTTCCTTGTGTTCCAATAATTGAAGAATCTAAAATTGAATTTATTCTGCAGTTCTAGGGCGGACCAATTAATTATCAGAAGAATAATTATTGAAAAAAATAATGCCAACAAAAAGAAGGTTGTTGATTCTTTTAGCGTTGATGGTGTTGGTCCTCTCCTCATATGCGTGGGCCTTTTCCGAAGACTCAATTTTATCTACTCTTTCGAGTCCGAGTAATCCAACAACTCCAACCACGACAACCACTGGATCCATAAATGTAAATACTAATGATCAAGCAACAGCGAAACGAGATGTATCATCGGCTGCCGTTGAGAAATATGAAAAAACGCCCGATATGGAAATATTTGAGAAGGCATACGAAAAGTGCATTTCGGAATGTAGTCAAGTTGTAGACGTTTGCAGAAAAGCATGTAATTTATTAAAATTGAGACAAGATAACAGATTGACAAGTAAGTGTACAACCGATCGATAGAAAATAATGAAAATGTATAATTGGTGCTTGGAATAATTTGAATAATCATTCTCTCATGCAATGATTTATACCAATCTGTAACTTCAAAACCATAACGAAATATTTCGCTCTTTTTTGGTGATATTTCTGTCACCTGATTATTGTTAAAAACTTAGATTTCCAAAACATTATTTTACAATACAAGAAAAATAACAGAATCAATCCAGCACAGGCCTTTTTGCAAGATTTGAAAGATGCCACCATTCTTAAGAGAAAATAAGAGAATTTCTCAACTTTTTTGTAATTAATGTGAATTTGCATCAAACGAAAACGAATCATTGGTGGACAATTTTAACAATTTCAACACGCCTCCCTCGAATACATCACATATATATTTATTGAAATGTACATTCTCAAAATATTTTACAACAATTACACAATTCAGCCTCAAAATAACGCAGCTGTCGTTTTACTATTTTACAAAACTCAAGGGTGGATTTATTATCGTGTGAATATTCTTTTTACTTGGAATTAAAGATAATGACATTCCCGTCATCACCGGCTGCACACAAATAATATGGCTCCATGGCCACAATACAGTTGCATGCTGAGGCTGCTTCACTTGCTCCTACTCCGTACATACAAACTCCATTATTGGTCAAATCATGAACGAGTACCCAACCATTGCTGGCACAACTCAGTAACAAGTCGTCCACCACTTGTAACTGCATGATCACACCAACATGGTCCTTAATAGAAATGACCTGAGCGTAATTCTTTCTTGGATCCAAAACTCGAATGGTCTTGTCGCTTCCTCCCACCACCAACATGTTCTCATTTGCTAACTTGACATCGTTTATACTACCTCGTATGACATTTTCAACTCCTCCGACATTATTGGCTGTCCTCAGATCCCATATTTGAATGGAACCGTCCATTCCTCCACTCAATATTGTTTCTCTGCTTTCATCGGCGACCAAACATTGCACCGGTGCCTTATGTTCATCTCCTACAGATATTAAATCTCCATTTTGTATGTCCCACATGCATACCAATCCATCCCTTCCTCCGCTGCATATCAGAGAATTATTCCACAAAATTGTTTTAATGGCCTTGTCGTGACCTAGTTTCGAATTGATCAAAGTGTTCATGCATGTATTATTTTGCAAATTCCAAATTTTCATTGATTTATCGTAACTCGAAGAGACTGCAATTGGGAGATTGGGAGAACAAGAAATTTGAGAAATGCTGCCCGAATGTCCCAGTAAATCGACACATTTCACTGGTCCTTTACTTTCCCAAACACATAATTTACTATCCATTCCTCCAGTGATGATTTTTCCAGTTACATCGCTGTAGGCAAGTGCTGTTACCCACTCTTTATGACCATATGCCTTTGAATACAACTCTCGTTCAACCTTTGCTTTTGAAACTTTAATTACTTTTGCCGAATGGTCTTGTGAGCCCGTTATTATTGTATCATCATCCATCTTGATCATGACATTAATCGGTCTTCCGTGCGCACTCACAAGCTTGTCATCATCAGGACCATCATCACGACTCCAATAATCACGAAACGACATTTGTATTTTTTTTATGAAATTTTTGTAAGTTTTTTGGCGCCAGATTGCGATTGCATTAAATTTCAATCTTATCGAACCGCTCGATGATTAATATGATAAAATATTTCAAGATCATGACCCCAAAGTTGCTTTGCATCATTTGTCAAGCAAGTCTGTGATTAAAGCTTCCAAAAGAAACTGATACCGAATAAACTGCTGAATAAACTTTTCTCCTGGTAACAAGGACCTTTTCGCCATCAACCGAGCTCGGCTTCACCTAAAATTGAAGTGACGCTTCTTGATCTTAGAAAAGACTGTGTTGCATGTGTTGAACGTTCGATGGAGGAAGAACAGAGCAGTGTATTCTTGTTGGATTGTGATTGCCAGTGCACATCCACACAAGACAACTACCCTATTTTTCTCCTTGTTGTTTTGGGCAGAAACATGCTAATTGCATTTGAAAATTAACATTGGGCTGGGAAAAAGTATGACACTCTTTCACATGATCAAATGCTTGTTGAAAATTGAATTTCAATTCACGCATTACATAGGCAATTACTATTGAGACACTTCTCGATTGTCCAGCCTGGCAATGCACAAGCGCGGGAACTTGCTTTTCTTTCCTTGCTTCATCAATAAATTTAAAACAATCATCGAGAATGGCAATGATGTCTTGATGACTGTCGTCGAGAACATCTAAAGAGAGCACTTTGTCAAAAAATTCTTCGTACTTTTTTCCTCTGAATCCTGGTTCCGATTCCATGATAAAACTTGAAACATTGAGGACATACTTGACATTTAGGACATTGCAGAGTAAATGTACATTTTTCGCCGATTGCATAGAACCCACATAGAGATTGTCTAAAATTTTGCTTGGCTGTGAGAATGTGAATTTGTGAGTGTTTCATTTTCCAATAGAAGCAACTTACAATGGTATTTCTGAGATCGAATAAGGTGTTATGATTGAGTGCAACGAATTTGCATGTTGTTTTAGATTTTGGTTTAGAATACTCAGAGTCACTAAGGGCTTCATCAGCCTCATATAAAAATTCCTTTGGCAGCTCACTAATACAATTGAATCGAATGTCAAATTTAATTCCCTTCTTTTGAAGAAGTGTAACCAGATCAAGAGAAGGAAATTGTGAAATGTAATTCCATGAAAGATCAATTTCTATCAGAGATTTGGGTAGAATTTTTTCCAATTCTTTCACTCGTCTCGAATCATTTAAATAATCACTGTGTACAAGTTCCGTAATTGTGTTATTCGAAAAACTAATCTCTCGCAAAAAGGGAAGTGATTTGAAATAAAAAATAAGATCTACAGTTTCTAAATGACCTCCGGATAGATTCAATGTTCGAAGGCATTTGGAAAGAGTACTGTTGAAAAAGTTTTCAGAAAATGGTACCTCCTTAATTGTCTCACATAGGAGGACATTCAGTTCTCCAACCGATTTATCCTGATATTGCTTTTCAATCTCTTCAATATCTGATAACGTGAGAGCTTTGTCTCTTTTAATGATGTTTTCTGCATCATCAGGTAGTGAAAGACATGGTGCTTCATCCTCAGCAAAATAATCAATGCTCGGTGGCAACAGAGCAGATCTGGGCTGAGAGACATTGAAATTTCCATTCTCGTCCATATCATCATCACCCAATGAGTCATGACCTAAACTACTCGGAGGACAAATATTCAAAACCATTTCTTTTTTCCTTTTAGATTTAGTATTCTTCATCATGGTTTTACGATTTTTAGAGCTGTTGTTAGAACTGGTCGTTGTTGTCGTGGTGGTAGTGATTGTTGGTGAATAATCCTCTTCATCCTCTTCATTAAGTGGTGGTTGTGATGAATTCATATTTGGGTGCGCGGAATTATTGGAGGATGGTGAGGATGATGATGGCAATACTCGATGATGACTAATACTGAGATTATGAATATCGAGGGACGCTCGTCGTTTTTTCATATTTTTTTTGGAAATTGACGATTAACGTCTTTTATTAGAGGGAACTCCCTAGTCGCCAATTTACATTCCATACATCAACACTCTCATTGGGTTTTATTCTCGTCAATCCAATGTTTTTGGCGAGAATTAGATCGGAATGAAGAACTAATTCTGATTTCTGGATCATCAGGTAAGTTAAACTTGTTTGGTGATGATGAGCTTTAAGGATCATCAACGTCATTCGTTTGGTCATCAACAAACAAACAAAAAATTCGTTCCATCCATAACTTCGGCATCGGAACAGTCTTGTTCTCTTCATCGTTCTGAATATACGATTTTGAAAAGAAGAATTTGGATTCATATCTAGATTGCTATCCGTGCAAAACATTTATCCATACCATCATATAAATTCAGTATCCAGTCAATAATTTACGATACAACAACAACGGTCATTACAAAATGATGAAAAGTAAAAGTACAGGATCGCTAGATCCACAACAACATCAGCAACAACAACAACGCACGTTGGATTCGGTTTCGGTACATGCCTGTACGTGGAATGTAGCCTCGCAAGTTCCCAACAAAGCCTATCTCCAAAAGTATTTTCGGAGAGTATTTATGGGTAACGAGAATGATGAAAACAATCATGTGCCTGATATTATCGTATTGGGATTTCAAGAAATTGAAATGAATGCAAAAGCTCTCATTACGGAACAAACGGAAGCGGCAACAGTTTGGCGATCTGTACTCTCCGAAGTTTTTCCAGAGTATGACTGTATCGCGTGTCACCAATTGGTAGGCTTGTGTATTTTTGTGTGGGTACAATTTAAGCTTGCAAGACATTGCTCACCATGCATGGCGAGTGAAGTGAGAGAGGGATTTTCAAAAACACTCGGAAATAAGGGATCCGTCTCTGTACGATTTAAGCTATTTGGAAAACAGTATGTTTTTTTAATAATTTCAAAATAATTTCAACTGTAGTATATATCATGTTGACACGACGACGAATATGAATGATGATGTTCTCTGTTACTGTATGGGATGAAACAATTCAATCGTATTATTTCCGTTGAAATAATTTTTTGCATGATTGTTCATGCATGATGACTATGATACTTTTGATCGTCATTAAATGACGAACTATTATGTGAAAAGATTTAATTTCATTAATGTACACTTACCAGCTCACACTGAAAAACTTTTGGAAAGAAATGAAGCTCTAAATTCAATTATTAATAAGGCAGTGAATGATCCAACGCTCATTCACACAAGTTCATTACAATTTCATCACAGTAACAGTAATAGGGCTAGTATTACGACCAAAGACGATTTTGTTATTATTATTGGGGATTTTAATTATCGAATTGACAGCCACTTTAATTTTACCGAGGTTATTACGAAAATTTCACAACGAAGACTTTCCATTCTGTACAAATGTGACCAATTACAAAAAGAAAAGCAGATGGGTAGGATATTGAAAGGTTATAACGAGGCAGGTCCACTTGAATTTATTCCAACCTACAAGTGCAAAAGTTATGAACCACATGAACAAGCACAAATAGATCTTGATGACATTTCCAACATATTCAGTACAAAAAAGGATAGAATTCCCTCATGGTGTGACAGAATCTTTTACAAGAGTAATCCCAATATTGTGGTTCACGAGTACACTTCCCATATTCGTGTTTGTGCGAGCGATCACAAGCCTGTCACGGCGAAAATGACATTGTGGCTAAATGAAAACATGTCGACCTCTAATTCACAGCCATCTCAGCAAGTAGAAAGTGTCGACGATTTATTGAGGTTTGACGAACCCTTATCTACAAACCCTTCTCTAGAGTCCCTCTCTTCAACCTCAACGGCAGCTTTGACGAATGAGTTGGTCACTACCAACCATGCTTCTCGAAAACTTCCTCCCCTACCTAAACATTTATTGGATGCCAAAAAGAAAGTGGAGGGAGTCTCTTTAATAATGTCTTCTCCCTCCAATACAACATTATCTGCGTTCATGGACGATGTGAATGGTCACAACACAAACCCAATAATTGTCGAAGAAAAGTCCCAACAAGATGACGTTTGGGGTTTCTTTGGGAATGAAAGTAATCACAACCACAACTATGAAAACAACAACTCTGGTACTTTGGTCACAAACACAAATAGCATGCAGTTGTTGAGTGTGGCGGCAACCACCACAACTAGCCAAGCTCCACAATTTCACCAGCAACATCCCTCTCCTCAACAACAACCACAACAACAACAAAATTCCTTCGATCCCTCTTCTCTACGCCAAACATCTTTATCATCAACAAACCTCTCAAAGAGTCAAAGCAGTGATGGATTTGCAGCTCTTGCATTGCGACACTCCTCCAAGAGTTCTTCTCTCAATGTCACCTCAAGTGATGCTGCAACGACCAGTACTACAAGCCAGTCGAGTAACAGCACCTCAAGCATGACTAGAGTACCCGTGAATCATGCTGCTCGTTCCTCCCCTCCCACCATGAGACCTCAAACCATCGATCGTTTAGATCTTTATGCTGGTCTTAACAATCCCTATCATCAACAACAACGAAACAACAACAATAATGGTCAACACTATGATACTAATGGTAGTAGCGCCACCATGATGACGACTACGAATCAAGTCACTCAACCTCCAAACAATAGTAGTAGCAACAACAATAGCAACGATGGTGATTGGTGGTTGAATTAGTGGAGTAAAAAGTGTATGATTTAAAATTTTGAAAAGTGTATAATAATCAATGACTTATATCGTATTATTATTATATAATGAGTATACTTTGTGATTTATTATTCTCGTTCTGTTGTTGTTCTTGTTCATGGTTGTAGGAGAAGAAGGATCATCATCTCTTGTGTGCACACTAATACAAAACACGGAATCGTTCCGAGCAGCAAGCAGCAACAAACCCGAGCCAAACCAAACCACAAAAAATTGCCAACAAGTGTCTTCGTCTGAGGCAGCCCATCATCCTCTTTACCCCGTCATCATCATCAACATTTATACAACACAAAAATGTCTAAAGGAGCCTCTCTCAATTTCAAACAACATGATTTGACTTCATACCTCAAATCAGGATCTACACACTTCTCTGGACTCAATGCCGTTACTTTACGAAACATTGAAGCCTGCCAAAATTTGAGCAAGATTGTTAGAACCTCCATGGGTCCAAACGGAATGAACAAGATTGTCGTGAATCATTTGGAAAAACTCTTCATTTCAAAAGATACAGCAACCATTCTCAAAGAATTGGAGGTGATTCATCCCGCAGCCAAGATTGTAGTCATGGCTACTCAAGCACAAGAACAAGAAGCTGGTGATGGTACTAACTTTGTCGCATGTTTCACTGGTGAATTGTTGGCTCAATCTGAAAATCTCATCCGAATGGGTCTTCATATTCCTGATATTATTCTCGGATACAAAAAGGCAGGTTTAAAGGCACTCGAAATTTTGGAAACTCTCGGAGTGGATAAAGTCACTGATATTAGAAATGTTGCACAGGTAACAAGAGCCATTCGTTCCGCTGTTGGAAGTAAAGTTTTAGGAATGGATGATTTCTTGGCTCCACTCATTGCAGAGGCTTGCGTAGCTGTTTGTCCAAAAGTTGCCTCTCGTTTCTCTGTGGAGAATATTAGAACTGCTAAAATACCTGGTGGAAGTGTGTACGATTCAAAGGTTTTGAAGGGATTTGCATTTGTTAGAGATTCCGAGGGTTCCATCAAGCACGTCAAAAACTGTAAAGTTGCTGTGTACACGTGTAATATTGAACAAGCATCCACAGAGACCAAGAATAGTGTGGTCATTAGAAGTTCAGAAGAGCTTCTTAATTACAATGTTTCTGAAGAAAAAGCCATGGAGGAAGAAATCAAAGCCATTCACGATACAGGTGTCAAGGTGATTGTTTCACAGGGTGGTTTTGGAGAAATGGCTCTGCATTTCATTGAACAATATGGAATGATGGCGATCAAGTGTCCATCTAAATTCCAAATTCAAAGATTATGTCAAGCAATTGGTGCCAGAATGTTGGTCAAGGTTCAACCTCCAACACCTGATGACATGGGAACATGTTCTTCTGTGGATATTACTGAAATTGGTGACAAGAAGGTTGCTGTTTTCCAACAGGCTGAAGATGTTGACGTTTCAGGAATTACTACTATTATTATTCGTGGTGCCACTCAAAATGTCATGGATGAAGTAGAACGTGCCGTTGATGATGGTGTCAATGCGTTCAAATCGTTGACCAAGGATGACCGACTTTTGGCAGGTGCAGGTGCTTGTGAAGTCGAATTGTACTCTCAACTTTCCAAGTATGCTGATGAAACACCTGGTTTGGAACAATATGCTATTCGTAAATGTGCTGAAGCATTCCTTGTTGTACCAAAAACCCTTTCTGAAAGTGCAGGCTTAGATTCCTCTGTTGCTATTTCTAATTTAACAGCTGCTCATGCTGAAGGAAAGACCACCTGGGGAATTGACGTTCACAATGTTGCTGGTTTAGATGCTAAGGAAAATGATATTTTCGATCTCTTCAATACCAAGTATTGGGGCATCAAACTTTCCACAGACGCAGCAATGAATATTCTGAGTGTGGATCAAATTATTATGGCCAGACCTGCAGGAGGACCAAAAATGAAAAATCCAAATCAAGGACACTGGGACGAACAAGGAGAAGGTCTTTAAACTAATTCTAGATAAGAAGAGTGATAATAAATAATATAATTTATACTTTCATGAAACTTTTATCATGATTTCAACTTGCACTTGAATTATTGAGGATAGGCAAATGAGATTCCGATTGAGGACACAAGTTGACTCTGTGCATTAAAAAGTGAAAATTCGAGGACAAGAAAAAACCATGAAATCAAGCAAAAACAAGGGAAATTAATTCAAAATCGATGTGCGAATTTGGTCCAAATCATGTGTTTTTTCGTATTTGTTTCATTTTTATCCTTTCATTCAACAGAGCAAAACTCAAAACTTGAAGAATTTGAAAAAATCAAAGCTTTTGGAATTTTAATGAACAGGCCCAAGTGTCACATTCTTCTCATATAAAAGATTGAGTGACAAGGTTGTTGAACGTTGCAGATGATAATACTTCAATCGAACCTTCATAATGTTTTCTCACACTTTCCCACAACTCCGATTTTGCTCCCATCAAAAAAATGTTTTCCACAACTCCTTCTCGTCATCATCGCCGATCAGCCTTTCAGACCACGTGGGTACTTGTACTCATGGTCTTTGTCCTCTCTTGTCTCTTTCTTCTCCTCTCCTCGACGAGTCACATCAGCACTGTTCTCTCCCAACAATTCCATGTCATGAAAATTCATTCTTCAAAAGCTGCAAAACCAAGCTCGTCATCATCGGAGAGTGGTTTATGTTATGGATGTTTGTTATTGGCTCAAGTTTTGGATTCTTTCATTACATCAAATATTACGGCAGAAGAGGTGATTAAATTGGCTACAAAAGTTGTAAGTAGATTCAATATTTAGTTTATTCTAAATAATATTCCATGCACTTGTGTGATCACATTTGGGATGATGGTTTATTTCATTGGATTTATTCAAATAATTTTATATTCTTTAATTTCATCATCATTTTCATTACCACATAATATTTCCTGGAAATCACATTTGAATTACTGTCCATCATCGACCTATCCATTCACACTTGTTTGGTCTCTGTGTGTGCATGGTTACAGTGTCCATATCTCCAACCTGAAATTCAACCAGTGTGTCCTCTCTTGATCAAGCAAATGACTCCTGAAATTTTAGAAATTCTTGTCACAAGAGAGAATCCACATGTGTTGTGTGCACAACTTGGAGCTTGTAAGAATGAAACGGTTGCAAAGAAAAATTAAATTATTTTGTGTGTTATGTCACAAAGCAAACGACATGTATCTCAATAGCTCTTTTGTTCTTATCACTTATAGGAAAAAATCAATATTTTTTCATTTCTCTTGTTGGCACACGTTGTGAATTTGAAAAAACACTCGTCACATTCAAATTTGCACTCGTCAAGACAAATCCACTTCGAAAAGATCACTGTAATCGAACAAAATCTCCAAGAAGGTTCTTCTCATTCTCTTCTAGTGGCAACGTAGTGTCAATGACAACGGTATCTTTTGAGTCAACATTGGCATCGATTGGAATGGATACCAAATTCAAAGCATTGGCCAACATTTTTGCTTTGAGTCCATAATTCTTTGACAGAACCAATGATTGATTGACACCAGCCAGATCTGGCATTAAATTCACTTCTAACAAGTGAGGATGTATCGTTTCATCAATAAGAATGTCATAACCATATAATTGGAAACATCTGTGACGACACGAGTGAAATAATTCGTCTTGTTTTTCAGGATTTAAAATAGTAGAGTGAATCGATTGCAAAACGAGTTCGTCCAATCGACACCACAACTCTTTCCATTCATGTTGAAGAAAGTAATCTTTCAAATCTGACAGGTACATGTTAGAGAAAAACCCAAAATTTTCAATAATGGTTTCATTCTGAACCTTATTCTTCTTATCATTGACCGAGTTGTTGGTAATGTGCATGAAATGGTTGTTGAGGTTATCTTTGGAGAGTGTATAATCCTCTGAGGCAAATCTTACAATACCATCTCGATAGAAATAAATTCGATCTCGTTCTTCATGATGTCTTTTTCCCACAACCAATACGTACATTCTCAAATCGAACTTTTTGTTATTAACCAAGAGTGGATTAGTAATGTATTTGGAGACGACAATTTTTTTGTTCTTGATTTGTTTCATGACATTCTCATTCAGTATCGTGACACTACCAGTATTGTGTTCACATAAAATAATGTCAGCCACGTCAGAAAATTCGTGTTGTATCACTTCTCGATACGATGAATAGATGGTAATGCCGCGCCCTTCTCCCGATCGATGTGGCTTGACAATCCAAAATTGATGATTGTCAACATATCCAGAACCATGATTCAAAGTTGCATCTTGTTGTTGCTGAGAGGAAAACCTCTCTTCTTTTGCATATTGTAAAAACAATTCCAATTGTTGGGGTAAATAAAACGATGGTGGTACATATTTGGATGTAAATTCTACCTTTTCACGTCTACTCAATGACGACGGTGATACAGAATTTTCCAACTGGATCAATCTCTGAAAATTAAGAGCCATCAAAGATTTGTTACACAATTCATGACTATTTGGAAATTGATTAATCAATGTGTATGAAGGTAATTCATTCCATTTCACAATATTATATCTCGGAAATGTGTGACCCCAAAATACTGCCAAATAATGAGTAGATTCATCCATCAACGATGAAACCAATGTAAATCCATTTCCCTCAAAAGTTCTCCGAAGAGCCGATTCTTTTAATTTTAATTCTTTTGCCTTTGAAATCCAATAACATAATACTCGCGAGTGTTTTTGTGTTTCTTGCAATTTTTCTTCTTTATGAATGTTTTCCAAATAAATATATTGAGATTTTAATTCATCAACATGAGAACTTACTTGATGATTCAGTTGTTGTGTTGCAACATTGGAGGAAGAACATTCATCCAATAATGATGAAGTGATGAATTCCTCATCCTTCTTCTTCTTCTTCATGTTGTTATTATTATTGAGAATATTCATTCTATACTTTAATGTATATTCCAATAATTGTTGACTTCGTTTTTGAACATGTTCTAAATCTAAGCCTTCTTCCAACAGATGTTCATAGGGACATGTTTTTCCACGTTTACAAAATCCGTTCCGACGAAAGTGCCAACAAATTCCCTTGTTTTTGTGAATACAATGAAAGTATTTGAAAGAAGTCGTCGTCGTCGTAGAGGTGGTGGTGATGATGCTTGATGGAGATTCCAAACTGTTTGACATTTTTTTTGAATACAAATTTAAATTCAAATTATACTGTAAATTATTTTTGTATTCAATATTGAAATATAATTTTAAATAATTTATTATATATACATATATTATTATATATATAATTATTATATTATTATATATAATTATTATATTATTATTATTATATTATTATTGATCCCCTTGAATCTTTGGAATGGTCCTTTTTGCATTTCGCAAATTGATCAAATTTTTCATAAATCTCAAAATTGGTTGCCTTTTCTGATGTATTTGTCACTCGTCAAGTATAACGGTTGACAATTCTTTTTTCAAAAACAAATAGAAACGAGAGCCCATCGTCCTGTCATTTTAGTTTTCATTCGCATGTGGACGACAAGTGGCACTTTTTCATCCTTTAAACCCTTCTGAATGATTTCCAATCTTTCTCATCATCATCATTAATAATAACAATCATCATTGATCACTTTAAAATGGGAATTGGATCCTCGCATCGCAGTGAACGTGATGCATCGCTTGCCAACATTTCCTATTCCTCTTCTTCCTTGACAATGATTCAAACTAAACGTCAGCAATCATCCTCCTTCTCCTCCTCTTCACAATCATCATTATTTTCGAATCATCGTTCGAAAAGTCCGATGACGACGACGATGACGAATCAACAACACGTGATGCCATCGACTCGTGAATCTGATACTTGTCAACAGCAGCACTTGTCACCGAATTTAGAAAATTTAGAAAATTCTCTTTCTCCGTTATCATTGGCCTCTCATGATGCTATCAATAATACTATTGATAATAATACTATTAATAATAATAATTCTAATAATAATAATACTAACACTGCTAAATTACAACATGTGGAAATTCCAAATCGGGAAACTCTTCAGCATTTCACAGATTATTATTATTCCATGTGCGTTCCAAATGATTGGCGAGTGGAAGTTTATGGAGGTCGAGGTGGAGGAATTGTCATTCGTGGTGGTCAACCAACAGCCAATCATTCTACTACGAATACAAATAAGAATTCTATTAATAATTCTAATAATAATAATTCTATTCATACAAATAATAATAATACGACTCCGACCTCTGTAAATCAAACGGCAGAAGTTCATCCATATTCTACAACAAACAACTCAAACCACTCATCACAAGCAGTGACTGGAAATTCAACATCTTGTCAAATGTTCCATGGACAAAAAATTTATTTTTCTTCCTATGATAAAAATGTGGAAAAGGATTTTATTGAAATTTATGTCACCTTCTCTCCAAATGATATTGAAAAAGAGGCCAAGTTGGCCATTGATGACATTAATCAAATGGGAAAACAAGAAAGTGATGATTATTTTGGTAGTTTGAAAGATCAGACAACAAATTCTTTAAAAAGATTGCCTTCTTCACCTACCATTCGACAAGGAATGTCACAAATGTCACAACAAGCAGGATTTTCGAGAGTTATTGAACCAAAAATAGTTAAGGGAATTACACACGTGATTGGAAAAAAAATTCAACCCGAAAAGAAAGCTCTCTATTTTGTCATGCAATTTCGACACGAATTATTACCACAAAAATTATTGTACAAGAAAATTTATTTTATTCAAGAAGGAAATGGAATTATTTATTGCTTGACATTGACAACTACGAGAAGAGAACCAGAAGATGTGATTGGATATACCTCCACACATATCACAGATGTCACAACCAATAGTCCTTTATTGACAAGTAGAGAAAATCAAAGTGCGAGAAGTGCAAGATCTTCTTCGATACCTGCCATTTATATTGAATCCCATGCATGTCACACTTCACAAGATTCCCCAACATCTGTGACATCCCATTCAAATCGTCACAGTAAGAATTTGAGTTTATTGGCAACATTGAGCACTTCAGGTGGTGGTTTCGACTCTTCGAATTCAGTTCAATCATCTCCAAGTATGAACGGCGATCACAACAGCAACACTTTATCGACCAATCCACAACCCAATAGTGCTCGAAAACGAAATTCCTCATCTGGTTCAGCGACAACTTCCAAAAAGACGTTTATGAAAATGGTGACCTCTGCATTGTCCACATCGGCCATTGAAAGTGACAATGGAGATGAAATGTCTATTTTGACTGGGTTAATTCCATCATTGTATCCATCCATGAGTCAACAACAACAACAACAACAATCGACATCACAGCCACAACTCATTGATGGAGGAGTTTGGAGTGACATTTTAGTTCGTGAGCTGTTTGTTGGAAAATCTTTGAATGAGTTGAAACGAAAGACGAGTAATATGGATGGAGAGGGTGTGATTATTCATGTTCCAATTTGTTTTATTCCTTCTTTGAAATTGGAGACAGATGGAGAGCAGGAAATTATCAAACATTATGGAATTTCAGATTTTGGAAAGAGAAAGCAAGATTATAAATTAATTCTCTACCATCCCATTCAATATTTAACGAGAGAACAATACTTGAAATCGACGAAAGAGGAAATGGTTGAAAATATTTTTGTGACCTATGTTGATTTTGTAAAAAAGAAATCTGAAAAGAATTTAATTGAATTTTATTTGACAGGAGATGCGTGTGGAAATTGTGCACAACTCGAGAAAGAAATTGCCTCTTTGACAAGGAACGAATTTGAGAAAAATAGTGGCAAATTACTGAATTATTTCTATGACAACATATTCAAGGAAAAGGTGAAGAAATCGTGTTCCATTCTGAAAGAGAAAGACATGGAATTTTATTCTTCAAGTGAATCAAATCAAGAAGGCAATAACTCAATATTCACAAAGCCAATCGTTCTCAAGGCCAAATATTTAGAATTGGACGGCAACACGTATTTCGGGAATACTCTCAAGAAACAATGTTGTTTGGTGGAAAGAAATTTTAAAATTTGGATTTTCACCTACAGTTCCACAAGCAATCTAATTGCTAGTGAAGCATTTCATGCCATACTGTCCGAAATAAAATATTCATAGCATTGTAGGTAGTTGATGTTATTTTATGAGAGCTCTCTATGTTTTTATTGTTTGGGCTTGTGGTCAAGGGTCTCTTCCAAAGTCTTGTAAAAATCTAAAGCATGAGCAACTTTGAAGGTCTTCTTTGGAATTTCTCTGAACCAATCCAATTCTCCAATTGTTGAAACATCGAGTGCATGTTCTCCTTGACCCGCTTGGAAATATTCAGGTAATGGTAAATCTTGCAACCAATCACATAAATCCGAGTCTTTTTGAGTAAAGGTTTCTGATAAATATTTAACCATTGCATCTCTCATGGAAGTCATTAACATTTGGCAATCAATATATGGCACAACCTTTGTCGATAACTTGTTTTTCAATTCTTGTGACAAGGGTTCCTTGTAGTTGTCGTGTATTCCTGCGAAAATATCCAAAGTCAAATGTTGTTCAAGAATTTCAAATAAATGATCCAAATGCTTAATTTGTAGACTTTGAGATAAAGAACCAAACAATTTTCTTGAATCATTGATCATTAAATCCTTTTCGAGATAATCGACCAGATATTTTTCCAAAAATTGTACACTCACTCCTGATTCTGCTGAAATTGATGATTGAATAAAGTGAATGGCCATTTCAACGTATCTAAAACAAGAAACACATCGTTCGGATCTACCACCTGGTCCTCCTAATTCATTAATGACCATTTCTTGCTCCTCTTGGCTCAACTTGTCATTAGAAATCTTTGTATTACGTTTTTTAAGTGCAGAAAACTTTTCTTTTGCTCCTGTCGTTCTGATTTCTCCAGTGAAATCAAGCATTTTGATTTGAATTTCAATCAGTGGTTTTCCTAAAAAGAAATTGTCAACCAAGTATGTCTGAATAAAGGCAAAGTCGTAAATAATCTGTTGTGGCTTTTCAAAACTGAGAGAACGATTGCAGTGATCCTTAATGAAAGGAAGTAAATGACGTTCCAAGGAAATATTAACAACATGAACTGGTGTCAATTCTCGACTTGTCACAACACGAATATCTTTCGATTCCATGTTGAAATATTCTTTTGATATCGACTCTGAAAGTTTGTTTTGAACTCCAACCAAGTAGTGAACCAATGCAATGCCAAAGAGTGATTCATCCTTTTCAGATGGTACAATGTAAATGAGTGGCTGATCTTGAGACATTTTAACCTCCTTCATGTGATGTGGAATTTCTAAACATTCATATCTCTCCACTAGTTTGAAGACCGAATTCCAAGCTTGTGAAAAACATTCAAAACATTCAGCAAACAGTTTTCTTTCGTTTTCATCCTCAATGGCAGAAATAGTTTGACGCACAGTAGTGTTCAGAGCATGTTCTCGGCGAATTCTCTTGTCAAATCTCTTGCACACTAAACGATACAATTCAAAAATGCTTGGTAAATAATGCATAGCTTGAAGAGCTACCATATTATCAACAACAAGTGTTAATGCCTGAAGGCTGTCTATCGAAGAAGTTTGTTTAAGGCTATTCATGAAATGCTCCAAAGTAATGTTCTCAACAGGCATGAAAATTGATGGAAGTAAAAGATTTCGTTCCTGAATAGAGAGAACTTCTTGGTCTGGATACATGTGTTTCAAAAGCTTACTATTTGTTAAGGTGATGTTATGTTCCCTTCTTTCTCCGTTGTGTCTTTGTAGTGCCTCTTGAATAAATGTCATCATACGATCTGGTTTAAAATTTCCTTCAAGTAGTTGCATGCAAAAATTATTTTCGAAAGGTCGTCGTTCATCTTTGTTTGTTAAGGTGTTAAACCGGAACATGGTATTCAGTGTGGAAGCTTTGCTAATAATTAATGCAAATGTATGATGCAGGATGATGCTTAAATCCTCTTCATTTCGTCCTGTTAATTGCGAAAGAATGTGCCAATCATTCATGTAATGTTCCATAAAATATTGATTAGCATCTCGAGGATTACAGTATTGAGTATTGATGAGTATTCGAGTATTATTGTTGAAGAAGACGCCACTGGAAAAGAGTAAGCCACTCATGATCAATCGAATCAATCTAAACTCAGTTGAGGACAAATCTCTGTTGGTGCTATGAACATCTGCTGGACTGGTTTCTTCTGCAGCACTTCTTGCACAATAATTCAAAGGAGTATTGTCTGCATTGTGGTACTCTCTGTTAGTATTTAATAGAATGTGATTGCCTCCACCAATGGGTTGACCACATTCTCTGCAAAAATCGGTAACCCATGCGCGACCACATTCAGTTATGATGTATGCATGACCATTGGGGCACGTGTAGGTCTTTCCTCCTGTGATTTGTGTTAATGTTGACACAATGTCATCATTCATGGTTGGGAATAGAGTGTTGCGAAGTGGAGCAATGTCTGTCAAGCAGTGAGAGAAAAATCCCATTGCAGGAGCGTTCAAATTCCATAGGACCATTGCAATTTGGTGAATGAGACATCGCAATAAATGAATCTTTGACATGGGTGTTTCTGGAGTGACTTCAAAGTTAGGTATTTTGTTCTCAATTAATCTTTCCACAATATGAGAAACCGAAATATTTCCAAACACAACAAGCTTGGCTTTGTTATTCCTCATCCAAACAAGCAAGTGATGATTGTTGTTTTGTGAAATTTTATGTCTCAACGTCACATGCTCCAGCAATGTCATTAACAGCAAGGCACAAAAAATATTTCTTGAGTTTCTTGATTTCTCATATAATGTGTTGAATAGGGTATCAGTTTTAGCATCTGATACACGCAATTGTTCCAAAGCATCTCGCATGGTATTGTAATTCAAATCTGCATTTGGTAATTGTTGATACAAGGTAGCAAAAGGATTCGAGTCTGAAAGAGCTCCATTATCTGATATGAAAATAATGACTTCTTCTCTTTGTTTCCATGTCTCGATAAATTTCATTTGTTTTAGCAAGGGATGATAATTAATCATGTTTCTAGTGGCAGAAAGGCCAATGACTTTTGTCAATTCTCTCAAGAAAAATACGAGAAGGGAATAATTATTTTGGAATAAATTATCGATCGTTTCTGTGAATTCCAATGAAGGTTCCTTTTTGCTTGTCACATACTGTGCAAACCATCGCACTGCTACCTTACAGGAACTAATATTTTGCAAAAATTTCAGTATTTCACCTGGAAGAGGTTCCACAGCCTTGAGGTCGTCCAGTTTTTGGTGCAACAATTGTTCCTTGTCCGATTCTTCAGTCATGGATGATTCCATTTCGTCTTCCAAAATCTGTGAAATGGCAACAGCAAGAGGGAAATCTGCGTGATTAAACTCTGAATATAATCTTGAGAGTTGCTCTTCTAATTCATGTTCAATAATAGCATTAATCTCATGATTTTGCTTGCTCAAAGCAAACAACGATCGAATGACGGAGGACCTGATTGAATCGTTGACAATGAATTTCAATAACTTGTTCTCAGATAAAACCTTTTTGTTTTCGCTCAAATACTGTACGATGGTCGAAATAAGGGAAGTAGACAATTGTTCAATGTTTTCGGATTGCAAACAATATTGAGTTGTGAATATCTCAATCAATTTGCTTGCCCTTTCAATAAAAATATTTTCTTTGGAAGACATTTCTTGGACTTGATCAAGATGTTGATCGCACAACTCAGCATATGTTTCCACTGATGATAAATTAACACCTCTCTGGCACCATCCACATGGTTGAAAAGGGGTTCCATTTCGCGTCTTTCTTAAGCAAAAATCGTGAGCGCATTCAGTACACACATATCTGGAACAGCATTTAGTTTTTCTCAGTTGGCTTGGTTCTGGAATCGAATAGCAAATGAAACATTCGAAATCTTCAGCAATCTCAGATCGACTAAATCTCTTGTTAATATCAGTGAGCGTTTGAAGAAAATCTATCAACATATTAGGCTGCTCGAAGTGAGTTGTTTCTGAACTTGACAACTTTTTCCAATAATTTTCACAAATGGACACATCCAAAGAATCCTCATCAATTCCTTTTTTGAATGCCAAATCTTGTAAGAATTTGGTGAAGAAGCTTATACACTTCCATGTATGATTTTGTTTGACATAGTTTGATCGAGTGTTATCGCTAACATTTTCTGTGAGCATGCTGCTTTCAATTAATTGTCTCAGCAGCCGACAACACTCTGATAGGATCTGAACTTTGGAAACCCAACCTCGACTCTGTTCGATCTCTACTAATGAATGCCAGTTGATGGCAACAGTGGGGTTGATTACATCTACCACTAATTGATACAAGAAAACGTCACAATCAATAATTGATTCAAAGGTTGGAATATTATAGATCAAGTTTTCAAAAAGTTTAGAATCTCTAACTAGATCCAATACTTGGAAGTATGTCTTGATTCTAGGTTCCTGTGTCCAATACGCAACCTGCAGATCTGTAATAGAAAACTCACTGTTGTTTCTCAAGTCCTTATTTACAATTTCCATGACCAACTGTTGACATTCATCGTGAGACAGTGTTGAGCTTTTGAAGCCGTACATGATGAAATAATCATGAATGAACCGTTCAGCCATTGAGTAATTTAAATATTGCTTGTTCTCATCAATCATTAGATTCGATGAATTGTTGTTAGTAAATGTATACTGCAATAGATTTGGATATGTAAATTCGAAATTCTTTTCTAACTTCTCCAACATGCTGTCCTTGTCGTTGCTATTTTCAACCATGTTTTTCCTTACGTTCTCGCTGACAAGAGAAATTAAAAAACTGAATGGAAATTGAGAATTAAAGTGAGGAATTTGTGTTCCGTATTGCACATTAATGTGCCCGTGTAACTGTTCAGAAATTAGTAAATCTTGAATCATTTTCGGTTGAACATTTTGGTCGAATATTTGCAGCCACACTTCTTGAACAGCATGGTCGCTCAGGAGTGAAAAGTTATTAAACCTGTCGATCAAGCTCAGTACTGCTGCAAACGTAATGAACAGTTTCTTGGAGATGAAATATTGCAAAGCAGAGTTCAAAGTACCACATATCTGCAAGAGTTTCTCGTCTTCTATTACCTCCAAATACCATCGATCGTCGTGCTTTATAGTAAGTTTTAGCACATCTAACATCTTTTCCTGAACGATTTCATAAAATCTATTTTGTGGGTCCGATAATAAATTCCGGATTGTAACAATTTGTTTTTGAATAGAATCAGGAGTTCTTGGATATGGGTACACAATTCTCGAAAGAGAGTTGTGTAAATTTGACAAGCTTAAATCCATGATGGGAATTTCAGTAATAATCTTGCTCAATGGTTTGCTCACCAATGTGTACATATCAGGAAACACCGCTTTTGCATATGAACAAATGTCATCTATAAATACGTAATTCCAACGCTTGTCAAAATCGAAGGTGAATCGAGATTCTTGAATGGAAAGTCCTCTAATTAAATTCACTACAATGACCACATTACGAATCTTGGAGGGATTGTCTTTGATGAAAAGTTCACGCTTATTTTCACAAGTGTATTGAGCGTAACGAATTCTTCGAACAGAGGAAGCGTTAGGATCTGCTAAAATAATAAGCAATGATTGATCGTCATCTGAATTGAAAAATTGATCTAGTTCAGAATTAAGGTCTGCTGATGTTTTCAGTTCATGGAGTTGAATGAATTTGGTCATCATTTCTTCATTCTTCACAAAGGTAACGTCGTTTCTAACCAAATTTTCAATATTAATATCGAGAGGTGAGTATGTCATCACAACAGCTTGAATACCGTTCGATTTCGTGTATGCCCATTCTTCAGGATGTGAAAATACCTTGTTTAAAAATGACGAAAGTGAGCTATGGTCTTGTTGGGTGAAATATTTTTCAATAATTTCCCGGTTGCCAGACTTTACAATGTATTCAGGTGACGCAACCCACAGTAATTTCTCAATGGCATTGAGGTACACATAAGAAGTACCTTCATCAACCATATTATCCATTTCAGTGGAATACAATGCTTGAACTAAACTTTTAAGAGATTCATCATGGCATCCTACAAAAATTTTGGAAAGATTTTGAAGTCCGTCCTCAACCAAATTTGAAACAAATGTTTCTAGCATGGACAAGGAAATACTATTTTCTTCTGTCATGAAATCAATACGGTTGAAGGAATGCTTTTCTAATCTATTTAAAAAAGGTGCCGCTAGTTTGGAGTATGCATCGCTGGCCTCTGCAATTACTATAATTCTAAAGTTGTCATGCACAGAACATGTCACAGATTCATTTCCAAATGCCAATCTTGCAAACTTCTTCTGCTCAACAACTACATAATGTTGATTCAGTAAATCATACAAGCTTTCATAAAGAGATTCACAATGTACAAGTACTACCGTCCTTCCGTCAGACATTGCCAGCTTGATCTTTTGTAATTGAAGAGATAGAGTGAAGTTATCATTATTTTCCATTGGAAAGTCACTACCAAAAAGTACCAACGTATCCGATAGCGAAAGTATATTGTAATCGAACAATAAATTCAAGGCTGCATTGTTGTGTGTTAACAGCATTAGATGTCTGGCCATGGTACTATCTTTCAAGTTCATTTGAATAAGTTCCTTATTTGTTGGCTTTGATATTTGACTTGAACATAGGTTGATACCAGTTTTTGTCTCGAATATTTTCAAGATTGCATGCACTTGGTCCTTTGGAACTCCTCCAAAATTACGCAAAATTGCCAAAAGTAATGCTTGATCAAAGCTCACCACTTTACCGTCATATTGCATCTTATCATTGACCACTCTATTCAAAAATTTGATGCATTGGTAAAAGTCTCTCAATCCGAAAAATAGTTTGATTTTTTGAGTGTTAAAAAGCTCTAAATAGCTTTGGGCGATACTTTCCAAGTAATTGTTCAATTGCAATTTTTTAACTCCAATAATACCTTTCGCAGTATTTTTTAAATCTTTCGCTGTTGGTATTGATCTGTAGAGAATACTCATTCTATGTGTATTAATACAATTAGAGAAATCATGTTGAGGATATTACTGAAAAATTCGAAATAAAACGTACCTGTTCATCTTTGAGCTGTCCAAGCTATAGTTACTGATTGCAATGAAACTAATCTTCTCCAAGTCTTCCAACTCGTGATGTAAGATTTTTAAAGGTAAGTTTGGAGAATCAGCCAAACTGATTTCATCAAGCAATACGACAGAAAGTGAAGAGTTTCCTGAACTTTCTTCAGCGTAACGTCTTGCAGATCTAAATGTTTGAGCAATACCTTTTGCTGTTGACAATGGAGAACATTGATAAGCAAAAATATTAATATCTGGTAGATGATGCAACCTTTTGTTGGCCGATGCCTTTCCCCTCATTGCCTTTGAAATCAAGTCAACGGCAAGAGATTTTGATGAACCTGCAAAACCAACCAATATGATTGGGATGTGGTTTAGAAGTGCTAAAAAGAGCATAAAACAGTTCTCTGTTAGGGCCTCATTCAAAGAAATACCTTCTCCAGGATTGAGCTGAGTTGTCAACTCTATTTGATACTTGGTCGTTGTTTGAATAAAGAACTGAGGTGTGAGTGAAGAAATTACAGGTCTTGCAACATTATAAATCTGTTGTAGATAGGATAGTCGTTGATCTCTGTTGAGTCTGCTGTAAAATGTAAACGCTAAAGTCAAAACAAGACACTTCAAAAAGTTAATATTGTGAATATTAAAATCTACCAGTTGGTTATCCAATTTGATAATGTCCCAAAACACTGAATCACTGGCTTTTTTGTGCTCTTCGAACAGCCACGAAAAAACTTGCACGGCTCTCTTCACATCTCTTAAGCTCACCACGCTGACTTCGTGCATGGTATCTCTAATGAATTGTTGGGAGGTGCATATTAAGTCAACAAATACATCTAACGCCAGATTTTGTTGAGCATGTGTCACATAGGAACGCAGTCCCTTTTGCAACATGCTACGAATATAGATTCTTTCTGTTTCGATGGATAGAGAACCAAATTCATACACATGATCAACAAAACTATCTGGGAGAGGATGAACTCGGTACACTAGGTTTTCTAAAGGATCAGGAATGTTCTTGAATGATGGATGTTTGTACAAAATTCCACTTTGAGACTGAATAACGGCCTCAATCCTTTTAGTATGTTCGTTCTTTAGACGGTATGGGTTTAAAGCGCAAACAATCTTAATGTTTTTAGGAATTGGAAGGCCATTCAATACACGATCACATACAATCTCTTTAAGAATACCAGTATGCGCACAAGTATTAGATTCATCAAAGAAAACAATATAATTTGCCATCTCGTGGCTATTTGCTTCCTCAATAATTGGATAAATGAAATCAATAATATCTTTCTCAGTATGACCACCATGAAGCGTAATTCGTCGAAGATCCATATCCAATATTTTACAGAGATAGGCCATAAGAAAACTCTTTCCACATCCGGTTTCACCAAGAATAATCACTGGTAGATTGCATTTAAATCGTAATATAATTGCAAACATTTTCATCAGATTATCTTGAGTAAGTACGTAATCGCTGTTTGAAATCTTTTCTCTTAGGGAAATGTCATAATATTCTGCCATTCCATGAATATAACCTCCATTAACCATGGTCAAAAATTTAAGCCCTTGCACTTCCGTTTCTATTTGTCCATTTTGGGTTAAGCTTTTGTTAAAATCGAAATTGATGTCCAATCCTTGCAGATGAAGAATTTGTATTTCCTGTTCACTGAAGAACTTTTTAACTGATTCTTGACTCAGAGAAATGACGTTGAAACCTGTAACACCCAGATCTTCTGTCGCGAATATTAGCACCGTATGAGTGGAGTGTTCCCATTTTCGAATTGTTGAAAAACGTTTGGCGTATTCCTCTAGAGAGGGATTGGAAGTGTTGAAATTAAGAACTAACTGTCTCATAGCGAAATCTTTTGTCATTTCCAAGGTAAGAGCAACGAGAGAGTGAGGAATTTTGGCAGTTAAGGGCTCATAGCTTGGAAGCCAACGCAGCATATCATATTTCGTAATTGACTGGAAAAATTCATAGGTGAAATCAACAAAATTCGTAATTAGACCGTATGATGGTTGCCCAGTATTATTACAATATCGCATCAAAATCTCAAAGCATTCTTGTGGATCCAAATATTCGTCATGTACAAAATTGTTAAACTGTTCTGGATTTGAGAAGATACCCCTGTCGAATGCTTTCAATATTGAGCAAACAAAAATAAGCTTGTTGTTAACGGTTGAGATAATTCTTCCCAACTCATCTAATTCAAACTTTTTCTCTGTGCTCAATGTTTCAGCGTTCACTTCACATACATGTTTCGGTAAGAAATTGCACAAGGGCACAAACTTTTCAAGAGTAATATTTTGAGGAGCATTAGGGATCTCAATCAAAATACTATCAACCTCTCTTCTGTGATACACCTGTCCATTATAATCAGATATCGACCCAACTACAATAAGCTGAAAAAGTATGGCATTTACAATACTGTCAACATGTGATGAAATGTTGAAATAGAGAGTAACAGGATGATTTCTGTTGGTTTTCTCTTTTAGTTGAGAAATTAAGTTTGAAACATCAACACTTTCTCTTAAAGAAATAGAAACTAGTTCCAACTTGTTCTCAAAGGCATACTTGAGTATTGAATGTGTTTTACCAGCTCCTGAGTGCTTGGACGTATAAACAAAGGTGCCACATGAATAGACATTGCAAACTTGTGAGTAAACTTCAACCATTTCGTCGAAGGTGAGAGCAATGGCAGCCCCATCAAACCTGAAATTAGAAAAGGCATTGACAATACGTTGGTGGGCGTTACCCGAAACAATGACTAAAGGAGGAGCCATCTTGATATCAGGATTGTGAAGGTACAATTTCAATTTGTCAACCACTTGACATTGCGTTGTATATGACAGCAGATGGACATTCGATAAAGTAAATATTCTCCTACTAGCGAAGGATTGAGATCTTGTTTGGGACCATCTCGTAAACAAGAGTAAAATATCTTCCAATTTTGTTCTACTATTGCACATTAATACTTCATACATTTCAGGTAGTCTTGATTGCACTGCATACAGTGAGAGTACAACTGACTCAACCTCTTGTTCATTTTGGCAGGAAATCGCAAACACATTTTCAACATCTTGATTGGATTTAGTGAGGGATAAAGCAATATCTTTTTTGGCAGAAAACGCAATGGCTCTATCTTTTTGTAAAATTATGTCTTCAGTGTCACCGAATAATGTGAACAGCAAGGTTCCAAGGCTTTCTAGTACAGCGCACGAAAAATCATTGTCTACAGCTATGAAATTATACTTGTTTTGCCATTCTGATATGAACAATTCTAAATGTCTATCGGAAAATTCTCTTCTAATGGCTTTGAACATGGAGTGTAGATTTGTAGTGTCGTTGCATTCAAGCCACTTCAATATTTGTCTGAGCTCTCGCATGTTAAAATAGTTCAGATATGGATATTTTTGTCGAATATTTTTGATATCTATCTTCCATGCAGAGTTAAGTATGTCCAATCTATTTGCTTCATTTCTAAGCTTTTCAATTTCTTTCTCGACACTGTTTGGATGACTAAGACAAAATTCATACTCATAGTTGTCAATTAATATATTTCCATTCTTGATCAATTCTGTCACAGATTCTTTTAGGTTCAATAGAATATTAATTAATTGAATGAAGCGATTCATTTCAAAATCTAGGTTTTGATGTTTTTCTTTTAACTCTCGAGGAACAGACGTGTTTAGAACCGTTGTACGGATATCCAACAAGTCAGATATGGTAAATGTTTTGGTCTTTGAAGAGTTTGGGAGTGTGTATGTAATCAGGTCCTCAAATGAATATTCATTTGACGTGAAACTTGATTTCGCTGAAATTTTGAAAGATCCTGACTCCATAATTTCCAGTAGTTTGAGAAGAGAGTTGACAGAAGGACTTCTTGTCTTGTCTCTAAATATTTGTTTCACAGACTCTAAATTCTTTCTAATAAACGATACATCTTGAATTCTTCTTTCAATTTCTTTTGAATCTTTGTTAGAATTAAGGGACCTCATGGTCTGTAAGAAAAGTTCACATGAATTAAATTTCGTTTCTGGATAAACGATATCATACAAATATTCACGACAGCTTATTAAAGAGGCAAATGATTGAAGAGTGATAGCATCATCAGCAGTGACTTCTCTGCAAACTCTTATAAGTTCGTTGAATTGTACTGTATTATGATGTTGCCATAGCCATTCAAGAAGATCATCAGATTGGTCCAATACTTGAATGAGATCCAACTCGTTCTTACTCAAATGTTTTAGAGCTTCTTTGGCAGCACTGATAATGTCAGCAACATCGAAAAGAGTTCCATTCTCCCATTTTTCAACAAAAAACTTGTCGTGTAGAGCTGTCAATCCCATGAAATACTTATCTTCAAAAATGGAAGAGCTAAAAACTTTGCTAAACTTTCTCAAGACCTTAATGACGAGAGGAACATAGGTTTTTTGCTTTGCAATGAATAGGAAGCTATGAATGATCTTTGTGTGATAATCGCACCATTCTTTCGAGTCTATGCTATACGCGACTAGTTTAAAAGAAGTAGCATTACCTTCAACGTCGCCATCTACTTTGCAAGTGGTTTTGAGAAACCTCATCTCGTTTTTAATGTCTTCTTCTGATTCTAAACCTGCGAATTGATGTTCCATTTCTTGGAATGAAATGGTTTTCGCATTTAACTTATTGTACAGTTGGAGCCACTTGTTTATCATCAGCACAAACACTCTATTTTTCAGATCTTTAACGGAAAAAACGACCTTTTGAGCAGAGACTTCAATGTTCATGTTGGTGTTGGCAATTTGAGTCTCTTTTTGAACAACTTCGTCAATTGTTTGATTCCATATTTGCAAAAATAACTCTGACTTGCATAGGTATTGAAGCTCGTTCAATTCTTTCAAGAAAGGTTGATCATTCAGTAACAGTTTGATGCTATCAAATGGAGCACGTTGTTCAATTGAAATGTCCAAGCGTTTTAGAATATCTCGTAACGACGAGCTATCAACGTGTTCGTTTTGGCAATAATGATTACAAAAATCGTGTGTTTTCCTTTGTAAAGAGATGAATTGAGCCACCTCATCTTCAAGTTCAACCAATGTCGGAAGGCTCAATACAGCTCTTCCTGTGGACGTTGCTAATTGAACAAACTTTTCCTTATTATTTCCCTCAAACAGTTCTTTCAACATATCAAGATTTGCTCTACGGTCAACAATTGCGTTACACCAATGGTCGAGCAATTGATTTGCTTTTTCAAGCTCTTCTGTGCTTATACTGGAGTTGCATAATGTAAAACATCTACACCACAATTCTGAATGGTTCAAAAGTGATGTCATGCTTCCCTCTGTGAATATGTGCCTCGTAATGTGTTTGACAATGGAGTGAGCAACCCTACGTCGTTCTGTGATGGCAGTCTCCAAACCGTTGAGATGTTTTTCAAGAAAATCCAACAGCGAGTTCAATGCTTTGGATGAATATCCCATTTTCTTACAAATATCAAATGTCACATCCTCTAACACTCTGAAAAACAGTGTGCCATCTTGCATAGATGTTTTTGCCTCGAAATCCAGTAAAATTTTCAGCAAGTCTTGATTTGTCACTGATGTAAAATAATAGTTGCTCTTGAATGATTCGAGTACGCACAACTGATATTCTTCTAATTTTAGAATAGATTTTGAAAGACGAGATGACATTCTTACATAAAATTCAAGAATTTCGAGTAATTTGAACGATTTCCGAACCAAATATGTGGAATTCTTTTTGCTGAATATTTGCTTGAACATTTCTTTGAGTAGTTTGGAAATTTTCTGCATATCATTCTCCCTACAATTATTAACGAATACATCATCATCAAAGAAGGTGAAAACAATATCAAAAATTTCAGGAGCAAAAACATGATCGACGGATCCAATATTGCCTCCTGATGAAAGTGTTGCATTGGAAAGTAACCCTTCCAATAAAGAGATGGATCGTGTAAATGATTTCTCTCTAGAAATAATACCTTTCAATATTGCAAGCTTTTCTTTTGTTCCATCTGTCCATTCTGTGTGCTCTTGCACAAAGGTAGTAAATGATTTCAATAAAACGCTATTGAGTTCATGTTCGTTAGCACATTTCAAACATCTACCAAATTGTAAAATCACCTGTACGTGCTCAAAAGAGGAAGATGCCAGCTGGAACAAGGTCGAAATAATGATGGAAATTTGGTTTGATGTTACAAAATTCATGTGTTGGCTGATGCGAGAACTTCTTTCTTCCACTATGGCAAACAATTCTTTCATTTCATCATTAAACCTTTTCCTATCAGTATACATGATTAACGTATCAAGTTGATTAAAGTTTCCATGAAAAGATGTGCCGAATTCGCTATGAATGAAGGGAGAAAGTAGTATCCAAAATGAAAAACTTTTCTTTTCAGAATGCTTCATAAATAATCTTATCAATTGTTGAACACTGGATTTGAACAATATCTTGATATCGTCCAAATAGCTTGCATTATTGTTCGTCTTTGAAGATTTGATGTATTGTTGAGAAAGAACATGATTATAAATGGCTGAAATCGTATAAATATCTAAATATCGCAATAAATACACAGCATCCAGAAGATTATCCAGGTCTTTTAGAGAAGTGAGAGCAAATAGTCTTTCAAAAAGACAAAGAATCATGATTGCTCGACATTCAACGTTTGTGGTATCTTCCCCAAATTTTTCAATATTGTCAAGCAAGAAATTTTTCAATTCAGTCACAGTAGAGTCTCGAAAATAGTTTCTTTTGGCAACATATCGTTCTGCCACTTGAAAGGAAGTTTTTCCAATGGTTGTCAAATGCTCCAAACATTGAAAGAGACCATCTAACCGTTCATAAAAATAAATTAGTTTTTCTTGTTGTTCTTGAATTTGTTGATGCAGAGTCAAATCGTCCTTGTCATCACCGCGCCTATCATCTACGGAACTACTTTTCTCTTGAGAAGTTTCGTTAGCAATGGATAATGCATTCAAGAATAGCTCTTCCACAAAAGAAAACAAAACTGAGCGCTTGGACTGTGTGAATGTTTGAATGGCTGACTTTAACAATCCTACACTTTTCTCTTGTTTCGGTTTAAATTGAAGATATAAATGTGAACTTTGTTTCTTCAGCGAGTTTAAAAATGTCACACCACTAACTTCCTTGTCAATGTTCACAATTTTATCTTTGGGATCGACGAGCAACACTTTGAATTGCAAAAAACTTAATTTTCTCGGAAGCAAAACACATCCAACCCAAATTTCTTCATTAAAAGAAGATTTTTTCAGCACAATTAATTTCTTGGTCGTGTTTTCCTTCTTCTTCATCTTGGAGAAGAACGATGTCGCATGAGAGGAATTTTGATAGAGAATACTAATTTTCGGAGCTATATTCGATTGGAGATCGTCATCCTCATCTTCGAAATAAACACTCGGAATGAATACATGGAAGTAAAGTACCATTTGGGTGGATAGGTCCACATTGGTATCTACCCCTTGCATCATTGTCTTGCTACTCTCTGGATGAGGAGATTCCATTGCCTTCATGGAAGTCTCCATGGATGAGGTCAATGAGACTTGAGTGGCATTTTCTTCTTGGTTCTCGGATTTTGTTGATGATGATGATGAAACCCGATCATTCATTTTGCGTTTCTTCAACCTTCTCGATGTTGATGAGAGAGTTTGTTGTTGATCCACATGTGTATCAATGACCTTGTAGTATTGTTGTTGAGACTGTTCTTCATGTGGTTTTGATTGTGGTGATGAGTTGGGGATTGAATGTTTATCATCATCACTATGAGGATCCAATGATGAAGGATAGGAAACCTCTTGATCCAGTTCTTCTGAAGTCGTGATCATTTCAGTTGTTGGATTGTTCTCATCATGGTGATGGTCGGATCCTTTGGTATTCATTCCATCTCGGTCCTCTCTGGTTCTTACCAATTGTTGTTTATCGTGAGATGATGGGCTCGTATTCACCTGATAATTAGCAATACTTTTGGGAAGAAAGGAAGCATCGTCTTCATTGTCCTCTTGCTTTTGATGATGTTTTGGAGATGCTCTGTTATGGTTGTTGTTGTTTTTGTTGTTATTGGAACGAACCGAAGAATTATTTACAAGACGTTCCGATGTGGATGATGATGAAGCAGATGGATCATCACGATGATGTTGTTCTTGTTGTTGATTCTGTTTCTTCTTCTTTTCTTCTTCTTCTTGTTCCTTCATGTATCGGAGATAGTGCGGATCGTTGGTGGGCAACATCTTCCTGTTGTCGTCGTCTTTCAGCAATGAGTACAATGGTTGTTGTGTTGCTATTTGTAGTTGTTGAATTTGGTTGTGCAATTAACCACACTCAATCAGTGGGCAATGATTGATCAACAATGATTGCAACAAAGCGAGACAAGAAGGTTGTTGATTTTTTGAAATTTTGAGGACGGATGGGAATTCTCAATCACGTTTCTCACCACCTAATGTTCGAACACACGCGTTTCTAATCATGATTCATTCTTCACTATCGAGAATCTAAATTTGGCAAACTTGATCAAAAATCCTCACAAAATATCGAGCCAGAAAATTCTCATGATCACCTTGAAAAAACTATTCATTGAGAAACCCCAAGTGGATGTATAAAATGAATCATGATGCCCTTAATCTAATATTTTCATTTTTGGATATTACCTTCATTTAGAAAATTCTGTTTCAAAATTAATTCCCAAAAATTAACAATGACCTAACATGCGCATCTTTGATTCTCAAAAAAATCATCACTTCATCATGTCCTCCAGTAAGGCCATTAAAAGTATTTGTGTGATCAATGGTGGTGGTCGATTGGGTCGAAATATTTTACAATCTTTGGTGAATATTCGAGAAAATAAAACTAAATTCCTACAACAAGGAGAAGATAATTCCAAGACGCTTTATTTGAGCAGTACGAATTCATCGTTTAAAATATTCACATTTGTGACTCCTGATCGTAAGGATACTTTCAATTCGGAGAAATTTGTGAATCAGTTGGATGGTGTGACGGTGGAGAGAACTGATCAATTGGGAAGAAAGGAATTGGTAAGTTAAGGTTATTTTGCCAAACATGACAACTGACATTTTTGATGAACAGAAAGATCGTTTTGCCAAGTATGACGTCCTCATTAATGCCACTGACTTTGAAAGATGTTACAATGAAGAAGAATTCGAAAGCAATGTCATTGAGGCTTGTCTTGAAGGTGGAAATGTCAAACGTTACATTCCTGCAGATTTCACAGTCGATTTTATGAATTTCCAAGATGGGGAATGTGAGAAGATGGACGTTCGTAAAAGAATTCGTTCCTTATTGGAGAAGAATCAAGAGAAAATGTCTTTCACCTCCATCCTGAATGGTGTCTTTCTCGAAAGATTGTTCGATCCATTCTATCAATGGAAAATTCTCAATTTGGAAGAACAATTAGTGGAATACTATGGCAAAGACAATTCTGAAAAGCCACCTGTCATTGACTTTTCTCTGTATCCAGAAGTTGGTCAAATCTGTGCCCTCACTTCCACACTCTTATTCGAACAAACTTCCAACATGATCATTCCCTTTGTTTCCAACTCCTACGACATGAATGAATTGGCAGAAATGCTCACCAACAATTTGGGACATGGTAAATGGAAGGTCAAACAAATTGGAACTCTCAAAGATTTGAAGCTTAAAATTGCAGAAAGAAAGAGTCGTCGCGTTCAAAAAGAGGATCAACTCGTCGACGAAGATTTCGCTTGGGACTATTTGTATGCCATTTTCAGTGAGAAGGGACGCATTTCGAAAACTTCCTCGAATGACAAGTCGATTAAGGATGTTGTGGAGAGATTTTCCTCCGTCATGATGCCAGAAAGAGCTGAAGAATCAACCACTGGAATGGAACGACGAGACTTGTTCCATCGATTGGTGGGAGATCAACAAATGGATAAAGAGACTCTCACCAAGATGTGTAGTAGTGCTGGATGTGGTTACGTGATGGGAGCAGATGCTTCAAAAATTAGACCCACTGGAGCACCTATTAAGGAAGGACCTTAAGAAAAACAATTTCACATTTCGAAAAAGATGATCCACAATGGAATGGTTGGTTGATTCACAACTTGTTCATTAGTTTGATTCTGACAATACATTTATCAAGTAGTGAATAAATCATTGTGAGTGTTCGTGCATGTCAATGAAACTAAAATGTCACAAAAACTGTCAAGTGTTTTCTTTGCACATTCCGCATTCCTTACTGCAAGATTCTTCAAATTCATTCGAAAGAAGAGTATACTCTGAAATAAAACATGTTGAGACGGATAGCGAAGAAAATGATATCCACCAACAGTCAATTCATACCTTATGTGAATCATTGATTCTTGTTGTGAATTTCTTTTGAAACGGACTAAATACGCTCTATTAGTCTTGCTTATGTTTCCCAATGGATTTCCAACGATGAGCGTTCCAAGGTTTTCATTCACATAAAATGTTGATACGTCAGAACACATGACTCTTTGTGGATTGAAGTATTGGTTATTTCGTGAAAACCTGGACAGGTTCAATTCTTTGAATTCGATCGATTCGAGATAACACCATTCGCTAAAATAGACATTTTCATTTTCTAATATCAATGAAGCATGACGCACGCCACAAGCAATGTCTTTAACCTTCAATGTTTGTTTTAGTTGTTTTTTTGAACCTGTTTCAGAGTCTGGTAAAGGCAATGCTTTGAATTGAACTTGTTCCACATTCATTCATTTGGATGAAAAATCCAATAAATAAATTTCATGTGAGAATGGCATCGTTTCCTTCTCCACAAAAATCTCTACTGCAAGCTCCTAAAATTAGCTTCTTTCTTTTTAGATTGTTTGGTTTTTTGATTAATTTCACATGGTGATTGGGGTTTTTCATATTTGAATGAGAGGGAGGAATTGTGAATATTTTTTCGTGGGTTTTGTGGAAATACAAATTGATTCCTTTTGTCACAAATTAGAAAATAATATGCTGACGGTCCAGTGAAAATATTTTGAATTTCAAAAGTAGTGTTTGAATAAGGACCAGAGAAAAAATTATTTAAAACTCATTGAAAACCATCCCGCAGGTTTAAAACATCATTTTTCATTCTTAAAGCAATACACTCCCAAGAGCAATGAATACTCTTTACACTCTTGACAAGAGTTTTTAGTCGAATCTTGTCCAATAGAACTATGCCCGACGAAGAATTGGTTTGAAATCCAAAATAATGAAGTGGAAAGCTTCCCAAATATGAGCTTTTGTTTTCCAGTACATACAACTCGTTGGTCATTGTTTGAAATACAGTAAACGTTCCCCCACAAACAACAGCTTTCATCACGTCACATCGAGAATTGACAAGTGGCAGTTTCACTTCATTGATTGCTTCTTTCAACCTCACCTCCGTTAAGCTTGGACGAGAACCGGGTCCCTCCAAGAAAAACTTGTAATAATACAAATCTGATGGTGGTTTCGGTTTCTTTCGATTTGAATTTCCCATGGACAGAGCGGAGGTGATGCCAATGGTCAATGAGGTTTCTTCTTTCAAATGATTTTTTTGATTATTTTGTTTAAGGATGATCTAAATGAGCACTTTTGCGAACAAATTTGTAAATGGAACTCCTCTTCCTGATTTTCAAGTATATTGTTATATTAATTTTTATACTGTATATTAATTTTTTACTGTACATGTATCAATCGATACTCCAGAGCCATCTCGAACAAGGCTTTCATGGATGCCTTCAAATAGAAGTTGGTTAAAGGTGAGGGAAATGAATTCGTTGTTTTCACAGAGAGGTCTTTCTTAAGTGTCGCTGAGGTGAAATGTGTCTCACAAAGTTGTGGAGGATCAATGATTGAATTGGATGAATGAGTTTCTGAAGGAAACAGTTCAGAACTTGTGGAAGTTTCGTTCACTAGTTTCGAATGATGATTGTGTTGTGTCATGATGATTGGCAATGGAGGTTGGAAAGATTGTTCTTTCTCAACTTGAAATGAATTCTTGCGGATTGGAGGATTTGCCTCTTGTGGAATGTTGAAAGGATGGAATGTTAAGGGTCTGTTCTTCCTTTGGTGAGAGGTGGAATTTCCTTTTTTGTGAATTCCTTTAAGGTTGGATTTGTCATTAAGAGATTGTGGATTTGACTTTTTGATTTGAAAGGGAATCCACTGAAACTTGTTGTCTTTTAAACGAGAATTGTTTGTTGTTGATAAAGAAATTGTTTGACTATTTTTAGGAAGGTTCAAAAGAGAAATTGCATCAGTTGTTGAAACGTTGTTTGTTTTGAAGGCAACTGACAATTGACCATCTCTCTGATTGTGTTTCGAAAATTGGGAGCCATTGATGACACGGTTTTCACTGGGACGATGATTTCTGTTACACATGAGAGAGTTCCTCAACGCCACAACTTTGTTTTTTTATGTTGTGTGAACCAGAAGAGTGTGTAAAGACATGGATTCCTTCGTTGTTGAATGAAGGATGATGTGTTTGTGGGAAGTGACATTTCGCAAATGCTGTTCATTCATAAAGATTCACAAATGTCAACAGGTCCGAACTGAAAGTTAATGTTCTTTTAGATCTGTGTCTTTGAAATTTCTCAAAAAGGATGCGAAACCAGTTTTGGAAATAGTGTTTCAACCATTAGTGCGAGCATGTGTTGAGTATAAGGTTATAACATTCCAAGCATTTTGCTTTTTTAGGAAATTACGATGGATTTTTTCGAATTTTCCAAGTCCTAGACATTCAATTCAAAAGCTCTTTTATTGAGATGGATATTCGTCCTTTCTTTGTCTGTTGTTGTTGGGGTTGTTGTTGAAATTCCTTCAGTAATTGCTCTTGATGTTGAGCGAGTTCAACTCTTTGTTTGCTTCTTGTCATAATGTCAACAGCTGGCAATTCTGAATTTCCTTTCTCACCATCTACAACCACCAGTTTGCAATTCTTCTTCAAATGATCTTGATGATAAGAATTCATCATTCTTGTTTTGGAAGTCTGATTCTTTTCCATCTGCAAGGAGTTTTCTGATACAGATGCATCATGGTCCGATATGAACTGTTGTTGTTTTTGTTGACACATGGGATGATGTTTCAATAAGATTGTTTTTGCTGCTTGGTGCAAATCCTCATGAACTCCACACATGAAACCCAACAAGAGGGCCATTCCTGCTTTCAGATGGGATTCAGATATTGTGATGGAACTGGTATGATTAGTCACTTCATGTTGTTGAAGTGTTGTTGAATCATTATTCGCTGATTCTTGTGATATATAATGTTGTTGAGAAGAACTACGAGTGGTGAAAGAAGAAGAGAAAACACCACTTGCTGATGATGACATGTGTGAGGATAAATTGGTTTCGAAATTAAGAATTTCTGGACCTCTTGGTCGATGATGATGAATCATCTCCAATCGGATGGAGGTGATGGTGGCGGCACTGGATGGTTGAAGAGTTTGATATTGTTGGTTCCAACATGGAGTGTACCAAATTCGAGAGATTGGGTGAATGTAATCTTTTTCTTGACGTTGTCGTGAGGAGTTGTTGTTGCCTGTGGTGGTGAGGTTTTTCAATTTTACCTTTTAGCGATAAAAAGGATGAAAGAGAAGTGTCAACATGATGTTCGATTGATGTTGAACGTTGAGGTAATGATTGTGGGGATTGTGGGGATTGACAAGAGAGGTTCATGGCCACCATGTTATTGTTGTTGGATGATGGTTGGTTTTTTGGTTCATTACTACTGACGTGATTCTAACCATTTGTGTCGAAGAATGAGGATGATGTGTTGGTGAAGGAGGAGGAGGATGTGGGACAGAATTGAGGTGGGTTTCTTCCTTTGCGACCCTTTCTATTCGTCCGTGTGAACGCTTGTGGTGGTGGTTGGATGTTCAAAAATTGTGAAAAACTGAAAGAGCCATCAAAAGGATTTTCTGAAATTCCATTTTGTGAAGGTCGTGTTTGGCGTCGTGTCATTTGTGATGATGAAGAACCATTGTCATTGTTGAGGTTGTTCAAAGATGTCGTGTCCATCATCAGAGAGAGAGCGAGAGAGAGGTGTGGAATGTTTTGTTGTGAATAGTGTTTGGAGAAGTAAATTAATTGAATTTCTTCATTCTTTAATGTTGTTTTGTGTGGTGAATTGAAGAAAGTGTTTCTCGACATTTTGAGTTCACATGGCAAGTGAATATTCAGATAGAGTTCGTACTAATCAGGAAGACTTTTTTGGTTTGTCGGAGGAATATGCGCATATTCCAGCGCAAAAACGAGGTGAAAAGGGATTCAAAAATTAACAAATAGAGACATGTGTTCAAAGTTGTATACACAGGGAGACAAGTGAAAGGCATCAGTGTCGCATCAAGTGTTGTACTTTTCTTCCATGTATAACCGTGATGCTGCTGTCACATGATTTAATGTCGAAATGATGCTTCACATTCGCACATCATCAACCTTAAAAAGAACTTTGAGATCTATTAAACTAATGTCAGAGTTGAGACTCGCAAAAATTCACATATTCAGTTCAATTCAAAAGCTCTTTTATTGAAATGGATGTTCTGACTGATGTGATTGGTTTTTTAACTCTCTCTGCTGTTGACTTTGCAGACGCATCACCATTGTTAAATGATTGCAATGAATGAGGCGAAGAGTGGTTGTCTTTCATTATTATTTCAGATGGTTGATGATGATGTTTGTTCAGTATCAACACTCCTGCTTGTTGCCACTCTGGTTTCACTCCTCAAATGTAACCTAAGAGAAATGCTTTCATGGACGAAGTGGATGGGAATACTTTTGGTAATAATAATTCTGTCCTTTTTTCTTCTGGTATCGATGGGTCGCAATGTGGTTTTCTATCCTTTCGAATCATTGATGCATGTCGAATGTCATTGAGTGTATGGGAGGAGGAGGAATGAGGTTCACTTCTGGACACGGGATTCTCTTCATTTCTCAATTCGATCGATGTTGTCTTGTTCTTCTCCCTAAGATCATACTTGTGAAGAGGACACACCTTTCCATTGTAAACTGTATATTGAGTGATGGTTTTTAACTTTTTTGGTTTGGAAATTTTAAATCGTGAGAATACTGGTGTGTTTGAGTGGACATTCAACTCTTGCTGAGTTTCGAGAGAAGATTTGTTTTTTCCATCTTCATGTGATTGTTGTGAACATGTTATTAATGCAGGTACCATTTGTTCTTCATCATCATTAACATGATAGTCATTGTTGTTACAAACACTTGGAGTTGTTTCTTCGTCGGTCAAAGCGTGAGTAGATGGCAATGAAGACATTAGAGCCTTGTTTTCAATTGTGTGTGGGACGAAGCGGAAAAGCATCGAGTAGTGTCGTGATGTGGTCGTTGTTAATTTGGGTATTTTGTTGTTTGTGAACTAGCACAAAAGAAGAGACAATTATTTCTTAATATACATGATATAACTTCCTCCTCCTTCTCTCAAAATGTACAGAGGGCCTAAAATTGCTGAGAGAGACGATCTCTTGCGTCGCAGCTGTCTTTCCCTTATGTTCTTGACTGCCAATACAGTATTATTATTCGTCATTACAACAGACGTCCACATCCCAAATGGAATCTTAGCACCATGAGATTGAATTTCTTAATGCACTCCATGCACACTTTTCAGCTCAATGGCAACCTATAACGATAGTAATCTGAAGAATGTAAACTCCAATATTTTCCACATTTTCCACCTCCATAATTGACTTTCCTCAACAATCGGATGATGGTCCTGTCGGAACAACAACAAGGCTGTTCTTCTCTCTTTTTAAAAAAGAAAATAAAAAAAACCACAATAAGATGGTCTTAAAATGTTCATTTTTTTCAAAGCTCAAATCTTCCCAAAATTTCTAAAAGTAAACTCTAAGAAGAGGATTGTTTGAAGCTTATTATTATTGAACAACAAGAACAACCAACACATGATGAATCCAATCACCAAACTGCGTTATCTTTCTGATTCGAAACATGAAAGAAGCAAATGAATTTGCACGTCAGGCTGAAGTTGAAGAATGTGAGAGCATATCACATTCAAAATGTTTTTATGTTGTCGACACAAGGAAAACTAACTCGCATCTCTTGCTCCCTGTTCATCATCATCAAGTGAGTGTCTAATGAATGTAATAATTGGTGCGTTGATGAAAATTTCTTTTTATCGTAGTTTGTCCTTTCACATGTCGCATGTCAACATTTCGTCGTTACATCAACAACAAAAAAGACTCTCATCTCTCAGTTCTGCTGCTCGTGGGCATCAATTTCGCTACTACCCTTCATCTCTTCGAAGAGAGACATTGTCGAGTCCATCATCATTCGACAACAATAATTTTCACTCTCTTGTTGTCGCCGACAGTACAATTTCCATCATCATCATCATAACTCACCATCTAGGAACAATTATTATTGAAAACTAAATAGTAATCATCATCAATCCTCCACACTCTCATCATGCCCATCGATAAAAAGAAACGTAATTTCATCATCACTCCCAATCAATTTTATTCCGAATTGAGTGAAGACACTTTTCGTAAACTTTGTATCAAGGATGTCAGCAAAAAGTTGTCCTATCCAATTTATTTGGACTTTTCGAATGATAAATTTCAGATCAATTCGGTGCAGGCATTGAGAATTATGAAAACTTCCTGTGTGAAGGAATTGGATATTAGGTAGGTTGTGCAATTATGAATGAATATAATAATATTACAACCAAATTTGTATCATGACTAAATGATGGATCATTGTTGACTATTGTTGTTTTTCATTGGTTGGACATGCCTTGTTAATTGTTGCGGAATGAACTCGCTGTTCATCCTTTGATGATAATACTGACATTTTCACACACCGTTAACTGTGTTTTTTCATCATGAACAACCATCACCACACGTCGATCCTCTCTTTCTTCTTTAAACGGTTCTTGTTGTTGTTGTTTCTGTTGACGTTACATTTTCACACAAAATTACACACATTTACTCTCTTCACACAGCAAAAACCGATTTAAAGAAATTGACAAAACCTTTGAAATGTTCACTCGTTTGAAACGTCTCTATGCCTCTCATAATGAAATTCACAAATGTCTCTTTAGTAATGTTCACTCACATCTTGTACTTTTAGATTTGAGTCACAACTCGCTCTCTTCTGTTCCAGAATCCTTGTCTCAATTGGTGAATTTGGAATTTCTCGACATGTCATATAACATGATTTCGAATGGAACAGAGACGGTGACTCGATTACGTGGCTGTATGAAATTGCGAGATTTGAATTTGTCATTCAATCAATTGGATATGAATAAGGAAAAATTGGACAATTTTCTTGTGGAATTGAAGACAAATTTCAAAAAATTGAAGAGTGTGAATTTTGATTCGAATCCTTTCGTCATGAAGTTAATGAATTACAGAGCTCTTTTCGTTGCTCGATTACAATTGACAAGTTTGGATGGAAAGGAAATTTCTAGCAAGGAACGCAAAAATGCTAGTCAACAAGGAGATGGATCTTCCAACTTGATTCAACCCTTGTTCTTTGATGAAGTTGGAGAACAACTCAAAGGAACGTCTAGAGGTCTCATGAAACGAGTTCCATCTTTCAATAATTTATTTAGTGTTCTTCAAACCAAAGTCGTGGAGGACGAACCAATTATTGAAGAACCTGGAAGAAGAGCCACTATTGTTGAGACCATTAAGGAACAAACACACTTTGACAAGATCAATGAAGTGTTGGAAAATACTTCACAAATTTACTTGTTAGTGGCTGGTCAGAAATTGTTGAGAACTATGAAACAATTGTTGTCAAACATTTCAGACATTTCCATGAAGTTGCACGCAGACGATCCAAATACCATTGGACTCAATGGTTATGTGAAATTTATTGAATTGTTGAAAGGTTACATTACACGTGACGAAACACATACTCTCAAGGAGTGTTTCATTCGTTGCTTGGTCACTAGTTTTGGTTTCTATACTCGCACCTTTGACAATGCTACTCGAGAAGAGGTTCAAGCTCTCACCGAGTTGGGCAAATTCCTCTTCTGGAACAATAATACTGAAATTTTGAGAACCACCAATCAGGCACTTCATCAATTCATTTTGTCACAAAGTGGAAAATTCAATCAACAACCCATTGCCAATTTGTGTACTGTTCTCAAGTATTTTGATGACTATGATCCTTTGAGTATTCCAAAAATCTCAACACCTCAAGAACTCAATCGTTTGAGCATGAAATTGAAACAACCATTGACAGTGGATGACCCAACGCAGAGGAGTTCTCCAAGTTATCTGATTCCAAACTTTTCTGACACGCGAAGACGTTCCTCCTATATTGGACCTGTCATGGATGAAGACATGCCAAGTGCCAACAGTCAAAAACGAAGCATGCAAAATAATGATGGAAATGGAAATTCTCTCCTCGCTACGGCCAAAACTAAGAAACTTCAGGGAATTACCAAATTTTACCAAGAGTTCATGACCAATCAATTCAAATCCTTTTCTTCCAACATGAATGACATTCCAAACGAAATTTTGCAATTACAAATTCAAAGCACTGATTTGTTGGTCAAGACCTTTAACTTTACAGATGCCATGATTTTGGCCATGACTGAATCTGATTTCTTGGACAATCTTATGGACATTATTATCAAGCAACACAAAGAATTTTTGGAATCTCCAACCAAACCAACCACTCTGCAACCACAAGTTCAGAAATATATTTTGCTGTTAAAACTGTTCGTGGTCACGTCGGCCTGTGCAGAAAAATTCTCTGGAAAAATTATTACATTGACCGAACATTTAACCAATGCAGTGTATTTTGTGAAACCAAAGGTCGATCAACATGTTAATGAAGAGGTTGTGACCACAAATAACAACAACAATACTTCCTCTCCATCTTCACCTGCGAGCGGCAACAAAGAAAGCGCAATTACTGAACAAGTCATTGAGGCTCTAGTTTCTGGATATGGACAAAGTCATTTTGCAAGCTGTTTGGGAGTTCTTCAAACAGCACTTGCAAGCGTTTGTCATGTCTCAAAAATTAAGGATGAAATGTTCAAAGAGAAAAAGTTTATGGATCTCCTCCTCTCGACTGTAAAGCATTTCTTTAATAATGGTATCACCACCATGAATATCAAACAAATTGCTGGAGCTTTAGAGTCTATTGACACATTATTGACAATTTATCATTACAAAATGGTGAAACATCAAACACAATATGTCACATCGAGTAGAACTCTGGTAAGAGCAGGTGACAACACTCAAATGACTGATGAGTCATATCGTTTACAAGGAATGCAAGTCATGATCAATATGAATCAAATTCATGACTTACAAGACATTCTATTGAGACTTATTCAAGAAGAAACTCTTCAAACGATTTTAATCAATCCTGTGTTGGGAGTTCCACTGGTCTCTACTGTATTACATTTAATTCAAATGTTACCGCTTTTGAATATTAACAAACATTTAAAGATGGTGAATGATCCAAAATATTGCGCTCTCCTTCAGCAACGTCTCTTGGAAATGGTCTTGCTAAATACTAACACATCGAATGTCACTTCCACCTTGGATAATGAAAACAACTTGTTGTCTGTGTCGAGTTCCCTCGAATTAAATCGACTTGCTGCAAGTTGTTTCATTTCAGTCATTAGAGAAACAAATATCGAAAAGGATCTCTTGAAAAAAGTTGTCACATCCATCAGTACTTTGTCGAGAGAAGCGGGATATAGAGGAACAAAACTGAATCACTCATTTGAGTTGTCGACATTGCTTGGAATTTTGAGCTATGTGAAAAAGGAAGAACTGTTGTCAGAGTACAAAGATATTCTTTTAATTCAATTATTGAAGATTATTCAACAGCTAACAGTTGATTTATCCACCAAGCAACTATATTACAATCTCATCGATCATTGTATTCGCTTGTTAAGAGTGTTGCAACCTATTCCTCCTTCAGAACAATTAGATTTCGAACAATTTGGAAAGCTCTTCATTCTAATCACCAAACAAGAGCAACAAATCGAAAGAGAAAATCCACAGCTGTATTCTATTGAAGCATTCGAACAAAACGCTTCATTCAACGGAATTGGAGTTCAAATTAGTCAAACCAGTTCAAGAAATCAAACATTAACCGTTGAATCATTGCCACTCTTTGCCAATCAGTACATTATTCTATTGAAATGCATTTCAGAACTTGAAATATCTAGCTTTGTCTGTTTGCGTGTCATGATTCGTTTGGCTGGGTCATTAGAATCGTTGTCACCTGCAAAATTGGAGAAGGAATTCATGACTGAAGAAAACAAGAGTCGACTTCAAATGGTGACCGATCTTCTCAAAAATATCATTTCCTTAGTTTCGAAACCAGTGGTGCCCAATGAAAACGAACGCCAACTCTCTCAGAAGGAGCTGAAGAAAATCAGAAGAAAATCATTGAGAAAATCAATATCCATGTCTACTCGTAGTTTCGGAACGATGGAAACAGTATTTAATGCATCCAATGAAATCAAAAATGCAACAGATGATTCTCGGAGAACTTCATTGAGAATGAAAAAGAGATCTTCATTGAGAGCCAATCCAGAAGAACTATCACACCAAATGAAGCAACCAAACTATGTTCAAATGTTAAATTATGGCATGTTCGATCAATATTCTGCAAATTATTGGAATGAAAGAACACTCGATTTGTCCCGACAATTGTATTCGATGGTCCTTGATGATGTGACATCTGAATGGTCTGATGAATTGAAGAACAATCCATTTAAATTATTTAATCCATTCTTTGTTCATTCCAAGCAAGAAGAAGCAGCCGCGGAAGAAAAGAAAGATGAGGATCTCACTCTCTCTGCAGATAGTGATTTGTCCGATATTTCCTCATTGGACAGCGAAGATGAAGACAATGGAGCTGAAACTCAATCATCACCACACATTCGAAGAATTCACAGAAAATCTGGAACGAATAAGGAATTTGTAGATTTACTGTTGAGAAAGAAGCAGAAAGATCAAATGAAACGTGAACAACAACAACAACATGCCAATCCTCTAACGACCATGTGGTCCTTCTATGATGACTCGACTCATTCCTTCTCTGCCAATGATTTTTATCGATTGGTATTTTCTGATGAATTATTGCGTGACAATGTGTATGATGTCATTACCCAATCCATTACTTCCACCAAAATTTCACTCTCACAATTGCTATCCGATAAGGAATTGAAATATTTGTTTATTGGAACGATTGGACTTCGAATGATTAATTTGATGAAACTGAGTGAGTTTGGTGCCTCTCAAATCATTCCTCTCATTCATCAAGTGTTGAGCAATACCTTATTTGGAAGTTACCGTGTGAACATGTTGAGTGTGAAGATTTTAACTCATCTCTTGGAATCGGTCCTTCAGAAAACTCTCAATCAAGGAACTGCTCTTCGTAGTGTTGCCAATAACAAATCCAAAGCTGAAGCATGGAAAGAGGTACTTCACATTATTGATCAAATTTCTCAAATTATTCAACAAATGAATAATACGTTGAGATATCGATTGCAATTCCACTTTTCAAAGACAACTCCATTCTCGAGTGATGAGAGACACTTTTTGTATAATTATGTGAAATTGTGGCACACGATTGTAAACACCATTCGAAATATTCCATTCCATTTATTGACAGATGCTAAAGATTATGATCATGAGCTACTCAATGAACTCTGTCAGAGTCAATTATTAAGTTTTTGGGTGCTTCCATTACCTGACTTTGCCGTTTTGATTCGTTTACTGTATTATCACTCCATTACGGAACATATCCCAGATTCTGATGACACACGAGACAATACGCTGTTTGGAAATTTGTATAGAATTCAATATTTAGAAGAATTGACCTTACCACTCTATAGTGTGACATCAGACAAGCAAGAATTTTCTGGAATTTCTCTCTCAAATCCTCACGCGCAATACATGAATCAAAAACGCAAGTTGACCATGTTATTAACAGAAATTTGCGGAGTCTACATGAGATTTGATCGTTTCAATTTGTACAACATGCTCGATTTCATTGTCCGATTGTCTCCTTTCACAAACGACTCTGGCAGCAATGTTGAGAGTTCCAATTCCTATTACAGTGTCATTAACACTCCATCTTTCAGAAATTCACTTCTCGAACAAATTTTGATAGAAGAATCTCTAGTGAGAAAAAGTTACTTGTTGAGTAAGAGTTTGAAATCTGGTGATGTTGTGGCCTATGATCGATGCACGGTGAATCATCAACCATGCATCTTGGTCTTATTCGAAAAGAAAATTGGAATTTATTCCTTTACTGAAAATGTGAATACTGGAAAAATGTTTTTATCGGAAACCTCAATCATGAACTTGTCACAAATTGAATCCGTGAGTTTAGCATCACCTTATACTGGAAAATATCTTGCCCTTAAAACATCCAAAGAATCTCTTTTCATTCAATTCAGTAATGACACATTTTGTGCCAAATTGATTTCACAAATTCACAACAAGATCAATTCTTTGGATATTTCTATTGATTGGAGATTATTCAAAGGTTTACAAACAATGTTCGCATCAGGTGTGGATGAACAATTACTATTTTTCAGTGAAGTATTATTGGACCTGGGCAAGGGAGGAGGAGAACAGAAATGTTGCATCGCTCTTTCCAATTATGCCATTTACTTTATACATGAGAAAATTTCAACTGAACTCAAAATTGTGAATTCCAAAAATGTCTCAAATTTCACACAAGAGAAGTTGGATTGTACTTCATTCATTGAAAAGATTTGTCAATTTGAAATTAATGAATTATGGATTGATTACAAATCGGTGCAACAAACCACACCAACGACCAAAGTGAAATTGAATAAGACTTTGGAAGAACATTCCAAAACGTCACCAAAAAAGGAAAGTATTTATTTCACCTTCCCAAGTGATTTTGCCAAGATTTCATTCATTGCTAATCTTTCTGCCTATCAATCCTCTTATCAATCTTTGCAAGCTTAGATTTATTCAATTAAAATAAAAGTTCGTTACATGATTTTTATTGTTTGCCTCAATGACATGCTCTCTCTATTAGTGAGAATTCGAGATTTTAAATCTCAACTCCCTAAATTGAGGGAAACATCATGTCATTGTGGAAATTGAGAAACAGTATCTCAAGGCCCAATTGTTTGTTTACTGATATGACCATTTCACTGTAATTGGGATCATGACAATTTCTTTCCAGAAAGGTGTTCAATGGCGACAGCAGCACATTTCGGAAAATTCTCCTCCAATCTTCGGAACGAAACCCAACAAATGGTGCGACGCGAGGATACTCCTCCTCTCCGTGGCTACAAAATGGTTTTGCTTCTGGTCTCAGTAGGAATTCGCAGTTTAAAAAAAACTGGAGACATACAGTTTTCGTCATTAATGATAAATTTCCATATATAGACTCTATCTACAAACCCCAAACACACACACAAGAATCTCCTGATCATAATAATTATACAAACAACAACAAGAAAATGGTTGAAAGTTGTACCACCATCCATTCAAAGCTGCAGGAGACTTCAAGAAGCCTCTTCCGATCTATCTTGTCCTTATTGGAGAGTCCTACCATGGCCATTCTCGCATTCCTCTTGAATTGGGTGGATTATATTCTCTTTCTAATCATGTATTATTGGAATGGAAAGAAGTATTTGGTTCATGATTTGAGAGGAGATATGGATCCGAGTTTATTGGCTTCTCCTTATTTTCCGAGCAAGGATTCCATCAAGATTGTAAGTTGTAAAAGTTGAATCAATGATGATCATGATGATGGGGATGATGATGATGGATTGGATCGGTCAATTAATTGTATGAATTTGACAAATTCCGATGAACTATGAATATTCATTGTCAACGATTATACAATCTATGATAACATGTCGGAATTGAATCTCATCATGGTCTTTAACTGGATGATTCTTCTTTTCAATATGGCTATTGAATATAATGAAACAAAAACAGAAAAATCCAAAGGAATACTTTGATCTTGAAAATAAGAGTCCTATTTATCGTCACCTTATGAGTCACACTCATGATGGATCACTCGTCGAGAAGGAGAGTGTTTTAGATGAATTACTTCCTGCTTCCATACGAGATAAATTATTTAATCAAGTCGATGAACAACGTTTGAAAGTTAAGAATTTGTTGCAACAACACGCCAAACAGGAAAACATTCAAAATTTGCAACATGCCACTTCATGGAAAAACCTCGAATATCCTGATTTGAAAATGTCCAAAGAAGTTGAACAACGAGTCGTTCCAGAAACTCTCTTCCAATACTTTAAACATTGTATGCAGCATTATGCAGATAAGCCATGCATTGGTCAAAGAGTTCTACGTAAAATGCATACAAAGGAAGTGAATGCAGAAAATGGAAAGAAGAAAGTTTGGTACACTCCAGAATTTGAGAATGAAGCAACCATGTATACGTATCGGCAATTTGAAGAAAGGGTTGATGCTTTGGCAAGAGCCATGCAGAAATGTTTCAATTTGGAAAGTAGTGGAGGAGATTTGGACTTTTTCACTTTCGACGACAGTCATGAGAGTGACCAAACTCGAAACAGTCGATTTGCAATTTATGATGACACTTCTTATGAATGGTTTGTTACAGCATTGGCTCTCTTCCAGCAAAATGTATCGATTGTGACTGTCTATGCAAGTTTAGGAATTGACAGCTTGATTCAAGCACTGAATGAGTCCAAAGTCTCTGGAGTCATGATTAATTTCAGTTCTCTCAAAGAGGTTGTTCCAAAAATTGCTTCTCAATGTCCTCGTGTGAAATACATTTTATACAATTTGAGAATGTGTGAAAATAGCACAGATGCAGTTGAAAAGCGTGAAAAATTATTGAACGAACTCACTCAAAAATATGGACAACATTTGGTCTTGACCAATATTGAAGAAATGATTGAAATGGGACTCCAAGATAAGCGAAATCAACAATCTGTGACAGAATTTAAGATCAAAGGCAAACCTCACACAAGCAAGGACGTGTGTATTTTAATGTACACTTCTGGATCGACTTCAGCACCCAAAGGAGTTCTCATTACTCATCACAATTTGCTCTCAGCCATTGCTTCCTTTAATGTTTGCCTGGGAATCGAACGAACTTTGGAATATATTCATGTGGCCTATCTTCCACTGGCACACATTTTAGAAATTCTTGTACATAGCATCATTTTCCTTCGAGGAGGAATGATTGGTTATGGAAATGCAAGAACACTCTCCGAAGGAACCTGTTTACCGTGTGGTGACATGAAATTCTGGAGACCTTCCGTACTCGTTGGTGTTCCAAAAGTATTCGATACCATCAAGAAAGGAGCTCAATTACAACTTCATTCGATTGCTGAAAAGCGAGGACCATTCCTTGGATGGCTTGTGAATACACTCTTTCAAATTGCCTATCAATGTAAAAAGAATGCCATTTCACACAATAGAGATACACCTTTTTGGAATTGGTTAGTATTCAAAAAGTTTACGGATGGTGTTGGAGGACGATTGAAACTCATGCTTTCCGGAGGTTCTGCACTCATTCCAGAAACTCAAGAATTTTTAAGAATTGGATTTAATTGTGTCTTTATGCAAGGTTATGGACTCACAGAGACATGTGCCGGTTCCACTGTGTCCAATGCCTATTTCCCATTCGCAACTGCTCATTGTGGTCCACCTGTACCTTGTGTGGAAATTCGACTTGTGGATGTTCCAGAAATGGGTTACACACACAGAGATCAACCCAATCCAAGAGGTGAATTATGGGTTCGTGGTGAAAATGTGACATTAGGTTATTACAAGCAGAAGGAATTAACATTGGAAGCTTATGGAAAATTACCAGGAGAGGAGGGCGATGCATTCTTTAAGACTGGAGATATTGTGGAAATATTACCAAATGGTTATATTCGAGTGGTGGATCGAGTGAAAAATTTAACGAAACTCCAGCATGGAGAGTATATTGCATTGAACAAATTGGAAAGTATATTTGCAGACACACCATTTATTCAACCTAATGGAATTTTGGTGTATGGTGATTCCTTTAGGGACTATGCAGTTGCTTTAGCGTTACCGCAAATGAAATATTTGGAATCGGTGGCACGTGAAAAAGGCATTGAATTTACTTCGAGTAAGGACCTTTTGCGAAATCCTCAAATGCTAAAGCTGATACTCAAGTCATTGGACGAATTGGCTGATCAGGCCAAGTTGGCAAGCTTTGAAAGAGTGAAAAAGATTTACCTCTGCGAAGAAGACTGGACAGTAGAAAATGGCATGTTGACAGCAACACAAAAGTTGAAACGACATGCCATCGTTGAGAAATATAAAAGACAAATCGAGGAAATGTATCAGGAATAAAGTGGATTTCACATTTGGTATTCATTATTTTTTCTCGGAATGTTCTCCACGCTTATTGCCTAATAATTGACGGAGTTGAAAATTGAAAATAAATAAATTAATTTTTTTAGGTTAATTGAAGCTTATTTCTTCTTTTGATTTCCTGGTGGGTCCATCATGAGTTGTGCTACTTCCTTGTTGACGAATAAAGAACTGTAATACTTGTCAGTTTCAAGTGTTGCCTTGTATCTTTGAGCAAGTTCTGCAATTAAACTCTTACGTTGCAAATAAGGTCGCATGATACCTGTGGACTTGGCTCTACTGATTCTTGATCCGTTAAGGGCTGTCATTCTAATCAAGGCGCCCGCAACTTTCTCACTCAAAATCATACCATCAAGGACTGGCCCAAATACTGGATATGTTCTTTCCTTGATCATGACGTCAACTCTAATCAAGCCCTTATGGGTTCTGTTCAATGGATATAATACAATGTGAACAAAGTTAAATTGAGAAATGATGGTATTTCTGTAGTAGTCACGTGTATGTTCGGACCAAATAATGTTGACATGATCATTTCCGACGTGTCTCTTCTTGTGGATTTGTTGTGGGTCCTTAGGATTATTTGGCATCATCGTTGGAACGTGGAACATGAGTTCAGTTCTATAATCAGCATAATATGGAGCATTGACGCCGGTAGAACCATTCTTATCCAAACCACCCATGAATCCCAAGTGATCCTGAAGATTGATGGTCCATCCCAAAGAATTTACAAATGCATTGTATTGATCACTTCCTTCAACGTTCATGAACAAATCTTGTTGATCGTCTTGACCCTCCTTCACATAGACAATACCAACTTTGTGCGTCTCACGAGGTTGAGTACCATCCAAATTACGTAAACTTCTCAAAAGTTTGCTATTGCTTTGAAGTGGAACAAATCGGCTTGTCAATGCAATGTGGACAAGACCCACAGAAGAGAGCAACAATCGAGTCATGCTTGCCTTACAGTCACCTCCGTACTTGTATCTCATGTTTGGCTCACGACACGAAACATCATAGGATGTGTAATCAGGTGCAATTTGATCTAAGAAATTGGCCTCATTGTCCTCCTCTTCATCAATCATTTGATCGAAAAGTGAGACAGTATCTCTATCCTTGAGTGGTCGATCGATATGGAATTGCATCAATGTGCCATTTTGTTCAGCCTCTGGAGTTTGGTTTAATAAACCTTCGGTAAGAACACTTCCAGTATAAATACCTCGTTCCTCAATTTCACTGTATGGCTGTGGAATTTCTCCATACAAGACTTGAGAATCCCACGAGTGTTTACCAGTCAAATCTCTTATAATGACTGTGACACCAGGACCTCCCTTTTCATTGGGTTGTTCAACCAAACTGATCACATACTGATTGTCATAAATGTAGAATCGAACATAATTCGAGCTTTCTGGTTCCAAGTCATCCAAACATTGAGTTTCCTCGGATAAGGTTGTGTGAAGAGCGGCATTATTACTTGTAGTTGGGAAGTGAGAGACGTGGTTCATTAAATGAGACAAGACGAACTCTGCAGAAATTTTGATATTTTCAATGTCGTCCTTAGTGAAGGTTGTACTTTGGCTGGCGAGGGCAGTTCCTGTGGTGGATGCTCTTGGGTTGCTTTGAGGACTCTCAACACCTGCACTGACACCACCTGGAACACCGACATGCTTCACAATGTTCAATCCCTGATCCACAGCAAAAATGACTTTGGTAATACTTTCCTTGTTGGAGAGAATGACGGAAGGTCCACACATGATCCAATCACACATGCTATAAAAAGTTTCTTCAATGAGCTTGGCACTGGTTTGATTTTGTTTGAGCAAGGCAACTTGCATTGGAATAATGGTACTCAATTGGAAAACAGTTTCACGAGAAATCATTGGTTCAGTCTCAGCTATTTGTGGATACAAATTGGTCAACGTGCTCAATGCCTCATAGATGGCAATAAATACCTCAGGTGGATAGTCCTTGAGTGGTTTTGGAGCATAAGTTTTTACAATATCCAACATGTTTCTAATGAAAATGACCGCAATTTCTGGATTCTTGTCAATCTCTTCATAAATTAAAACTACAATAACCCAAATAATATATTGCAAGTTCTTTGGATTCTTTTCTGATTTCAATGCCTTTTGTAAAATTGATTGAATTTGGAATTTGAGTTCGCTGTATACGTTGGCTTGTCCAGAGTACTCTTCGGAAACGCCTTGTGTCGCAAAGTGATTTGGGAAGCAAACCAAACTTCCGAGAATGGTAATGCATGCTTGACGCACTTCAGTGTTGTACTTGGAATTTTGTGCAGAATCTTTTCCTGAAGTTGATGAAGCTCCTCCCAAAATCCTGTCACAAACTTTCATGTAGTAACGAATGAGGATATGAGAACCGATTAATTCCTCATAACAGAAAATCTTCTTACTGCCCAATAAAATGGCGATGACAACAATTGGATCCTCATCCTCCAATCCAGAGCATAGAGCCTTATAGAAGAGTGACAAGTATCGAGTGTGAATTGGGCTACCTCCCTTTCTACAGAATATCTTACACAAAGCACTGTAGGCGACAGCACGACCTTGATTGAAATTATTTGCATTTTCACGGAAAACAGCTTCGAAATACCATGGTCCGAAAATGTCCAAAATAGAATTGGCATCTGGTGCATATGGAATACGGAAATCAATTTTTTGCTCCTTCAATTTCTTGATTGGAGGATCGGTACCAACATATGCCAAGCTGTGTGTAATGACTTCAATACCTTGGAATGCTTTGAGGTGAATTTCTGGGTCAACCAACTTGTTTGGATTGCCAATAATATGTAAGAACTGATTCCATGCATAGTACACGTATTCATCTGGTAAATCCAATTCTGTGGTTGAGTTTCCAACATTTGGATTTGGATTATTCTTTGGATTGAGACCTTCCCATTGAATTCTCACAACACTAGTACCTTCACTTGGACCATAGAGCAAGTTAATGACACGATTGGTCAAACCAATACAAACACTATTCCACTGATTAATAGTTGCATTATTCTTTGACCAAAAAATTCCATGTTCTTGCAAATGACGCCACATGGTCTTGTCATCCGACAAGGAACATAACCACAACTCAAACAAGACTTTCAACAATCCATACGATAATTCTGGAAGACCTCTCTTTCCTCTCAAAGTCGAATCCGTAATTCCCAATATAATCTTCAAAATATGATTCCAAGTTTCCTCCTCCAACATATCTCCCTTCACTCCCATCTGAAGGAAAATATCCAACACTCGATTACATAGATGAATATGATGTTTCTTCTCTTCCTGAGATCCCGATCCTCCAGTTCCCAATGTTCCATCTAAACCACGTTCCTCAAACAGCAATGAGAAGTGATTGAAAATCTGCTGTACAAAGTACTGTAAATTTTCTTGGAGGGGAGCTGGACGTTGAGCCTCTTCAAAGAGCCACTTATTGTAGACATTGATGGCCCGATCGATGGTTTGATGATCGGCAATGGGCAATTGGAAGGCATGGCCCAAGACTTCCATGACCCATTCTACGTGGGCAGTGGTCGTGAGGAAGTTTTTGGCTGTTGCATTCTGTTGATTGAAATAATCAGTGATGGCCGAGATGACAACACGTTTCACCTCGAGAGGAAAGGATTTGAGAATGTTTTTGGTGGGATCCGAGTGGATGAGTCCCAATTCATCAATCCAACCTAATAACATGATGATGAATGTGTATCTGTGTTATATTGTATTGATGATGATGATGTTGTTGTTGAATTAAATAATGAAAGAGAAAGTGAATTCAGCTGGAAAAAGGGTTTAGAGAACTACTATCACTTGATGAATCACAGAGAAAATATAATAAATATAAAAGTCAGCTTTGAACACGCAAAAACAAACAGCACGCTCTGTAGTGGAGGTGGTATTGATGATGATGATGATGATGATGTCCTCTCAGAGATGATGATGTTGTTGTTCTTCAGTTCTTCTAATGGTACGACACGAGGACACGAGCCGAGTGAAAAAAGTAAATTTTTTTTGTGTCTTGTGAAAAAACCATCATACGTCATAATCGCTTTGGACATCATGATTTTGACAACAAAAACAACAACCAATAACCACCGGCTCATCTTCTTCACTTTCAGAGGATTCACAAATTCAATTAACTTCTGAGAGAATCATCAATCAATATAAACAATGTATTGATCCAATTTCCCCTTCCTCGGAGAGTTAGTTGAATCACTCTCGGAGATCGGTTGAAAAAAATAATCCAAGGACAGCCATGATGATCGTCCCACCCACCAATAAAACGATCGTCTCCTTCATTCTCTTACTGATCATCTTGACTTTTGCCTCGTGTCGGGTTTACAGCTTTCATTCTGCTGCTACCAATCGGGATACTTCTCCGACCTTACAAGAGAAATTCAACTCAATCCAATCTCAACAACATCAACTACTCGTGAATCGATGGCATTATTATTTCCTTCAACTCATCAATCAAGTCAATTCCTACAAGTATAATTGTGCTAATATTCGTAATGATCCTAATGATGATGAAAAAAATCATTCCGAAAACCAATCAAATCGAGAATCCATTTTGGAGTTGAAACAAACTTGGTTTGCTGCTCCAAATGAATTGACACAATTTCCACAACATTATTTGAAATTGATTCAAAATGGATTGTTATCGAGTCGGGAAGATTTGTGGAAAAGATTTTCTTCTTTGATGACGACTATCAAAATGTCGAAAATTGGAGAATTTGGAAGAGAACATTTGAGAGTATTGAATGAATTGTTGAAAAGAGCGGAACAGCGAGATTTGTTGAGAATGGTCAAGTTGAGAAATGTCAATAATTTGGAGGAATTAAGAAAGAGGCAAAGAGCAATGAATATTCCAGAGACATTTGACAGTCGAATGCAATGGCCTTCTTGTATTCATGTAGGTGTTTTTGTTTTAATATTGAAGGAATATTTTGTACAATGCATGTTTCAAATTGAATTGAAATATTGACATTTTCACATGGAATGATGATGTGAACATAAATGACACTTGACAGCCCATTCGAGATCAAGGCAATTGTGGATCATGTTATGCTTTTGCTTCGACTGAAGTAATGAGTGATCGATTTTGCATCTTTTCAAATGCAAGCGTGAATGTGGTCTTGTCTCCACAAGATTTAATTTCATGCTCTTGGTATTCGTAAGTGATTGTTACAATTCAGTCATGAAATCTGAAAATTTTTAATTTAATTAATTTTCACATGCATTGGATCATTTGGCAAAATGAAATTGTAAAATATGTTGCGAATACTTTTTGGAATTGCAACACTGAAAATATCTTGCAATGAATAATGAATTTATTATTTGAACATTTCAATATTTTGAAATTCTCTCAGATTTGGTTGTGATGGCGGAATTCCTGGTCTTGTCTTTGATTATCTTCACAAAGATGGAGTCGTGTCAGACGCCTGTCTTCCTTATTTATCCTATAATGGAAATACTGGGCACAAATGTCCTTCCTATTGTTTCAATAATGCAAGCAAGCCATTGAAGGATGATAAATATTTTGCAAAATCAGTCTATCATGTAGGATCTTTCATTGAAAATAAGGAGGACCGAGTGATAGCCATTCAGCAAGAGATTTTAAAGAATGGTCCTGTGAATGCAGATTTTATGGTCTTTCAAGATTTTGTGACCTATAAAAGCGGAGTGTATAGACATTTGACAGGAAGTTTTGCTGGAATTCATGCTGTGAAAATTATTGGAGTAAGTGTGTGATATGAGAATTTTTTGTGACATTTAATGGAATTTGAAATTTGTGTTAATGGAATTTAATTCATTCCAATTAAATACATTCGTGAATTGAACCACAGTGGGGAGTGGAAAACAACATTCCTTATTGGTTAGTGGCAAATAGTTGGGGAACAAATTGGGGTTTTGATTTTGGTCACTTTAAAATATTGAGAGGTCAAGATGAGTGTGGAATTGAATTTTCAGTGTATTCAGGAATTCCAAACCTTGAAAATGTTCCAAAAACAACAACACCTAAATGAATTGTTGTTTAATCAATAAAATGATTTGTTGTAATTGTAAAGGTTTGACCATTCCACTCACAAACACAAAGCACTTCTATTCACATGAATGTAATCAGTAGTATTCCGAAAAATCTAATAACCTTTCCTTCACAATTTCAAAGAACTTTTCCTTATTAATGGATTTGGCACACCAAATAGAAATTTCTTGATTTTTCTGTTGTTGATTGCTCATATCACCACCTTTATCCTCAGCAACTAATCGAATAACCCCTTCCAATGGATCTTGACCAAATGCCTGAATATTCACTTGTTGGAATGTGAACATTTCTGGACAAAACAGAACACACGATGTTGAAGTGTCATATGAAGTCGATTCGAGAGTCACCAATAATAAGTCATGTCTCATTTTGACAATGGGAGGTAATGGCTTGTCATCGTATGGAGTGGAAATGATGTCTTGAATAATTTTCAAATTTTCTTGTGAAACGACATTCAAATTGGCAACTGACAATTCAAACAAAAGAATTTTTTCTGACAAGGTTTCCAGCACTATTTTTGCAGCCTCTCCATCGCAGAAAAAGTTCCATTCACTTCCATTCTTTTCATTTACAGGTTCTTGCACAAATAATGCTCCTCCCATAATGACCACCATTTTAAGTTTCTTTTTCACAAGTTCCGAGTTCTTTTTACATAATTTTGCCAAATTTGTTAATGGGCCAATACTGAACCATGTGTAATAGGAATCGTGTGGAGCTTGTTCCAACAATTTCAACATTTCATTTTCATAATCATTTTCCGAAATGACTTTCAATTGTTGCTGTGAATGGTTCTCTTCCACTTTTGGTAATTTCATTAAATCTGCCAAATCTCTATGAATTCTATAAAAGTCATAATCTTGAAACCATTTCGCTTCGGAAAAACAATGTGAACTTTCCTTGTTGGAAATTCTCTCATTGGCTCCCATAAATAAATGACAATTCGAAGGTAAAAAATTAGAAACGAGTTGCATACGTTGAATTAAATCAATTCCCCGATCCAAATGAAGTTGCATGCCTTTCACTAAACTGATGGCACAAATTTTGATCTTTGGATTTTTTAAAGTGACAGCTGTCAGATTGGTGATGGCAAAGACATCATCGGTTCCAAGATCGGTGTCGATGATAATGTTGTGTTGTTGTTCTTGATGATGAGAAAAACTTTCGGATGGGAGAAAGGGTGGAATTTGTGGAGGTGTTTGTGACATTTTTTTTAAATGAAAATACAAAGGAGTGAGAATTCTCTGTTAAAAAGTTCTTTTTTGGATCCCGAGTATGTGATAAACGTATTGAATATTTATTTACAACAATCAGAGTTGTTTCTTGTGGTATAATTATTGAAATAATATTTATGAAGATCGATTCATTGTCACAATGGAAGTTATGTGAAGCAGTGTGGGTTTCATTCTCTCGTGATGAGTTCAATGTGACACTTGGTCATGATCATTCACGCTTGTTTCATCACATGATCTACAATTTACTTATTCGGAACTACTTGTATCAACATTTACGGAATTTAATTCAAAATTCTCTTATTCGTACTCTCAAGTTTTCCCTCTCCATTAAAATAACATTCATGAATCGTCGTAATGATATATGGTTTTCCGACATTGGTCGGGCATTCCTCTTCCAATAACATCTCCACTAATTAATTAATAATAATAATATAAAACACATTCCTCGACCTTTTGAATTTTGACAACTTACATTTCACTCCGTATCCAAAATAATCTGGAATAGTTTTGTAGAGTGGCTCTTTTGAAGCGTTGGGATTGTCTTTTTTGAAAATTTCAAGGATGGGTTTAAAAACATGTTCTTTGGCGATGGCGAGAGCGACGTGACTTCGACCTGCTGTGGAGAAATCGTGCCAGTCCTTTTTCTGATATTGTTCGAGGAAGGATTGTAGAGAAGTGGCACAAGCTTCAGAAAGGATCGAAGAAGGTGCAGTGGATGTGGAAAATAATGAAGAGGAGGATTGGGAATTGGATTTATCTCCTCCTGATGAAGAAGAAGGTGTGATGATGGTTGTTGAGGAGTGATCGGCTGCAGCATCGAAAGATGGTTTGTTTGACATTTTTTCTTTTTTTGAAAAATGACGATCGAATGTTGGTGTTTATTTACAGGTATTTGTTCGTTCGTTTTGGTGCACCATTCGAGAGGAGAATTTAAAATTCTGGTGAGGAAGGTGGAAAGTTAGGAGCTTTTCTTTCAAATGAAAATTCTCTTTTTCCCATTGTTGAATAAGTGGTTGGTGGACTGAAGTCCATGTCAACCAACACATCATCATCATTGTCACCATTCAAGTCGATGGAGATATCGTCCGAGTGAGTTGGAGAATTAAGGGTATTAAATGAAAATGCTGTTGTTGAAGAAGAGGCTGAATCATACAATTTGGTGTCTCTTGGTGGAAACTCCTCGTGTTGGTACGTGTACGAATTGAAAGAACCGTAGTAGTTTGGGTCATCTGGCTCAATGATTAAATCTTCAACGTGCGTTTGAAGTTGTGTTTCAGTTTGATGGTCGAGCATCATCCTTCTGTCAGAAGTATTGTCCATGTAATAATTATGACTATCATAAGGCTCATTAAAAGTAAAGCCGGGAAATGTTGCCCATTCATCATCTTCCAAACATGCCCTATTGGGAGAGAAGAGCCACCTACCACCAAAATGTCCTCGTCGTCTCGTGGATGACCTTTTCGAGACTCGATTTGAAGAGGTGGCAAATAGATTCTCTTTCTGAAGTAGAATGGCGTTGTTTCTTCTGAAACGAGAACTGGAAGCTGCTGTACTGTTTGAAATAATTTGAAACAAGCAAGCATGCTTACTCTCATCATAGTTGGATTTGAGTGATCTCAGAGTGGTCCATAGCTCTCTCAAGGCCTTTTTCTTCTTGGCAATAGCGTTTGTTGCAGTTAGATCATTCGTATTTTGGTTTGTAGTCTTGGAAGCAGATTTCGAAATGTTCGAGACATTCACTCCTATGATGGAGACTTCATCAGTCTTACTCAAGTTGGAGAGAATATTCAAGTTATTCCTACTGCTCCTAACGCGTTCGTTATTGCTGATGCTACCTTCCGTAGTAGAGCTACGGGCATTAGTTTTTGAAGGCTCTCCTTCTAATTCTTCCTCAAAGCTCATGAAGCGACCAGCTTGGTTGTTGTTCCTCTCGGACTTTAAAAGTTTCCCCTTACTTCTCTTTTCATAGACTCGGAAAGTTGCATTGGAATAATTGTTATACATTTCTATTCGACCGTGTGTTGTGATTAGGGAAGGTTCCTCAATTCTTCCTAATATATCTCTCGTATGCTGTTAAACCTAACTGGTTGTTAGCCAATCAATTCTTGCACGTAGTATAAGGCTTTCAATGTTCCTTCAAAAGATGGGTAAATTAAGACTTCGCGTAGCCTTGGAACAGTCTGGTCGATTTTTTTCTTCTATTTATTTCTAGCTTTTGTATTAGTCTTTCTTGAGCTTGTTGTCCGTAGAGGGCTGACTTATTATGCTCTCATTCTTGTGATCTTGAGTGGTTGTTGCACTTGCTGATATTGTGGTGGTAATGATGTCCGAACGATTATTGGTTGCATTTTGCGTGTTTGTTGAGGCCTTGGATGACGACGATGAAGTTGTTTCTTCCTCACAGATAGAGGGTTGTTGGTCTTGCTGTTCTTGTTGTTCTTTGAGAAGAGACTGTTGTTTTTCTTGTTCTTCCAATAGTTTTCTCTTCTTTCTTAGGAGAAGTTTTTTACGCAGAGCTTGTTTGTCCTCTTCATGTAATTGTCTTAGCATGGGTATGACACTGTGAGACGTCAAATGTGTTCCAAAGTCGGACAAGAAAAAATATCAAATTTAGTTTAGAGATGATGTTTTTCACATTGGTGTGGAATCATCATGCACATTTCGTACATTTTTCATCAAAAGGTATGATAATCATAAATTCAATGATGATTTTAAAACAAATAGATCTAAAAATCAACCACTACTACATACATAAATAATGTTACACTCAAAGCCATTGTAATTAAAAACAAAATAGCAACGTGATATTTAGCAATAGACGGCACGTAATACATAAATACAAGGCACGCTAAAAGCGCCACTATTGATGTCCATAGAACTTTAACAAAGTTTGGATGCAGAGAGGAGCCAGGCTTTAATATAAAGCCAATGGTACCTTTCTTGAGAAATCCTGGTAAATTGGCGAGTGGGTCGACGTTAATGGAGGGATTGGAAGTGGTTTCCGAGGAGGTTGATGATGTAGTTTCTGTGGTGGTGTTGGTGTTGGATGATGTGTTCTCTGTTGTGGTGCTTGGTGGTGATGCTTCCGATTTCGACATTTTTTAACCTGTTGTTTTTTGAGTTTTTTGAAGATATTTGTTTTTAATTAATATTTATTTTTCAAGACGGATCCTATCTATGTATCAAACACCAAACGTGACCTCTTTATTGTATTCATCAATCATTAATCATAAGGATTGTGTTCCCTCCTCCTCGTACCACGTTTGGTATTTGATAGTAAGCCAACGAACCGTTATTTTTTAATCCAACACCAAAAAAATGGAGCCCTCCTCACCACCCACCAACATCAAGGCTTTAAATCAAAACGGCAACCTCAACAATCGCGGGACGTATCAGCAAGTGCTGTTGAACAACACTGGAAGCCCAAAACCCTCAACTCCTCAATCTCATAGCAAACAGAGTAACAAACAACAAAATAAGCAATCATCATCCACACCCCTAGGTTCAGTTGCAGGCATGAAATACTCTCCACCCTCATCATCGGGCAGAAAGGTAAGCCCAATATTGCCCAACTCCAATGATCCTCCAAACTCTCCACCTCCACCACCAATCATTGTTGTAGGTGAAGAGGATCTCAACCTTAGTAGCTGCTCGGATAACGAAATTGTCAATCCTGCTCTTGTTCAGAATCTCCACAACGGAATTCAAGCTTCCGATTCCAGCTCAACCACGAGTAACAATGAGGAAGAAATTTCATTCACTTCACCATTGTGTAAGTTTTTTTTTCATTCTTCCGACCGATCCTTAAGGATCATCGTTACACTTCGTTTTGCTGCTAATGATACTTTGCATATTGCCATACGACGATTCATACATCAAACTTGGGTCATCCCTACTATCAAACTGCTTCTAACTACATTGCAGACAAGCAAGCACAACCAATTATTAATATTTGTGGACAACCAGGATTGCCCGGCTTTCAAAATGGTGATATCATCGAGGCGCGATTCAGTGATATTCAAGGCATCTTGATGCTTCCAAAGGATGATTTTATTGGCGACTCCTCCTTCGTTGTGGCTGAGCAACACCAAATACGGCTTGTGAACATGAAACAAATGAACGTATCAACCTTCTACTCAACCCAACTGCATAGTCCACGTGGCATGGCAATTTACAAGGGATCCATCCTCGTATGTGATAGCCAACAACATAAAATTAAGATGATTTCATTGGATGGCAGAAGAATGACCACGTTTGCCGGAACTGGACATCGTGGCTGCTCCATTGGCAGGGTGAGCGACGTGCTGTTTGATACTCCCACTGCTGTGTGTGTAGTTGGAGAGAATGTGTTTGTTGCAGATACTGGAAATCATCGAATTGTTCGAATTAATAATGGATTTGCTTCGAATGCAGCCGGTACTCCAAAAACACCAGGTTTTCTCGATGGAAAGGTTCAAAATACTCTTCTCAATTCGCCTACTGACATTATTGCCAAAGACAACGTTTTATATGTGAACGATTTTGGTAATTTTCGAATTAGACAATTGTTTACCAACTACAGCGACATGAGAACTGTCATCGAGAGCACCGAAAAGATTTATGCCATGTCTGTGAATTCAGATGGAGAGCTTGTATTAGGAACTCACAATACTCTTTACAAGTACAACCTTGAGACGAAGGAAAGTTCTTCAATCTTATGTGAAACGCCTGAACCAATCAAAAAGGTCATATGTGCTTCCCGAAATATGTATTTGGTTGCTTGTGCAAACTCTATTCATGGTGTTGAAGATCAAAAACCAAGTACCAATATCAGTACATCCATGCTTGACCTCAAGCATTTATCTAGAAAGTTGAAGGCTACTCAAAATTTTTCATTTAATGCCTCGATACAAGAAAGCTGGAACAATGAAAGTACCTTTCAAAAACCATCCTATTTTGAGCTCATTTATTGTTATGAGCAAGACTTGTTGGAAATATTTAGCTATTACTGTAACAATGTCACTCACACATTTATGGATGTGAATGAAATGACCAGCAATCAATTTTTGAGATTGGCAAAAGATTGCAAAATAGTGGACAAAACATTCAATTCAAATGCAGTATTTCTCATTTACGAAGAATCAACGAAATACTCTCCAACATTTAAGATGAACTTTGACGATTTTTTGAACGCTTTAGCGTTTATAGCAATTAGGAAGTATTCAAAAATTCAAATTAACAATATTTCTGACATGGCCAAACATGATGACGATGTTAAAGTTCTTTTAAGAAAACTCCTTTTCGAGCACGTGTTACCAAATTCTGGAAAGCTTATCCAAGATCCTACTCCGTCAGAATTATCAGATCCCTCTGTTAATTCATTGTGGAGTGCTCAACAAGATCATCTTTACAAAATATTCATGTACTATACCCAAAAGAAGAGATCTCACAAAGAAACCTTACAATGGGTACATTATAATAAGGGCCTTCACACTCTAAATGTTGACGAATTTTTCATGTTTTGCTCCGATTTTGAGATATTTCCTCAATTCTTTTCCAAGATTCAACTTGCAGGAATGTTTACCTCGTGCTGTAAAACTCATAATGAACATATATCTGAACATGCTTCCAAGGAGGGTCGTTTAATGACATTTGTAGAGTTCTTGGAGTGTCTAGGAAGAATCGCTCTTGCAAAGTACAGCGAATCACCTTTGTGTGATGTGTACAAAACTCCTCGTCAAAAGATTGAAGGATTACTGGAGCATATGCACCTCTCTGAGGGTAGGAAATTTTTTGCTGCCCAACTCGGCAACCGTTTGTTCAACAATGTGGAATCACCAATGAAGAAACAACTCGTTCAACAGATGAAACAGTCATACTTGGGACGTAACCCTCAACGATCCAAACTTCAATATTCAGATTTTTCATTCGCAAAACAAAAATTAAAGGACAAGGACTCGATCGATATTTCATTAAGGAGGATGGCAGAAGAACAAGAACATTCAGAAACGAAATGTAATGCAAAAGATGTTGTACTGTACCTGGCTTCCAAATCGGATGATGAGACATCTTGGAAGTTCATAACTTCAGGAGAATTGAGCCTAAGTTTCTCTAATGTGCTGTCGTTTGTGGATCAAGAAGGTAACTGTTTGTTCAAAATTCCTCTCTCCAGCGATGGCCTTCCTGTAATTGAAGAAAAAGAATTATTCCATATTTTCAGAGATGGAGTACTAGTGGATGACCAAAGTATTTATGCTATACAATTCAGTTCCAAAGCTTCCTCAGATACATTTGAGAAAGAATATGAAACTATAGTGCAAGAAGAAAAGAGAAACGTGTTCACTTCGTCTCCCTTTAAAAACGTTTCCTTATTAGTCCCTAATGTCAGTACCCCTAAGAAATCTAAAGACTTGCTGAAAGTACCTTCTACATCCTCGTCATCATCGGGAGTTGTTAACACTCCTAACAAGAGTGTTGTGAGTGGAGGAGCTAGCAACAATTCCACACAGCGTTCACAGCCTCGCTCCCAAACACGCCCAGAAAAGAACAGCCCCATGAGGAGTCAGTCTGGAGTTAGCCCTATTGCCATGCTCGCGCACAATTCGAATCGAATAGCCCTACCATCATCGTCACCATTGCTAACCAGTCATCTGCATAGAACTCCTCCTTCTAATAACACTCCTGGAAACAATAGTAAGATTTCCTTATCACCTTCAAAATCTCTTTCAGATTTGTCGAGTAGTGACATGAATGCACTACTTACTTCCAAACAACAATTACCTTCAACTTTGCACAGAGAGATGGGAATTTTAACGGTTCAAGGAATGACCTTAAACAAGGGTGACTGTAGTACATGGTCCAGTCATGATATTCGCAAATTATTAACCACACCCAAAACGAATGGTGGTGTCGGACTCGTGGCAGAACAAATCGCTGATTTTACGCTGTATGGTAGCGATTTTGAGACCATTGTCGATGCTCTCGTTCGTTTCGAAGGAGATGACGAAGCCAAAATTGAGCATGCTTGTACACAGATTTTTGTAGATAATTTGAGCATGCGCATAAGACAGCCTATCGTCAGATGGATCTTTCAAACGTTGTTGAAGAAGGTTTAATTGTTATGTTTACCAACAACATTTTTATAACAAAGATCTTCTAAGTCAACATAAAAATAGGCATTTTCGACATGCATTTTTTGTGGATCTATTTTGATTTTTTATCGATTTCTTGATGGCAACAACAGTTATACACAAGAATCTGGCTGAATGGCAGGTTTGATTGGGCCCTCACTTCATTCAATAAAGCCACTCATTAAAGGATGTGGTTGTGGAGATGCCATCTCCAAGAGTCTCCTCAAAAGGATAATCTCTTTCATGATGAAAGAACCGCAAAAAGTACAAAAAAGAGCTCGAAAGAAAAAGAGAATATCGAATCACGGCCGATTTGTGTAGAATTTTAAAAAATAATGTCGAAAATACTTAATGTTTAAGACTGTCCTCATTCCTGTAAAATCTCAAATATTTTGCAACGTCAAAAGTTTTAAGCGCCAAAAAAATTTACGATCCAACAAAAAAATTCAAGAAGAGCATGCCTCTCTCAAGTACATCGGACAACAGTCCCACTCCGATTCCTGGTGCTGGAGACACTCAAGATGAAGACACCATGAATGATTCCATTAAAAAACACCAAAAGAAGACTCAGATGGCTTCAACAAAATTGAAGGATACATCGGACGGAGCTCTCACGAAGCAACGGATCATGATCGATAAGGTCAAGAAAGACAATGATCTCCTCCGAGAAACAATAGCAAATTTGACTAGACATATCAATACGAGTGAGAGTGTCGCCATCGGAAAGAAAATCAACAAATTAAATGATATTATTTATAACATAACATTGAAAATACAAGAAGAAAAGAGAAAGGTCGAAAATTTGGAGGAACATTTTAAAGATATTTCAAACAGAATCGAGGAGGCTAGAATAGAGAGATCCGGTGTTAACGTATCTAAAGAAAGTAATCGACTAGTAGAAAAGCAAATCAAAGTTTTGGAAAACAGGCTCGATAAAGCGCTTGTAAAATTCAACGAGGCACTGACACATAATAAGGTTTTGAGAGACCAAATTGAAAATTTGAGAAAGGAAAGAGTAGTTTTTGACACCATTTACAAGAAGATGGAAAAAGAGTTGCAAGATAAGAAGAAGGAGATGGCAAAAATAATAGAATTGTCGAACGCAGCATACGAGGAACGAGGTCAAGCACTGGAAGAACAAAAGAATGTCAAGAGAGACCATCAAGCAGAGCTTGAGAAGATTGAAGAAGAACGCCAACAACTCGATCGCTTATTGAAAGAGGCAGAAAAAGTCACTGAGAAGTTGCAACAAAGAGAGCTGGAAAGACGAGAAAGAGAAATTCAAGAATCAGCCGAGATGGATCGAAAGAAGCTCCTTCGTTCCTCGAATTGGTCCTCAGCAGGCAACAAATCTCGTACAACAGATGTGAATGAAAAGAGAAAAATACTTGAAGATCGATTCGCCAAGATTGAGGAAGCCACAGGAAAGAGTATTGACGAGCTCATTGATCACTTCTCTCAGTCTGAAGATCAAAACTTCTCCCTCTTCACCTACGTCAATGAGTTGAACAGCGAAATTGAAAAGTTGGAGGAGAACATTTCTGAAATGGAAGAGGAAATTAAGAAGTTTAAAGGGGAAGGTGTCAATTCAGAATCTCAAAGAAAGAAGGTTCTTGCAGAAATTCAAGAAAAGATCAACGAGACCAACAGTAAGACCGATCTGTACCAACGAAAATACGAAAATTCCCTCAAGACTCTGGAAATCATTTCCCGCGGAATTGAAACCATTTTCAACAAGCTCAAATGCGATCCTACATCCATTTCGGACATGCTCGGAACTACAGGTGTCACAGAGTCCAATATGATGATCTATTTAGGATTCATTGAGCAAAAAACAAATGATATTGTACAAATGTTTTTGGCATCAAAGAAAGGAGAACGATCGAAGGATGATTTGGCCATGTCAGGTCCCAAGCATCCAGTTGGATTTACAGACGATCTGGCCATTGAGCCACCTTCGACCAATAACGAAGGCATTTCAGATGAGGATGACGACGACGATGAGGAACGACCATTCACCAGAGAGGAATTGCTACAAAAAGCAAAGAAGACTGGTCTCACTAAGAAACCAAAAAAGAAGACCACCACTAATGTAAAATAAACACACACTCCTGATTCTATTGATTCATTGAAGGATACGAGCTCTTGAAATGACGCAATTCAATTACCGCACTGCCAATATTCTCTCTGAGAGCTTCCAAAGCAGCCTCTCTGCACCATGAATGAATTTTTGCACCTGTCCATCCATGATCCTTAATCACGGAAACCAATTCTGCGATGTCGATCGTTGGAGAAAATGGCATTTTTCCTTTTCGGTGGTTCCGTTCAGATTTGAGTTGAGGTAGGTTAGATCTAAAGTGGCCTTCAATAGTGAACTACTTACTTTTGTAAACAGTGAAAATATCGAACATGTCATGCTCATTGGGTTCACCCATCTCCAAAATTTGATCCAATCTTCCCGGTCTCAGTAATGCCTGATCAATCAATTCAATTCTATTTGTACATCCAATAATAAATACTTGTTTTCTGTTCTGAATTCCATCCATTTCATTAAGTAGTTGAGAAAGAGCTCGCGCAGCCGATCCACTATCTGTCACCGATGCATTACTCTGCAATTCTCTTCTTGGAGCCAAAGCATCAATCTCGTCAAACACAAGTACACACGGGGAGAGTTGTCGTGCGCGTTTGAAAATATATCGAATCAACTTTTCTGTTTCACCCACATATTTGCTGAACATTTCTGGGCTGTTGTTGGAAAACGTCGGTATTATTTTTGCATATTCGCATCATTATATCAGTATTTTATATGCACAAAGGCAATAACAATAGTTTCATCATAATTGTCACCACTACATTTTCAATTCTGTATACTACCTACCATTTGAGTGAAATGTAATTCATTTTGCCCAAAGAAGCCAAACTTCGTGTGAGTAAACTTTTTCCACATCCTGATGGTCCATGCAACAAAATTCCACAACACGTTGGTAAACCATATCTTTGAAAAGATTCTGGATATTCCAAAGGCCAATACAACAATTCTTTACATCGTTGTTTGATATGATTGTATCCTCCAATATCTTGAAATTCGTTATTATTGGGATGCCCTTGTTCGTTGGATCTCAATACTGTGAAGAGATTTTCAGTATTCAATTGACTGGGTTTCACCACTCGAAGTGCATATTCAAAATCTTTCCACTGAGGTTGAACAAACGTTTCGATAGAGGTGATGGCCATTGCATTGTTGATGGACTTCTGACTGTGTTCACACTCCTCATTCGAAAGTGCATGATATTGAGCCATTTTGAAAAGTCTTTGAATGTCACGTCCAACATAACCAGGTGTAAACCTTAACAGATTATTAATGAAAATTTCTTTGATTTCTGGTGGGAGCGTTGGAAAAAACTTTCGAAATTGAATATCGAGAATAGTAGACCGATCTTTGAGGCCGCTTGGAATTGGAATGTAAAAATCTCTTTCGAAATGTCCACTTTGTCTCACCGATTCATCTAACTCTTCAATATTTCGATTAGAAACTGCAATAACTGCCACCCGTCCAGAATTGTTGAAAGTAATTTTCTGCAAGCATGATAATAAGTGATCAAACTTTTTCCCCATATTTTCAATATCGTCCAAACAAATAAGTATTCCTGTATCTTGAGAATGGTGTAAATTTGAAAATAGATCTATAGAGAAGGAAGTTCCATTTGCAAATCGAACTTGAATTCCACGTTCTTTGTATTCCTCGCTTATTTTTCTGTAATTCATTGAGTGTGAATGAGGTAGAAATGCATCACCAATGACTGCATGTCATTTCTTGGAAAATATTTCAACTCGAGCACTTACGTCAAAATGGTTGTTTTTCCTGTTCCTTGTAATCCCCAAAGCAACATTGTTTTGGGAGTATGTGTGCAAAACTTGGGAGTAACATGAAAGACGGCGTCTGCAACAAACAATAAACAATACATTCAAAATGCCAAATTGTTCCGAATACTGCTATCATTTCATTTTGATATTACCTACCTAAAATTTCAGTAATTTTTGCCAACTGTTCATCGAGGCCTCCAATGGAGTCTGATGAAATATTCTCAATAAATGTTTTCGTTCTTTCCTTGTAGAGAAGTTGGTCATTTGTAAGTTTCTGTAAGGAAGCGACATTCGCAATGGGTGGTGCTTGACTCGATGAATTAAATTTCACAATAGCATCCCTGGTTACTTGCATGTACTTTCTGTTCGCAACATTTTGTGAAGACTTAAAACGTATCAAAATTGGATATCTCACTCCCATAAACTCTATGAGTGTCACTTGTCCGTCCACAACATATCTACCAAGTAATTTGGTTTTAATAAGAGAATTAAACAAGTCAACGTGTTTTTTGAAGATTGACTTTTCGCTAAATAATGCTATTCGTTCCATAAAATTTAAAATTTCTTGGGAGTCTTTTGGATTAAACATAGAGACAAGAATTTCCACATCATTATTCGTATTTACAGTAAGTTGTGAGCTATGCAAGAGAGGTTCAACAATACATTTGAACCGATTAGATTTTTCATCAGTTCCTAGCCGTTCCTCAATGAGTGAAATAATTTCAGAATGTACAATTACTGAAGACACCAAGCTATGTGAAGAATTATTGTGGTCATCAGTGGTTGTGCGATTATCGTCACTTAGTGCATGATTACTTTCTTTTGTCAAAAATCCACTAAATTCCAACACAAAAGTAAAAACAATTTCCGAACTGATGGATATTACGATTTGAACGGGCTCACAATAATTAATAGTCCTACTTTTTTTTGTTTCATTTGGTGATGATAACAGTAGTGATGGATCCAACAAGACCCTCTGCACACCAAAAACATCATCTTCCGAATGAGCTAAAAGCCTTACATCTTTCCAGTCATCCGTTTCTGAAGAAAAAACATTATCTTCACAACACAATAATTCATTACTTTTCATCATGGACTTCAATTTCCGAAGAATAGAATCAATCTAAGAGTCTGCTGATGAATGCTCTTTCCAAAAGAATCCAAAGGGCGAGAGCGAAGAGAGAATTTTTTTTTCAAATTTCAAAAAAAAAATGTTCACCGCCAAACCTGTCAGTAGATTCCTCGTGCGTCATCCGATGATGATGAACAAGATGGGAAAGCAATGTATCTCAGAAATGATGAAACAACAACAACAACAACATGGTAAGTGGTTGAAGGGTTTTTTTAAGGAATTTGGCTCATGAGGTGGTGGTTTTGAATGTGGGTTTTGATGATTTATGGATTTGATCCGGTCTGATGATGATTCCAATATTGTATCAATTATATTCCAATATTGTATACCAAAACTCAATCGACTGAATCGATGATTTATGTTGTTGAACGTCTATTGACCTGTACGAAATTGGATCATGATGGTCTGATCAATTTCTTCATCATCTTCCACCATATTTTGTGCAACACGAAATGATGAACTGATTTTGAAATACGCGTCCTTGGTTTATCTTGTTCTGTTTTTCACAATTATCTCACGTCATCCATTATAATGTACATTTGTTCAACAACAAACAACACTCGTAAAATTTCACCTCCACATCGGCACTACTATTACAGCCAAGTTTTCGACCAACATGATTTCATCCTTCCTTTCGGACTCTGCTGACATCGAGGCCATCGACAAACATACCAGAATTCAAGCATTCAAAGATTTTCTCAACAAGGATAACAAAATTTCTATAACCAAAGAAGAATTCCTTCGTTTGGCTCAAGAAAAGATTAAAATTTCTAGGGAAGAAGCTGAAACATTGTTGCAACAATTTGGTTCTGCTGCTGATGTATTACTATTGCCTGAAAATGAAACTTTGAAAGATCTTGTCATTCTCAAGCCAAATCTCATTACCAATAGACTTTTACAACATCTGAACGCTGACATTGTTGAACAAGAAGTCGAAATGAGAAAAGACCGGTTATTACAATTGGAGAAGGAACTTATTCCTCTTCGTCGTGTGAAGGAAGATTGTGATAAGTTGGCTGCAAAATCTGTCAATAGATTATTGTGGGGAGGATTTGTCTATTTAGTTACACAAGCATCAATTTTGGCTAAAATGACTTGGATTGATTATGGTTGGGACGTAGTAGAACCTATCACTTATTTTGTGACATTCTCAACAGCTACTCTCGGTTACATTTACTTTAATTTCTTGAAACGTGATTATTCCTATGAGCATGCTACTGAAATTTTGTTGCATAAGAAACGTTTGAAGTTTTACAAGCAAGTTAACTTTAATTTTGAAAAGTATCAAGAACTAGTTAAGGAATACAATTTTATTGTTTCACAAATTGAGGCCAATATCAAACTCGTTTACGGAACTGTGCCACTCAAATGTGAAGAATTGTTACACGCCATCAAGGAACAAGCTTTGAAGGAATATCAAGAGGGAAAACAATCATCATTGTAAATTGTAAGGAATTAAATTGAAAAAGTTCAATAATTGATAGCTTGTGATTACATCCAGCTCTCTTCACTTGTTTGGAATCTTAGCTGAGTGCGTGGATTGGGTCTAATTCGCTTCCATACTGTAACTCTGTCCAGAGTTATCTTGTAATACATTCTCGGAAAAGCTGGAGCCGAATAAGAGCGCCAAAAAACTTTAACGGTTCCCGCCTTTCAAATCTCGCGCCTTCACACAATTTAATTTTTAAGCTGATTGTCACTTGCCAATCCACTCAACCAGCATTTAAAAAAAAAACAACCAAAACTAAACATTGTGTTCACTCACAATAACTTTTCACACTCCTTCACCACCATCATCATCACTTCATCATCATGAGAGAAATTATTTCCATCTCCGTCGGTCAATGTGGTAACCAAATTGGCCAACAATTCTGGCGAACCATCTCCCAAGAACACGGTCTCTCCATGGACGGCAAATACATTGGCACCAACCCTCTCGAAAAGGAAAACCTCTCCGTCTACTACTCTGAAAGTGCTGACCGTTACGTCCCTCGTGCCGTTCTCGTCGATTTAGAATCTGGAGTTTTGGATGATGTCAAATCCAGCACTCAAGGTCAATTGTTCAGACCAGATAACTTTATCAATGCTCATTCAGGAGCAGGAAACAATTGGGCAAAAGGTTTCTACACCGACGGAACTGAATTGATTGAAGAAATTATTGACACTATTCGAAAGGAATCAGAGTTGTGTGATAGCTTGCAAGGTTTTCAACTCACTCACTCCTTGGGTGGTGGTACTGGTTCTGGATTAGGTACCTTGTTGGTTTCCAAGATTAAGGAAGAATTTCCTGATCGTATGTTGGCAACTTTCTCCGTTTTTCCATCTCCAAAAGTCTCCGATACTGTGGTCGAACCTTACAACGCCACTCTCAGTATTCATCAATTAATTGAGAATGCCGATCAGGTCTTTACTTTGGACAATGAAGCTCTCTTTGATATCTGCACCAAGAATTTGAAATTGTCCTCCTTGTCTGGCTTTGACGATTTGAACAAGTTGGTCGCTAGTGTCATGTCCGGAGTGACTTGTTCCTTGAGATTCCCAGGACAACTCAATTCCGATTTGAGAAAGTTGAGCGTGAATTTAGTTCCATTCCCTCGTTTGCACTTCTTTATGGTTTCCAATGCTCCTATTGTGGCCGAGATGAGTATGCAATACTCGAATTTGAGCATTGCCGAAATTACTTCTCAAATGTTCTCACGAAAGAATATGTTTGCAGCATGTGATCCCATGCAAGGTAAATACTTGGCTGCGAGTGCCATCTTCCGAGGTGCCAATTTGAGTACTCGTGACATCGATCAACAAATGTTGTTGTTGCAAAATAAGGCCTCTGAGAACTTTGTGAATTGGATTCCAAATAACATCAAATCGTCGGTGTGTGATGTAGCTCCAAAGGGAATGAGTGTTTCAGGTACTTTTATTGGTAATACCACTGCAATTCAAGATGTGTTCAAGAGAATTGGTGCTCAATTCCATCAAATGTATAAGAAGAAGGCTTTCATTCATTCCTATATTAATGAAGGAATGGATGAGATGGAATTTACTGAAGCTGAGGCCAATATGAATGATTTGATTAATGAATATCAACAGTATCAAGATGCTACCATTGAGGATGATGTGGATGCTGGTTTTGGATCAGCTCAAGAACAAGCTGAATTGGAACAATAAGCATCGCGAATGTTATGACAATCATTGTATGATGAACAATCGATCACCTTGCAATTGGATTGTGAGGTGCGAAAGGTGTCACCTTTTAATAAAAACAAACTAGATGACCGTATGTTGCTAGGCTTTTTTGAAACTTTAATTCTTCTTGTTTTTCGTTTTGTTTTCGTAGGGGTTGGTTGGATGATGAGCTTTAATGTGTTGGAATCATGCATTGCTATTAACAATTATTATTATTATTGTTAAATTTCATAATGGGTATAAGGAGGTGACAAGGTGAGCTCACTCATTCATACCTGTATGAATTGGTATCGATTGAATGAATGATGTATTTCTCTTCCATCTTTGCTTTGTTTTCCTCTTTTGGAATATTGTACAAACGGAGTTTACTTGGCTCACAGGGAGTTTACAACAAGGCTTGTCTCCAAGACAACCAAGACAAGCGGCTACACCCATTTTCTCTTCGCTCATTTTCTTTGTTCAATTTCAAAATCAGAGTTTTTGGGTCTTTGAAATCCTTACCTCCAATATTCACAATGATTTCATATTGAAAAAACAAAGCATTCCATCTCAACAAAATGCCAGCCTTTAACTATTCTCCAAGCCAAGAAGAGGAGAATTCATCATGTTTGAAATCTTTCCTCAACATGTTCAACAAGAAGAAGAATTTTGCTTCCATTTCACACCAAGAAGTGTTGTCATCCAACAACAACAACCACACATGTGGCACCTTGTTCTCTTCCATCACTATCCACAAGCTCAAACACTTTTTCCTCAACAAGCTATTCACCAAGAGAAACATCATCTTTCTTGCTCTTGTCTTCATTTATCTCTTTGGAGGATTATTGAATAATATGGGTGTTCAGATTATGGGTTATTACATGCCATTGTACAACTCTGGTTTTCTTTTGTATGGAACCACTCTCATGTACACGCTCTTGTTCTTGTTCACTGAAATTGGAATTGTTGTGGTGAAGAGAATGAAATGGAGTGAAATTAAGGATCGATGGCTCTTGTATGGAAATAAGAAGTTACAATTGGTGGTCCTTGCTTTGGGGTTCTTTACTGCATTTAATGGAGTTTTTGCACAGAGGTGAGTGTTTAATGGTGTTGTGTGTTCTTTACACTCCATTCACACATGTGTAACTCATATTGTTTTTCCATAATGACATGCATAATCATCTCAACTTTTTTGCTCACACATGCATGTACATGCTAACAACAACATTGTATTTTCCAAACATCATTCCACACCAGTGCCATTCCTTTTGTAGATCCAGAACTTACCGCAATTCTTTCTCAAGTCTCTGCTCCACTCACATGGATTTTCTATCCTCTCATCATGAAGAAGAAGTACGAAATTGGACAAATAGCTTCCTTTCTCATCATCTTGGGAGGCCTCTTATTTGGAAGTATCTATTCGTATCTGAATGGAACTGGAAGCAACACAACTTTCTCGAATTCTGTCTTTTGGATTTTGATGGCTTTGGGTAGTGCCATTCCTACCTCTTTTGAAACCATCTATCAAGAAGTGGCCTACGATAGTTACAAGGCTCCAATTTTCGTCGTTCTAGTCTATTACAATCTTTTCTCTCTCGTTGTGTATTTTGGATGGATGTTCATTGTGATGGCTCCCAATTTTGGAATTTGCAATGTTCCACCTCACACTCCCTTAGGTCTTTGTTCACTCAATGCGACTACTTGTACGAGTGTGGAACAAGTCTTCTCTCAGCAAGGAGAGGCCATTTCATGTTTCTTTGGACAATATGAAGTATCGAGTTGTTGTGGAGGATGGCAAGCAACTTGTTGGACATGCATGTTCACTCTCGGATATTACATTTTCTTTGTTTCAGGATCATTCATTATTGAAAAGTTCGGAAGTAACATGTTGGCCAATTTGAATGCTCTCTTGTATCCACTCACTGCCATCTGTTTTTGGATTGAACCGATTGTTGGACAATTCTATTCGAAACCGGAATGGTGGATTGGAGTTTCGTTGGCCATTATCACTTGTGGAAATTTAATGTATGAATGGTTTGCAAGAAGACCCTTGTATGAGATGGAACCTCGATGGTTGCCTTGGAGAAAATGGAGACATGAAGTGAACGAAGAAAAGAGTCATGGAGGGGGAGTTAGTGGTGTTGATATGGAAAAGAGAGGTCAATATGTGAGTTTGAATAATGATCGTGATAATGAGGAGGAGGAAGATGTTGCACGAGATGGAAAGTTGTAAATCTTTGAGAAACAGTAAAAGAAAATGTGGTTTCATGAAGTGTTATTGGGACGGAAAATTGTCGCACCTCACTGAGGTTTCGCTTTGTGTCAACTAGAAGTTCAAATTCCAGTTGAGAGTGCACTCTCATTTAAAAGTTGAGACAAGACGATTCCATTGAAAAAACGTCACTGATCAACGACGTTGAAATGTCGTGCTCAAGCAAAGGCAGGTTCTTATCGCGACTTGATTATTCAACACAGTCATGTGGCTTTGGATTATTGATGACTCAATCACTCTCAAGCGTTGACTTCAGGACATGCATACCTATTTGGTGTGAATGTATGGATTGCCCTGTCGTGCGTGACCATTATCATGATATTGCATGTGCGTGAACAATGTGCTCAAACATTAGTTGATTTTTCAAACACTGTGAATTTGACGGACGCGTCTGGCAATGGTCTTGTGAATTATCCTCTTCAAATTGGTCGACCTTTTCTCAAAGGGTTTGGGTTTGGGTTTGGGTTTGGGTTTGGGTTTGGGTTTGGGTTTGGGTTTGGGTTTGGGTTTGGGTTTGGGTTTGGGTTTGGGTTTGGGTTTGGGTTTGGGTTTGGGTTTGGGTTTGGGTTTGGGTTTGGGTTTGGGTTTGGGTTTGGGTTTGGGTTTGGGTTTGGGTTTGGGTTTGGGTTTGGGTTTGGGTTTGGGTTTGGGTTTGGGTTTGGGTTTGGGTTTGGGTTTGGGTTTGGGTTTGGGTTTGGGTTTGGGTTTGGGTTTGGGTTTGGGTTTGGGTTTGGGTTTGGGTTTGGGTTTGGGTTTGGGTTTGGGTTTGGGTTTGGGTTTGGGTTTGGGTTTGGGTTTGGGTTTGGGTTTGGGTTTGGGTTTGGGTTTGGGTTTGGGTTTGGGTTTGGGTTTGGGTTTGGGTTTGGGTTTGGGTTTGGGTTTGGGTTTGGGTTTGGGTTTGGGTTTGGGTTTGGGTTTGGGTTTGGGTTTGGGTTTGGGTTTGGGTTTGGGTTTGGGTTTGGGTTTGGGTTTGGGTTTGGGTTTGGGTTTGGGTTTGGGTTTGGGTTTGGGTTTGGGTTTGGGTTTGGGTTTGGGTTTGGGTTTGGGTTTGGGTTTGGGTTTGGGTTTGGGTTTGGGTTTGGGTTTGGGTTTGGGTTTGGGTTTGGGTTTGGGTTTGGGTTTGGGTTTGGGTTTGGGTTTGGGTTTGGGTTTGGGTTTGGGTTTGGGTTTGGGTTTGGGTTTGGGTTTGGGTTTGGGTTTGGGTTTGGGTTTGGGTTTGGGTTTGGGTTTGGGTTTGGGTTTGGGTTTGGGTTTGGGTTTGGGTTTGGGTTTGGGTTTGGGTTTGGGTTTGGGTTTGGGTTTGGGTTTGGGTTTGGGTTTGGGTTTGGGTTTGGGTTTGGGTTTGGGTTTGGGTTTGGGTTTGGGTTTGGGTTTGGGTTTGGGTTTGGGTTTGGGTTTGGGTTTGGGTTTGGGTTTGGGTTTGGGTTTGGGTTTGGGTTTGGGTTTGGGTTTGGGTTTGGGTTTGGGTTTGGGTTTGGGTTTGGGTTTGGGTTTGGGTTTGGGTTTGGGTTTGGGTTTGGGTTTGGGTTTGGGTTTGGGCTTGGGCCTGGGCTTGGGTTTGGGCCTGGGCCTGGGCCTGGGCCTGGGCCTGGGCTTGGGCTTGGGCCTGGGCTTGGGCCTGGGTTTGGGTTTGGGTTTGGGTTTGGGTTTGGGTTTGGGTTTGGGTTTGGGTTTGGGTTTGGGTTTGGGTTTGGGTTTGGGTTTGGGTTTGGGTTTGGGTTTGGGTTTGGGTTTGGGTTTGGGTTTGGGTTTGGGTTTGGGTTTGGGTTTGGGTTTGGGTTTGGGTTTGGGTTTGGGTTTGGGTTTGGGTTTGGGTTTGGGTTTGGGTTTGGGTTTGGGTTTGGGTTTGGGTTTGGGTTTGGGTTTGGGCTTGGGCCTGGGCCTGGGTTGGGCCTGGGCCTGGGCCTGGCCTGGGCCTGGGCCTGGGCCTGGGCCTGGGCCTGGGCCTGGGCCCACCTGGGCCTGGGCCTGGGCCTGGGCCTGGCCTGGGCCTGGGCCTGGGCCTGGCCTGGGCCTGGGGCCTGGCCTCTACCACCATCTGGGCCCTCTGGGCCTGCCCGGCCTGGGCCTGGGCCTGGGCCTGGGCCTGGCCTGGGCCTGGGCCTGGGCCTGGGCCTGGGCCTGGGCCTGGGCCTGGGGCCTGGGCCTGGGCCTGGGCCTGGGCCTGGGCCTGGGCCTGGGCCTGGGCCTGGGCCTGGGCCTGGGCCTGGGCCTGGGCCTGGGCCTGGGCCTGGGCCTGGGCCTGGGCCTGGGCCTGGGCC